ATGAAAACAAAAACTGTCAAATAACATTACTAATAAATTCATTAATGGCTAAGTTAGCAGGTCATGAATATAGGGAAGTACCGTTAGCCTTCGAGTTAAGTGAATTCATATGAAATGAATTCTAATCTATACATTATTTTTAACACCAAAATTACAAAAAAAAAATGTGAGAACAGATTTGCACACACACACACACACACACACACATAGTACAATATTTACAGCATTTAATATAATGCTTTGGTGTACGATGCCCAAAGACCAGGCAGTGACCTTGCGATAACTCACGATTACCTCGTGTTTCTGATCACTTTCCAAATTACATTCTTGCACTATATCATTTTCTAAGTATTTTGCACTTCACCATGTACTTTATTTATGGGTAAGAATTAGATGTAGGTACAGTAGTTAGTAATAATATTAAGGTACAGTAGGTGTTTTTATCTAAAGAGGATTGCTTGGTCATGGCAGGTTGACAATTCACATCTATGTTGCAGAGCTCTACAAATGTCCTCCTCTTGATCATACTGTTGCCAGGAAGATAATGGAGAATCATCAATTCAGCCTGAATTGACTGCCAAAAAGCACATTTCTAAAAACTCGACCCTTTCCAAAAACTTACTAAAAACCCAAGATTGCCAATTAGCATTCATTCAAACTGCAGGTTGCCATGTCCAGCAGCTACTCCTGATCACCAGCAGATGACAGAACCTAACAAGAACATAAAATATACAGTTATGTTAGTTCCAAGCACAACCAAAGGTAAACGGACCAAAGCATGCCTCCACACACACACACACACACACACACACACACACACACACACACACACACACACACAAATGGCTGCTGAAGTTCAACTCTGGAAAGTGTAAGGTGATGAAATTAGGCGAAGGGAGCAGGAGGCTGAACACAAGATATCATCTGGGAGGGGAAATCCTGCAAGAATCAAATAGAGAGAAGGATCTGGGGGTTGATATCACACCGAACCTGTCCCCAGAGGCCCACATCAAAAGAATATCATCAGCGGCATATGCTAGACTGGCCAACATAAGAACTGCCTTCAGAAACTTGTGTAAGGAATCTTTCAGAACCCTGTATACCACTTATGTAAGACCAATCCTGGAGTATGCAGCTCCAGCCTGGAGTCCATACCTAGTTAAACACAAGACAAAGTTAGAGAAGATTCAGCGGTATGCCACCAGGCTCGTCCCGGAACTGAGAGGATTGAGCTACGAGGAAAGGCTAAAGGAGCTGAACCTCACATCCCTGGAAAACAGAAGAGTAAGGGGAGACATGATAACCACCTACAAAATTCTCAGGGGAATTGACAGGGTGGACAAAGACAAACTCTTCAGCACGGGTGGGACACGAACAAGGGGACACAGGTGGAAACTTAGTACCCAGATGAGCCACAGAGACGTTAGAAAGAATTTTTTCAGTGTCAGAGTAGTTAATAAATGGAATGCACTAGGAAGTGATGTGGTGGAGGCTGACTCCATACACAGTTTCAAATGTAGATATGATAGAGCCCAGTAGGCTCAGGAATCTGTACACCAGTTGATTGACAGTTGAGAGGCGGGACCAAAGAGCCAAAGCTCAACCCCCGCAAGCACAATTAGGTGAGTACAATTAGGTGAGTACACACACACACAGTTGAGAGGTGGAACAAAAGAGACAAAGCTCAACCTCCGTAAGCACAAATAGGCGAGTACACACGTGGTGCTGTGACTGCCTGTACCCTGTACAACAGCAGAGATGACCATGATCAAAGAGCAAAGCCCAAACGAAACCAGAAATATATTGTAGAAAACCAAGAGAAGAATACCAGCAGCAAATTGGTACATTGAAGAATATACAACATCCAAATTACTGTTTGGAAATGCTTGTAAGATTTTTGGACTGTATTTTCTGGCATTCATTTTAGGCTGGACTGAGGATTCTGTCATCCTGGCACTAGTATGACCTGAGAGGGGCAGTTTGAAAACATCCCTTCTGCACAGATGTAGGCTGTAGATCTGCTCCAACTTTTTAATGTAGTGTGACACTGTTGATTATAAATGATGCTGGTTAGTGTGGAAGATATGGTAAATGGATGTCTTCAGGAGTATCTTTTTCATTCTTTATCTGTATTATTCTCATTTTCCTGAGTGGTTGCCTTTGCTATCCCATGAAAATGGGGCAATATTGTTTCACAGTCATGGACAAGAAACTTATTAGGATTATTGAGGTCACCCCTAGACTAACTACTAATCTCTTCCAGCATACAACCCATAACAGATGACCAACGTCTGGGTACCTATGTACAATACATGAACAGAGACATTAGATGACAGGAAACGTGCCCAAACATATCTGTTCAGCTATAGGAATTGAACCCGTGACTTTTCGGATCTGAACCAATGCACTTTTCTTTCATTCTCATCTTATTGGTGTGGAATGAAGAACATGGAAGCTGGCAGCAAATGCCATAGCATTTATGATAGAAACAACGGTAACAAAGAATTACATACAAAGCAACAATTATCTAAGAGATACTGATGTAATAAATGCAAGTCTGAAAGCTTCACACACTAATCAGCTGTTTTATATATCTTTTATATATCTATCTTGTTTTATATATCTTTATACTGAAGAAATATAAAGTACTATAGTATGTGGAGCATAATGAAATGCTCTTTACTAAGCATACCACTCAAATGCTCCCGTAGTTAGCTAAATGGGAGAATCTGAGGAGCTTAGCACAGATATACTATGATGACCTTATATAACTAATTTTTACTAAAACAAATCTTAGTCAATATGAAGAAATATATCATTAGTTGATGTGCGAGATATATTTTTATATAAATAAAAGCTTAGCAAAATGTAAATAAATTTGCAATGAAACCAAACCAATAGAGAAACTTGATTTTATGTTCAAATTAACAAAATTACTCAATTCTATATGTTTTTCTACTCTACAGACCTGATATAATAAAGTGGTTTATCCCATGAAACTTGCAAAAACAATTATCACTCCAATATTCAACTTCAAGTGCCACTGGGCACACATTCCAGTCCTTGCTTGGACAATATTTGTCAAAACATTCATAAACCTCTGAGAAGCATTTTTTTCAATGCTTCATCTCTTGTGGAGGTTACTTTCTTCCCTCTCACACAGCCATTTTCTACCATAAACAAGTGTCTGAGCCTAGTTCCACAAGGCCACATTATTTTCCTCTTCATTTGTTTACTAGTCAAGTACACGTGTCGTCGATGGTGTTGTGATCTGCATTAGGCGTGCACTTGTCTAGCAGCCGGTCTTGAGCAGTCCTCACCCATGGCCAAGACACACTTGCATCTTGCATACCCAAGTAATACCACACCTTCCTTTTTTCCCCTTTTAGATACTACTTAGCAGTGTTCCCTCTCAATGTTTAGAAACAGTAGGCAATGTTATTCAAATTAAATCATGTGTCAAAATTTGTAAATAATATTTAAAAGTTGGACCTCTTTTGGACTAATATATACCAAATTAATACTAACTTGCCGAGAACAATCTTTCTACAATTCATTCTTGCCTGAATGTTTACTCTTGCTGCTACTCCATTTTCTCATTAATCTATCAAGCATATCATCTATTACAATAACATCCCATGAATTAAATATTCACATTACACACCTTCAAAACTACAAATTCTATTCACAAATACAAATAAATGAAGAGAATAAGTCACAATAAGGTGACTGACAACAAATAACTCAACTTGTACACACAAAATAAAAGGAAAGTGAGGATGTTGAAGGTTATCCTGGACCCTTATCATGTGCAGACTGAGAAACACGTGGCGGAAGCCATAACAAGCAAAGAGATCAAGTAAGGCAAGATCATGTGAGGCAAGATATAAGGGGAAAAAATTATAGCATGAAAACCCAGTTAAATGCAGCTTCTTATGAAATGGAAGGAAAAGCTGAATATGGTAGAGAAGGAAGAATGCAAAAATGTAAATAAAATAAAGAACAGAGAGAAAACCAAATTACACACAGATTGCGACAAGGTGGAGCACAAAGGGCCAGATAACCAAGTCAGATCACACTAAGATTAGCAAATATGAAAATTAGAGCATTTAACAATGTACTAAGTGAGGCAAGAATCAAAATGTTTCTACTGCTGATCCAGCTCATCCTCCTGTTTTGGTAGTACTTATAGTAACGATGAGGACTACACTATATATACCGACGCACAACGCAATTAAAGTAGAAATCGGCACTATTGAGTTGTACAAACCTGAAAACTATTTTTACTTATGATGGAAAGACAAATTAAACTAACCTAATCTTCCTAGGCCTAATACATACTATCTGAGGCCTAATAAAGTACATGTGCGCTATACTAGGCTTAGAAATATTTTAAGTGTTTTTTTAAGCTTCATTTTTTCCTGACTCTATAAAGTGAATAGTACAAAGTTTTACTACCTAATTGTTTAGTACGTCAATCTTTGTACCACGGTGCACATGGTTACAAAAACTACTACCCAAACAGGAGAATGGGTTGGCTGATCACACTAGGAAGTATGCAATGATAAAAGTTTTATGTTTTAACTCATTAAAACACAGTAATAAATTATAAATACTTGCCAGGCATTATACAAAGAATTAAACTTAATATTTTGTTCTTTGATATTATAAAATTTTACTCGCAGAACAAAAGTTTTGAGTACAGTAGTATCAATCTATAAAACATGTATTCTCATGAGTGTGGTTTGTCCAACTTGCTACATTCTTAGCCAGATGGAGAAGAGTGGGTAGAAACCTAATCAACTGGAATATTTACCAACACATTAAATGCAACAAATAAACAAACTTCCATACACACACACACACACACACATAGCTATAATACTTATAATTATTAAATCCTCAAACTACCTTGGTGACCAAACAAGGAGTACGAGACTGGCTCACCACGTTTCACTCAAACCGCGGCAGAGCATTCACAGCAACGACCCAAATGTTACCTGAACTGTGAGTGCTAGAGTGGCCAGACAGAGGCCCGGTTGTTGTTCCCGGTGTGCTGCCACTGCCGCCTCCCTGTGCACCATCATCTCTGAAGTAACTGCCATCGGTAGGACTGCGAGTTGTGTCACGGTCAAGGACTGTCACCAAGCCAGTCAGACCACCAACACTTTTGTTCACTGCAGTTCTTATGTTGTCACTACTGCAAGAGCAGAATCATTGGCCAAGTGTTATTATTAGTATGACATGTTAATCTCAGACCTGTAGAGAAAAACTAAACCAAGGGTTGAAGTATTAATAAGCTTAAAGTGGCCAATATGACAAGTGCTACAAGCATTAGTTATTCAGTGATTATAACAATTATGAAGCACTTCTGTAAGTTGCATACTGATACAGTATATTGATCAGAGGCCCACATCACTTCATCCATTATAATTATAAGTTTAAAGCTACGATAAATTTATAAAGTATACATCAAGGTTCTAAGATACACTTGTCCCAAATTTGAATACAATATCAATAACTCTCGTGATACAGTATATGTAAAAATATACAGTAGTTGGCCGAATGTCAAAAGTTCGAGGATATTCTTGGGAACCAAGGCTCCTGCATGTCTTCCCTGGCATCAAGGCAACTGTGTAAGAATTTCTGTGCAGCTAGACAATAATTGTTTAGACGTTGCCTAATGTGTTAAAATAGCAAATCTTATGAAAACCACAAAGTATCCCTACTGTGGACACCAAATGAATTGGTTTTAACTGTTTTGACACAATGATAATATCTGACACCAGTCTATATAATACACAAGCAAAAAGACATTAAGGGAGAATATTAAATGTGCATGCAAGCATATAATGGAAACTTCTACTACCAGAAAACATCTGAAGTCATAATATATATGAAAAGATTTATGGAGGTACCCAGATATACCTGAAATTGGTGATAGTAATAGTTTCTGTCTCTGTATCAGAGACATTAGTAGGAGTGGGAGTACGTGCATGCCCTGGTGAGTTCAGGAACACATCACCATTGTCAATCTCATCCGTCGGGTAGGAATCTGATGAACCACTGGTGAAGGACAGGTGCCGTCTGCTAGGACAAGGGAAAATTATCATCATGATCTGGGGAGGAATATGGGTCATGTACTTTAACAAGGAAAACTAAGTGCAGTGCTAAGGTTTGAGGAGCTAAGAGTGATGTAGCAATTGGTGTGCTACATTAACATCTAGGTTGCCAAGGTGGATTTCACTAAAGTACAAAATTGGGAAAAGATCTGCACAATAATCAGAGAAGGTAATTTTGGTTGCAGCAATTCTCAATAAGATCTTGCCAACCTAGGAGATTGTATTTGTTGCAATGGAAATCAGCCCATTTTTATCCTTTACAAGTATCTTAATATAAAACACTCACTTCCTGATGACATGTCAGCATCAATTATTAGTTTTGCTTAACTATCCGGTGATGTTAAAATGTAATAGAATAAAAAATGTAAATACTTTGCTTTCTAAACTGTTAATTTAGCACAATTATGATAACTTTAGAATTCCACACACTAAGTGTGGGTAAACCTTATAGCAGCCAAAGTGGACGTCCAGTAACCACTCACTCTTGGCGAGTTGTGTCATTATCCCACACGACCATAACGAAACAGTTTCCTTCCTTGTGATTTCTCACAAGGAAGATTTCTCAAGGTTTTAATGATATATTAGACATGTTAACTGACCAACGTCTCAGGGCATTCAAGAAAGAGAACTAGATAAATACCTCCAAAGGATACCTGATCAACTGGGCCGTAATCAGACTGTGAGGAGTTGTATCTGACAGCCTCATTGACCAGATCACCAACCAGGAGGCCTGGTCAGAGACCGGGCCACACACACACATTGATCCTTAGAACTACCACAAGGATAGGGTAAGGCCATAATGGAGTGGAAAAACTTAAAATATACTGGACAACATTTAAGAGGGTAAAAGGTACAAGTGTAAGGGAAAGCCTTTTTTTGTGAACAGCATTCCAAGGAAAGCATTACATGAAAAATTAGTGCACTGCTTGAAGATCAAGACTGTGAGTACTGTAATTTGACACCGATACTCAAGAAAGCATATGATTATGTTGAGAGCAGAGAGGTAGAAAATGTCGAGTCGCTTCATATTGGTGATGCTGATGAAGTTCACAATGGCACCACGGCAAAAGATGATAGAACACCAGGCACTAGAACAAGAACATTATCTAGTCAATCTTCTGGAGGGTATACAACTGATAAACTATGCCAGAAGTTAATGCATATTCTGGAATACCTAGAATGTCTGTTCCCCTTCCTATGACATTTATGGGTTTATTCAGATGCTCGGTACAAGGGAGTTAATGAACTTTACTGTAGAAACTAATTTGAAATATTTATAAACGCTGCATTCATTGTCATCTTGTAAAAAACTGATGTCAATATGTATAAAATGGTTTTAGCACCAATGCTCTAGCAGGGTAAAGGACACCGATTTCCTAACTTCCTACATCCCCAAATGCCTGAACCTGCCAACCCCAAGAGAAAGGCAAGGGACAGCACAAATCTATTCCAGAATCTAAGAAGAAATAAGGAAGAGAAGTGTCCACCACTGATCTGGTCTAACAAATCTAAAATGGTCTAACAAACAAAAGGGATGAACAAGTAAGGACAGACTGGACCTCAAAACCACCACCACTGCTGCAAGGATCCTCATTCTCGGATCCTGCACCAATACCTCAGGAGCCACAAAGGTCCCAAGCTGAATACATTTAGGAGCCCCTGCTAGAAGTGAAGGTAGGAAAGTAGCACCAGCAGATACTGAACAAACAGAGCTGACCCATGCCCCTGTAGGGAAAGCAACAGGGAAAGGTCTGGATTTAGTACAAGTGCACATCACTAAAGCTTCAAAAAATATTGTACAAAATAAGAGAGAGGAGACTTGCCTCCAACAACATTGGCCCAGTTGAAGACTGCAAAAGCCAGTACCATAAGGTGCATGCATTAACTCTCAAATTCAAAAGGCTTAAAACATTTTTCGATTGGCACCAAGGGATGGGCACAACTGGGCAAGAAAAGCTGGGGCAGAAAGGTGAGTGTTAATTCTTTTTTTTTTCCATTTCAGTACTATACATTTAAACATAATTATAAACATCCTTTCAAGTTACTACTAATTATCACAAAGGAAAAAATATATTCCAGGACAGACTACAGAGTACAATAATTTCCAACAACTAGAATGCAACACTTGTGAATGGTGATCATCATATAGTAAATGGCACCAAACTGCTCACCCATGAGATGATCCATCCATAAACTTAACCTTCTGGCCAGTGGCATCATTGGTAGTATGGCACGGCGAGCTGTCCACACTGATGGAGGCTTGGTCAATACTTCCCCGACTTCCACACCTCCTCAAGTGAAAGCAAAATTAATTATCTATTACCAAATGTGGAGGAGATCTCTCCCTTTGAGAATAAGAGTTCACTTAATTTAAAACTTTAGCATATAAGCCAAAATTAAATATAAAATGCTAAACACTAATTTTTTTTATAATTCCATATTTATTTAGCAGGGTGGACAACATAAAAATAAGAAGGTTTATCTTAGTATTTAAGTGATCCTTATACTGAGAGACAGTTTCATACATTGGAAAGGACGACTATATGGAAAAGATATTAACTTGTTTACATCTCCAGAAAACATATTCTTGATTTAGGTCTATATTTGCAACAACCTTTGACAAACCTACACTTGTGTACATACCATTGTCTCCTACACTTGTATACACACCCTAGAGAAACCCATCTCCTACACTTGCGTACACAGCCTAGAGAAACCTGCTTATTACATTTGTATTGAGTGCACCAGGTTTAAATGACTAGATAGCAAGGCATAAAGCACTTGGTCTCACTCCCCCATAGTCACCGACAAGTAAGGACTTTCATGTGCCTAAATACAACTTACATTGGGGGTTCCTTCACTTCAATAGTGGGTGAGGGAACTCTGAAGCTTTTGGACCTCAGATGAGGCTTGGGACCCAGGCCCAACCGGTCCTTCATAGATGTTGCCTTTACACTCTGGCGACGGAGTTTCTTTATTACATCCCGACGGAAATCGTGGAATACGACCGCTTCCAGTTCCTGCAATCGTCGCATTTCTTGCTCTATGGTAGATGCAGATGCTCCGAGCATCTTGAGGTCATTTACAGTCTTTGCTTGCTCATTCATCTCAATTTCCAGAAGCTTGGCTCTCTGTCTAGCATCCAGATTGGGATCAAATATGAAGGCTGGAAGACTCTCATTAAAAGTAAACTGTCTCCTCAGAGAAGATGACTCCTGCTGTAAGAAAAAATACATTGGCAAAAAACATTGCTCATACTAAGGTTCTAAATATATCATCAGAAATAAAACACAAAGCAATGAATATAAATTGCTTAAGTTTAGATTCAAGAAAGACCAGGATAAATACTGGTGCAGAAATAGGGTTGTAAAATTATGGAATAAATTATCAGGCAACATAATAGATGCAGGCTTACCACACTGCTTTAGCAAAAGTTAAGCGTTCATAGTACAGTACATTAATGAGTATGGATAGATATAAATAGGAGCTGCCTCATAAATGCAAATAGACTTTTGTAGTTTCCTTCATTCTCATGACATAGCATCAGCAGTTGCCTGGTTGACCAAACTACCAACCACAATGCCTGGTCAGAGACCGGGCTGCAGGGATGTTGATCCTCGAAATTGTGAATAGATAACCGAAAAGTAAGGTATCACTCGTTTCAAATTTTTGTTGGCTAGACACTGCTTGGTGCTGCTTGGAGAATTGCCACCAGGACTATTTTTAGTCTTCTAAATTTATAATTCTAAATACAAAAAAGTTTGGAGTGAGGGAGGGAGGGACTCTGTGCACTCCCTTTGAGGGAGTGCACAGAGTGACATACTGGAAAGTACATCATGAGCATCAGAAAAGTAACATTGGGAAACATGTGTAAAAGAGTCAGAATGTTTGCGTGTGGTAGATAAGATAGAAAATAAAATATTTGTATATTATTATAGCATGAATTTTAGTACTTAATAGATAACATTAACTATATTAAACAGATGAATTTAATAAATATATCAAATCAAATATACAAAGTAGAAAGAAAATCTTGGAGACAATTAAGTGCTATGAAATGTGAAAAGTACTCTAAAAATTGTGTACATGATATACTATACATAAATGGAAATAGTATCAGATATAAAATAATTCAGCATTTGCTATGTACAATATTGATCTTGGAACAGAACTATTGTGATGGTTATCATACCTGGGCTGATGCGTGATCAGCGTGGTCAACATCATCATCTGAATCATAATTGGCTTGAGGTCCAGCGGTGTCAGGAGCCCCTGTAAGCATGGTGAGTGTGCGAGCCAGTGCACTCAGATGCTTACCAATGTTTACATCAAGATGAAGGTCAACACCTTCCATCTGCCACTGAACGTTAAGTAGCCACTTGGCATTCTCTGCTGTAGGGATGGTAATTACATTAAAATATTAGTAATTACATCTAAAGTAAGTTAACATATGCTTTCACTACTGATGCTGTTTATGAATTCATTTATTCAATCCAAAGGGACTAATCTAGCTAAAAGTATTCCAGAGGACAAAATCATCGTAAATGTCTAATTTCTGGATGATTTTCCAGTAGAATATCATTTGCACCCTGTATCTCATGTGAAGAGGCCAGGATTTGGCTCTGGTCCCCAGTCGGTCATATAAACTTGTGCAACTAATGTGACTAGTAGATTAAAGCAATCTTGGAGAGATAACTATAGGGAACAATTATTGGGCTCCCCCCCAAGAAATTGGGATCTACCACCAACACCAAACACTTCAACCTACATCTGGTGAATAGTGTATTTCAGTGAAAACACTTCAACCTACATCTGGTGAATAGTGTATTTCAGTGAATTTGAGGAGGGAAGAAGAGGAAGACTAGAAAGGAGATTGGGTGGATATGGTACGTGTGTATTTGGAAGTGGTGAGCGAGTGTGAACAGCAATTTGTAAGGAGGGAGCGAATATATATATATATTTTTTTTTTGAGATATATACAAGAGTTGTTACATTCTTGTACAGCCACTAGTACGCGTAGCGTTTCGGGCAGGTCCCTGGAATATGATCCCCTGCCGCAAAGAATCGTTGTACAGTACAAGATGATTTGCAAGAACTGTATGCCCGGACTTATGAAATGGTGGGATGCTACTGTTGACAACTGCTGGAGTATGATGGTGTATGATTATTCGTGATACTATATACAGTATAAAGTATGCTGTAGTTTGAATTATTCACCTATTCACTACGAGTTGATGCCTTCCCACCCCATGAAAGGAGAAATAGGGTGATGATAAAGCATGCATACATTCATATCTTTTTAACAGCATATTCCTGGTAAAGTTCTGGATCATGAATGTGAAAATAAAGTTGTACCTTTTTCAGAGTGTCCTGCGACTGTCCGACTGCAGACCTCATAAGTTCCCTCAGAAACTGTACACAGATTGATTGTTGTATCCTTGAAGTCAGGCTTCCAGTCATCCAAGCTTGTCTCAAACTCCGGAGCAAAGCGCATGCAGAAGCCCTTGAACCGAGCTTTACACACCAGAGAGCCAGAGTTACACGCGGAGATGATGGTGCTCTCTAATGTCACCACAAGTGCATCCCGGGTCTCTGTCGAGTCCACTTGATGGCTCACCTATCATTAGGCAAAGAAAATGGTTTCATCACAGACAATGATTGCAAATAAATTTAAATTAAACTATAGAAATTATATAACATTGAAATAAAGAATAATTAAACAATTTTTTTTTTATATCTAGCAAATAAAAAAAAAGAACATTCAGGACATTAACTTAGTAATTTGTTTGATTTAGCAAATGCTTTTTTAGAAAATTTAAGTTTCGCTTACTGTTCGGCAAGGATTCAGGGGAAGACAGATGCCTATGTCATCTACAGTCAACTGAAGATAGACATTGTTTGTGATATGTGCTGCAGAAGACAAAGATGAAAACTGAGGAACTTTTTCAAATACTTGCTGGGTGGCTGTTAACACCTCCTAAAAGAAGAAAAGCAAAATATAGGTAAAGTACAGTACTTTAATTTATCACATGTTAACTTTCTGTAACCTTTGTTACAAATTATCAACACTTAATACATTATAAATAATAATGTTGTACTGCAGGATAAGGTACACAATGTAACCAGTTTCAAGTGCAAAACAAATTACCTGGAACCTTTTCAATACAAACCTTATTGAGAGAGGCACGCTGTTCACTCCAGTACTCGTAAGCATTCTTATAATTGAGCCAGACAAGAACAGCTCGGTCGACTGCGAGGGGCTGGACACACACCAGTGGCCGTGTCAATGTGATGAGCACCACCTCCCCATCGTCACCAACACTAAGCATCTCATTGTATAAAGCATTGCGCAAACCTAGAAAATAAGATGCATCTTTCATGTACTTAAGTGGCAGACCTCTAGTGTACCAAAACTCAGTACTGTACTTGTATTGGAATAGATTGTGTATGTGTGCATAAGTACTATGCTATTACATTTCATTAACTTCCTAATTATGCAAAAATTTTAAATTCTACAAAAACTATGCAAACAAAAGGTGATAAAAGGAAAATGGGCAGACAAGAAAAACTGCATATGAAATGTCCACCAAGGCTACGTAGATGAAGAACATGGAGAGCAACAATGTGAAAAGTAAGAAGGCTAATGCTGTAATCTGGAGTGGAGAGCAGATGCTGTTCACAAAAAGAAGAAAATGAATACTGCACAACTAAAAAGGATAATTCTCAACTGTAGAACACTGTGGCCATGTTCAGGCCACAGTGGTGTTGGGCAACTTATGATACTGCTTCTCAACTTGTAGGCTCTCACACTTAAGTATTGGCCCTAGTAGTTTCAAGTATTGCCTATGATGGGATCCGAACACCTTTCTCTTTTCCATAATGAGGACTTGAAATTTTTAGTCTGGTCAACCTGAGAGTGACTCCAGGGGAGAGGGGAGGGTATGTTCATTTCCTGCTTCCAGGTGTCTGACTTTCCGTGTTTGGGCCACACATTGTCTGCTTTCTTAGCCACTCCTCTGACTGTGGCATGAAAACAGTTTCATCTGTTGGCCATGCAGGTGTTGGAGGCCAAGGTTACATACACAGTAGTTGGTGCATATACCAAAACCATACACAGTATTTGGTATATATACTGCAATCAGACAGTAGTTGGTACACACACTACAATCATACACAACAGTTGGTAAATACACTGCAATCTCTCACACACACAAGCAGCACATGCACTACTCTGCTTGGACACAATACGTACATATTCTCGTCCGGAAAAATGCCAACTGTTGAAACTCTGGCTCTGCTTCTTCAAACATATCATTTCTGATGAGCTGTCCAAGAGCTACATTGATGTCCACCTAGGGAAGATAAGTTTACCTGTCACTGTCAAAGTAAAACAATATACAGTACAATGATTCAATTCCACAGTATCTAGAAAAGCAAGATTTCATGTTTAAATACATTTAGCTGGAAAAGGCAAAGTTGTGAGACTTTATTTTCCCTATCCTTGCTTTATGCCCGAGTTATGAAAATAGTTTAAATCTTGAGTCACCGTTTCAATAAGTTTTAAAGATGAAGTGATTTACTGCATGCACTTTTTAAACTTTTGAACACCTGCTCCACCCAATTTCTCTGGTAAAGAAATATGGACAATGGCTACAGATAGAACGCAAGTATAAAAGAAAGAAAAAGGCTCCGAATCAATATTGAAGGCACCTTTCTGAACAACGTCACTTGATTTTCCTCGAGATAAGGATCTACTTTAAGTTGACAGGGATTATGCCCAGTTAGGCAGAATGACTGACACCTGGGATCTTTTCAATCATCCCTGCAGGGATGATCTTGAGGATCTGTGGAACTAACCCACAGATCGGTTAGACATCCGATTTAGACATCCAGAGGACCCCTCCAGTTTATACAGTGAAGCCCCCAGGAATCTAAAGAGCTCTCTCTCACAGGAAGCCAGGAAACTCCCAGATATCTGGGGTACATTCCCAGGAATCCAGTACACTCACAGGAAATATTGGCATTCTGCTGAGAAACAGATACTCTCAGTGAACTGGGAGTTGGAGTTCTTGGAGACCTGGTTATTGAGAGAATTTATTGGGGCCACCCTCTTGACTTGTCAGTGCTTTCATTTCAAGTCCCAGTGATGGAGTGGTGGGAGAGCATTTGAGAGCTATCTGGCAGGGTTGGGCCATGGATGGCAGGTCTCTCTGCCTCTGCATAGAACTGCAAGTTTCCCATTTTATGTGCTCGGTTCCTTGACAGAGAGGTATCCGAGTTGAATGTGATGCGTCTGAACTGAAATCAGTGGGAGGTCACTTATATCTTTCCTACTGTCTGGATGTTACTTCCAGTCAAGTTCAACATATTGTGCTATGTGAGCTGCATCTTTCTTTGTAGCAGAACTCTCAAGATAAATTCCACACACAGGAAAATATGAACTGAAGAACTTATATAATCACTCTGGGCAGGACAGCTTTTCTCTATTGCCTCCGTAGCACCAGAATAAGGACAGGGTTATTTTTATGGGCCAGTGCAAAATGTCACCCAGCCCTGACTCGCATGATCCAGTCTAATGTGACACTGAACGATCTTGCCTTACTGAGCATCAGTGTGTCTTGCTCAAGAAGAAACTTTTCATATTCACTCAGATCCTGATTTTTATATAACAAATTTTTAATCTACAAGAAAGATGTAAACTTTGCAAAATACAGATGAGGTGCCCTCGAGTTGTATTGAAAATGCATTACAGAGATCTATACGAGAGGAAAATTTTGCTACTATTAACAATGCAGTAATGGACATAGTTTAAGCTAATGACTAATAGTCTTACTCTTGCTATGCATTATCATCTTTATAATGCAATTACTACACAGTGCGTTAACAGCATGTTAATACTCAAAGATTTGACCATGACTTATCGGTATAAAGATAGCACTAAGCACATTCCTGACAACACAAACTAACCTGTGCTTTGCCAAATATTTTCATGGGTTGAGTGGGATCAGCTGAAGTGCGTGTTGGCCGGCTGATGTTCTCGACTCGATTACTGAGTTGTAGCTCCACAACACCAGTTTCTAGCCGTACAGCTGATTGCGTTGGTGTTGTTGCCGTGATAATGATGCCCTAGAAGCCAAAACTTGTATCAAATGTAGTATAGTTTTATATTAATAAAATATCTAATGATTCTCATCAGGATGTTTCCCCCAACAGCTAAGAGACTGCCACATATAGTCTTCAAAATGAACTCTACACCTTTAAGAATTAGAAGACAGGTATAAAAATCTACTCACATAAAAACAATCTCATACATTTACAAATGCTACCAAGTGGTCAAAATTCAATAGGAAAATTCTAAAAAACTACCTGTAGTCAAGGAATTCACCAATTTCATTTGGGTATAGAGTAATAGTATGAGTGAAACTAATGGTATTTGAAGTATACTGGACACACACACTGGGTGGTTTGTCTGTTATATCAACTTTTAATTTCCAAATAAATTCTTAAGTTTGTGCATCACAAAAGTATAGAACTAGTATTTGAGGTGCTCAGTTTGAAAATGCCATCCTCACTGAACAGTCCCAACTCTAGGTGTACCGAGCTTTTAAATATGAAGAACAAGTTCCACAATTACCCAAACTCAATTCAGATCACCAGATCTATCATGTTTGCAGAAATCAAAAGATAAAAGCAGAACTGCCCATGATAAAAACTTTCTAAGCGGTACAATAACATATTTCATCATACACTGCAGTAAAATTGTTAAATGTAAACAATTATTGATCTGGTTTTAATAGAATAAAAAGAGTATGCAATAAGTATACTACTGTATTTGCATGCAACAGTAGTCATGTATCACACATTATTCACTAAAGTATAAAGTACACAGTTTCTTGCTCTGTACCTTTTTTTTTTTGCATTCATTAAAATTCAAATAACAACAACAAAATTTGACTTATAAACCTTAAGTCGAAGCTGAAGAGTAAAGAGAAGGTGCTTAGGTTGAGAGACATGACTGGGTCCCTCCTCGGTCCACAGTGGCACTGGCTTGTCTCCCCCGGCCATTTTCTGTACTACTTCATTTACTTCCTGTTTACACATGAACAATTATTAAATAATCTATGTAGTAATATTCTCTAAAATATTATTTATAGGGACAAAAAAAATCAGTGCTGAACATAAAACACAAGAACATTGTTCCTCAACAACAGCCTATTGTATACAGCATCAATACATTCAAGTTAGATCCACGTTCACGAAAACCACACGTTAACTAGACGTAAACGAATTGATACAAACTTTCATAAAGACTTTCTGGACAAAGACGAGGTGGTTGAGGAGGTCAGTAGTTAGGCTATGCTCCAGTGCACCAATCTCGGCCACAGCACTCAGGTAGTTGCCCTCACGCAGTACCATACCATCAGCTGCTGCAACCAAATTTACAGTTTGATTTTATACCTTAAGAGATCGCCCTCCTAGAAGTGTTAAGTCTCCAACTCTTCAAAGAGATGCAAGCCCATCACCTTAAACACTGCCTATCTGCTCTATTGCTAATAACTTGGGTAATTAAAACAATTGCAAAATGAGAATGTTAATCTTGCATAATAATACTTATCTAAGTAATACCCATACAACATTAAATTCATTTACCTCTAATTTAATCAATTTCTCGAGTGACTCGGCACAGTATGACCTTGCACGGATGCTTGAAAATCCCCAACAGAGCCCTGCTGTTTTCCACCCTTGCACGAGTGCACGATGTAATGTCAAAACTCAGTGATATCTTACAAAAGAGAGCAGTCAGATATAGCCCAGAAAACCAAATGCACAGAAACTACACCTGCATGCTGGTCAGTTCGAGCAGGGTCATCTTGAATTAACTCGGCCTCCACGTGCACCTGAGGCAATTGTATGCTGGCTGACGACGGCAGGTGGGTCTCACTCGGCTGGAGGAAGAGCATTAAAATGAGCTAAGTAAAAAGAATATAATTATATTTAATGAGTTCTAAGTTATTTAATTTGCAGAAACTAAGAACTGAAACTAGATACACTAGTAAGCAATAACATTTGGAGGATACAAATTTAGCCAAACTAATCATATTTAATGTGAAAAAGCTTTAGTGCAAAGCAAGGAACACCTATTTTATTATATAAATATCGTGACAGTGCGGTTAGTTCAGGAATAACAGGGAATGGGTACGTAACAAGTCCTATAATGATACCAGATGAGCTGGATTAACTGTCAAAATGCAGCAAGAGCAATGTAGTAATCATTTACTGTAAAGAGGTGATCATCATGTTTTGATTGTTTAATACAATGCAGTCAATATCAAATAAAAATCTACATCTTTATCATTAGTATTTGATTCCCAAAATTGCCAACATGGCTCCAATAGTTCAATATTTTCTCCTAGCAGTCATGGGAAGCCTAAAATAATTTGGAGTCAAATGAACTTCAACTCCTGGTCCCCCTCAATATATGACCACCACACTTACGAGGCCAACAGAACAGCAAGTGCCGACAACGTTGGGTGTAACAGAGCAGCAAGTGCTGACAGTGTTAGATACAGGCACAGAAAAGTTTACTTTTCCCACAGTAGAACTTCACATCACTAAGTTCAAGTATGTCATCTATAAATGGGTTGCACTGCCTCCACAGACGAACTGCACTATCACTCATTATATATGATAATACAGTATATCAATTTAATGATTTCTAACATATCTAGAGTATGCAAAGCAAATGATGATGGGATGGGAGGAGCAGAGAGTAAAGTATGGCAGCAAGAGCACAAATCACCAGGTCCTGCAGTCTTGTGGAGAAGGAGAGATGGTGCGTCGGCAGATGAACAGTGAACTTGGCCTTGGCTCCAGTGATTCCCAAACTGGACACTTGCTCCATCCGGTACTGGGCTTGCAGTGATGGCAGGAGAGCAGCTTGGATGCTCAGACTCTGTGTATATATGGTTTGACCAAGTGATTAATAGTAATATTATATGATTATTGGCATATATATTCACACACACACATATACCGACATATTTGGGCAAGTCAAGGAAGCACTTCATCAGCTGTTGGTGAGTATTCATTAAAGCAAGAGTTGGAACATTAGAGATGAAGTGTTGCTGGTGTGGGGTGGCACTAGTTTCCCGTGATGTCATGAATGTAAGAAATATTATTACGAGTGGATGGAAGTCATTCATTTACCATCTTTAATAACCATTTCATTTTAATGTATTCTCATAAATTAGTTTTTCCCAAGTTAGTTGATCAAAGCTATAAGAGTACATTTATATGCAACTGTTTGAAACTCAAGAAAACACAGGCAGAACATTTAACAAATTAACTAACAAGATGAAATACAGTACAAGAGAATACTTGATGGAATTACTGCTTCCTAACACTAGCTGAATAATGTTCATCACTAATTTTTATATACAAATTAAATATTTACTCCTGTACCATTATCAAGTAGAGTCCAGGACGGACCGAAACGTCGTCGTTTCTTCATTTTCTGATGTGTGGTTTGGTCTTCTTGTCTTCAGTCATTTTATTGTGACTCATTGGCTGCATATATACCTCACCTTCACAAACTGATGCCAAACTTGCCTTTCTCTTTAGCACATTTAATTCATGCTTTATCACACTAGCTCATCATCCATGCCCTTCTTCCCTCCTACTCCTCTTAGTTCACATGAATCGACTCTCTTCATCATCATGTAGTTTAACATTACCAAATCATTTCGGTGTACTTTCCTGCTTTAATGCTTTGCACTCCTTATTTCTCCACCATATTTACAAGCCTTACTCCATGTTTCCTCCTAACAACACATGCCTCTCGCAAGTGTCCATTCCACTGCCCACACTCTTGACTTTACACTGTCATGTCAGAATCTTACAATCACGCACAAATCCACTCCATACACTTCTCTGGCTGCAGCTCTTCCTGGCCTCTTCTTTTTAATAGAACAAGTGGTTGGTTCATTACAACAACCACTTTTCTCACTTGAATCACTAATATCAACTTTTCTTTCAGAAATAAATATTTTGCCAACCACACACATCTCCGTTAAATAATCTGGACACAGACCATAGGAACCGTGGGGTCCACAGCTCGAGTCTCCTAGAGCCCAGGTGAATGGAACATCCCAGTTATTTATACTGAACTGCAACTTTCACCACTTGTACATTCTTGCTAATTTCACAAACAATTCTTTCTCTCTTCTCCACCATACCTTCACTTTTGTCCACAACCACTTTTAGTGGTTTTCTTATATCTATCAAAACAATTTTTACTGGGTACCTGCAATAATATGGAGAACTGAATCACTAGTGGGTTGAGTAGAGCATCTGGTGGAATTGGTTCCTGAGGTCCAGGAGGCTCTTGAGGGGGGCGTGGCGACGCCGTCACGTCTGGTTCATCAATAGTGGCTCCTCGGCTTAGACGAGCACTTGGACGTGCCACACGTAATTCCTGTCATCGAAATGAAAATATAATGGAGTACGGGAAACCAAACATGTTATTATAAAGATTATTATTTCTTCAATATATTTGCAATAAAAGGCAAAGTGAGGATCTTTATACTGTATATGATGAAAACTAAGGCCACTGACCATGAGTGTTGAGGAGAGCTGCTTGCTTCCTCGGGTCATCATGTCATGAAGGATGACTGGATGTTGAGGAATATCTATGTGAACATCTCCAATTGTGATAAGTGCCGAATTCTTATCTTTGGTCTTGCGAGATAGACTGGAGTAAAGCCCTTGGCTCTTTCCGATTGTTACTCGCACTACAGTCCTGTGGGAAAAATACTTAAATGCACTGTCAATCCATCAGGTTCACACCTTTTCCTGCATACATGCCTTGGAGATCACAACAATAATTTATGTTAAGATTTGTTACATTATCTTTCTTTTATGCATAGCAGAGTGAAAGGCAACTAACACAGTATTTGTGTATCACATTTAATTTGATTATACCCCCCTGAAGTTGCATGGTGGAGGGTATATATTTGTTTTTAAATAAGTTACTGAAGCTGGGGAAAAGGTTGCCACAGCTGTCAAGAAAGATCATCATCATTACTAAATCTACACCACAAAAACATAAAAAGTTATGATATTTTTACCATCCTGGTTCATTACCGAGCCAAAATTCATCATTATCATTGTCCAAGCCAGGCCAAAATGCTATCATTTCTCATGTTTCTAATGTGTGGATTTAGTGCTCTTTTATTTAAAAAACATGTTACTATGAACTTTATTCTTCATCATCATCAATTAGTTTCCAAGTTTCATGGAGTAGAGAGGTAACGGTAGAGGAGGAGGAGGAGGAGAAAAAAACTTGTCCCATTTTCCATACTAACCAGTATCACATGGAATTGGCACTATCACATTCCAGCAAAGCATCTGCAAAAGTATTCCACAACTTCATACAACAAAGTGTAGAATGCTTCCTGCAATTTATTATCTAAATAATGTTCAACACTCATTAACCGATTCCACCTAAATTTAATCACTACCATTTCACACTTGCATTTCCCTCTCAATACCTACTGGCATGTCCACGAGCACTCTCATCACAGGGTTCTCATACATAACTATCTGAGCCCTCACACTGTCACCCAAACACTCACCCCTTGGAGATACTTCAGCAACTGTTGTTATAGTGCAAAACATTGTACAAGTACTGCAGGTACTGTACTGTCTAACTGTTTACATTTAGCATAGCATCTCAGATATTTGCTGCCGAGATACACATAATGGTGCAAATACATTAAGAAACTTGGAACATTTTCAAGTCAAACTAACAAATCTCTTTAGAGAAGAGTGGACAACTCACTGCTGGTTGGGAGCAATGCCTTCAAGGAGAACAATCATTGTGCTGCCAATGTGCCCCGTATGCGAGAGTTCTGAAGTTGTTCGTTGAGTGGCCCTCACAGGTGTTCTGGCTCCACGAACTTTCTCTCTATAGAAAGAACAATTAAATAGATTTTCCACTTAAGTTATTTACTGTATACATGTCAAAAGTTATATTAAACTTAAAATAATATAAAATAACCAAGCCATAAAACAAATGCAGCAGACCCTGACTGTTCAATGGTCTGGTGCCAACAGGTTTGGTTATACCCAGATAGAGGTACTAGTACATACTTTTACACTTTTGATAGTTTTCATAACATTGTGATTGTACATTCCATGCAAGTGGTAAGTGGAAACCATGACATCACACCCTTCATATATTTTGAACTGCTCTCAACCCCGTTGGGTGCCGAGTATTACAAATACTGTAGCAGGATTCATATACAGTATTTCCAAATATGTGAATGGGTACTGCATGCTGAATCTCATCATCAGTTTTACCATTTACAGGATTGCCACTGTTTTACAAACAAACATTTTTATTTTAAAGACTACATGTATTATCACCCTACAAAAATGTTTTTATTAAAGATAAAATTATAACACATCACAACTAAATGCAAGACTTGTTCACCAACCTGAAAGTCAATGAGGAGTGAACAGCATTCATTTCAGCCTCCAGCTTGAGTCCACTCAGTGTTGCAAGTAGCTTTGTTCGCTGAATCTTGGCCAGACCAAAGACAACAAATGGTGTCCTCTCTCCCGAGATTAAACCTAGTTACAAAACAAGAGTCACTGGTTAAACACGACACAAAGTACTGACAATGACGTCCTTCACCGAGTTGAGGGGAGAGTTTTTTGGGGATAACATTTTGCCTGTAAATGCGACATTAGATCTAACCAATACAGTGGCAGAACTCGATAGGGGCCAAAACGTCATCACTATGTACTTTCTTTCCATGTATGTCGGTTGGGTCAATTTTTTTCAGCTATATTATTGTGACTTGTTCTCTACTTCTAAAGAAAGACAAAAGTGTGAGGGATGAGGGAAGGGAGTGAAGGATTATTTAAGTCACAGTTGATATTTTGAAATATTAGTTTAGCAAGAGGGAAAAGCAATATTGAATTCTCACCTATATGAGTCGATGAAGTGACCATCCATATACTCATGACCAATTTTGAGATTTGTTTTAATTTTTGCAACCCAGTCTATGGCATGTGAAGAATCCCAATAATTTCTAATGAGTTTGTTACATATAACCTTATAAATACAAATACTGTAGTGTACTGTACACTACTAGTGTGCCAGACTTTTATTATTACAAACTTTACAATACTTTTTCTTTTCTTTGAGCAGACATGCATGTTACCTACTAACAGTACATTTTGTATTTAAATAAATTAACTTTTTATAAAGTACTGTACAGTACAAATGTAAATGTTAAACTTGGAAAGAAAAGACAAGATTTTTTTTGAAGAGAAATCAAGCTCAAATCTAACCACAAGGTAATGTTAATTGGCAGAAGGGTCCGAGATTTTGCACCAGAATTACCTTTTTATGAAATAATTTTTATAAGCCTTTCTCCTGCACTTAATATTAGAAACCAGTAACAAATCCACAGGAGCCTTGGTGAGGCTTTGAACCTCCATGCCAGGTGTTCCCAGACGCACTCTAGTCGCCTAGAAACAGTGCTAGTAATATCTCCAAATTCGTCTGTCAGCCAATTTACTCCCCAACCACGAAACATTTTCCCCAACAAACCCATTGTTTTATCCTTGACTGAAATTTCTTTGTGCCCTTACCCCTTCTACCTTGTTTTCTTTTACTTAAAAGTAACTACTTTCTACTCGTAATAGCTGGAGTATTTAAAGAAATTTTTTTTAAAATTATTTATCTATCTATTTAATAAACAAATATTTTGAATATTTAAAAAAAATCTCGGAGCAATGTTAGGTTAAGTGCTAGTACAGGTGCAGAGGAAAGGACATGACCAAGAAACATCACTGTTGGTAGAACTGAGTCACCCACAAAATTTAAATCCCATTGTACTACAGTAGCTGGATTTCAGCCCTTATAGCAATGTTTTTTTAAAGTACGGGCCGTGATGTGCTTTTCACAGAGTCATGAGGTTTGTCAGTTTCTATAATTATTTTTCATCAAGAGATGCATGAAGTTTTAAAGAAATAAACACACGAGTAAAAGATCCATTTCCTTTTGATGTATCAAATCTGTCGTATGGTTGAACTTAACATCTGAACAAAAAAATGACCTGCTCTATCTCGCATATGACAACTTATTACGAATGAGGCACTAAGCATCACCTCTTATTATGTTGGATCAGTGCTTCAAATGAATACATTAACTCTTAATTGAGTATTTTGTCATTGCATTCTCTTATGATAAATCACGTACGTGATGTTGGATTTTCTACTCTGACAAGGTGACAGACAGAAACTGACTCAACAGTGCAGCCTATGTGCATTTAGCACTATTGTTGCATCAACCAGACTAGGCAAAAATAACAAGCAACAGACAAAGGTCCACTTTGAATCTTAACTAAAGAGCCGTAACCTTCAAATCAACTTGCCCGTTATTTTATTTTATATTACGCGTCACACAGTTTCAAACTCTGAACAGGAATAGGTTCATGAGGGTACGCAATATTAAAATTGTGCACAGTAAATAATTTATATAAAGACAATTTTGCCTAATAATACAAATTTACTGCCAAAAACAAAATTTAGGAAGCATTTGAAAAAAAAAAAATGTGATTAACACATGTCAGTGAAAATGAGTCAATCTTGATTTTTGTATACAGATGTCCTAGTGCGGATAAAAATTCTACATCAAAATAATTTATGAAGAATGTTGGCAATAACACAGTGTACAGAAGGAACCTTTCTGTAGCACAATGGTCTGCGTCATCAGCTCTCAACCAAATGGTCCCGGATTAGATTCTCAAGAAGGCGAGACATTTGGGGAAAGTCTGCTTACTCCTGATGTTCACCTAGCAGTTAGTCAACTGTTTTGTGATGCATCCTGGAAAACTCACTTGCTGGCCTAGGATTCCTCACCAAGCCTAACAAGTTTCTTGTCCCTGACAATGGGAAACCAAACCAAAAGAAAATGAAAAATACTTTAGGAAATAAACTTACCAAGTTCCTTAGTTTTGTCAGCCACTACTGGGGGTGGAGAGACAGCAGGCAAGGGCCCATTTTCAATATCTGGTTGCTTACTTTCTTTGAGAATATCATATTTCCGACTACCTTTATATCCCTCTGATGCATCGCCTGTTACTGATGATCTGAAGTGAAGAATCAAGCATGTAAAATCTTAGAATATAACTTCCTTCAATTTAAGGAAGTTATATCTTTAAGACTTTACATGGAAATTAAAACATGATTTTCAAACTGCTTTAATACTGTATTTTGATGTTATTCCAGCAAGTTTCATCCAGCTGTTATTTTCTAAAAACAGCCTCAAATACTTAATATGTTAATAAATTTACCTTTGTTGAACTGTCTTAGTTTCAGGTGTGGTGGTGTAGAGATCCAGGAGGTAATAAATGTTGCGCCAGCACTTGGGTGTGGCAGTTATGGCGGGTGGGGGTGTGGTACCTTCAGGAGGACCTAGTAATGGCGACTTGTCAGAGGAGCAGATAGTTGCACCCTCCAGCCCCGAGCCACTCACGCTGATGCTGAACAGGGGACTTCCGGTGCCTCGCTCTGTCCCAAGATTGGTGTAGCCTGCTGTGAAAGAGACAATTTTAGCTAAACAAAGAAGCATTCTTTGCTATATCAGTGGCTCTCTAACTTTTTCTTTCACATTTATAGTTCACTCATATCAGAAGATGGATTTGCACATTATTAAATGCTATGCACACATTAATTTTCCTTCCTTATATAATTTCTGTACTATCCTATTTGACTGTCCCTTGGGTAAGATACCACTGTAACATGAGGAGCATATCATGTAAGCAGGAAGAGTGACATTTTATGTGCCAGCATCAGAACTTTCCAACCATATTCGTAGGGTCACTTTGGTTCTTGAGAGCACTGTAGGAAATTGTCCAGCTAAAGTGAGCTGCAGAAAGCTCAAATCATACTCGAAAGAAATTTTTACAAGTCCCTCCCAGGAAACTCTATGACTGCTAAGGAGTGTCCTGGTAAACTATTAATTGGCCTATCTACTACTGCCAGATAGCAGCACAAACATACCACTACTACCTGCCCCACCAAACCTTTTCACATGTACTTATTGAAATATGTCCTAACAGACCAACGAATCCATGCTTGTGTTCACTCAGAAGCTAGTCAAGTGCTGTGGGTTTCATCCTTGGGAAGCTCTGTCACTGGCCTAGGGCCTCCTTGATAAGTCTAGCACACTTGCCGTCCCTGACAATGGGAAACCACACATTACCTCATTTACCACTTTCCCAGACAAGACTGATTTGATATAATCATCGTTTATTCGCAGATGTTAACATGAAAAAAAAGGAAAATTTATTATACTAAAAATAAATAAATAATTTTAACTGCTAATAGCATGAGTAATATTATGCAATCTATTATTCAGTGAGAGTAAGGCATGACTATGTTCTCGGCCAATAAGAGCCGAGTGTAGCATGCCGTCTGCTACAGCATCAGCAAATTAATACATTCCTCAGTTTTAGTTTTGCGAAGTCTCCCTTTGACTGATCATCCCACATGTTATTCATATGAAGGGGCAGAGGGTGGCAACCTGAAGTGTAAGACATTGGCTCTGGTCTGGCTCACTGGCTGATTGGGAAATCCATCTACTATTCCCTTTTAGGTAATGGCTGGATCTACTGTTCCACTGTGAACAAACTTTTCTGGAGATGTTTCCCTTTTTGGCTGCATAGCAGAACCTTCATGTTTATTTTGCTGGAGGCACCATCTATGTTGTTGGTTTCATCTATGAGGATGGAACACTAACTGCCTTCTATCTTTTGACCAGAAAACCAAAAGAGGGACTTTACTAGCAATGCTCAACTGCACACAATTCCCCCATTACAAAAAAGAAGTCAACTCCTTCCTTCCCATTACAAAAAAAAAAAAAGTTGCAGGGGGGGATTATTAAAACATTCTATGTACTGTATTAATATGCAAACATAATAACCATTCCCAATTATTACCCTTCTCAGCAAACCTTTACATGCTAAATACCACTATGCTAGCTACCAATATCCTACTTTGTCAAGAAACCACAAATTAGCATTAATTAATCATAATCACAAACTAGAACACATTACCTTTGCTCATCTTGGTGGAGGACCTAAGCCTCTGAGCAAAGCTCTGTGGTCGAGCAGCTCTAGAAGCAGCAGGTGGCGGGGAGATGCGAGCAGACAAGGATGAAACGACAGAGCCTCGAGGACCTTTGATGCCAGCGAGAGATGACACTGTTGCCTGTTCCTCACTAATGCTCAGACTATATTCATTGCCCTTGTACTCGCCCTCATGCAACTCTGTAATGTGGCAACCAAAGTTAAGCATTATACCATCAGGATCAAACTGCTGCATATACAAGGAAAAACAATTACAGTAATTGGTTGAATAAACACAAACACACACACACATTAAATATTTAACAATTATCAAACTATATGAAGGTGAATCTAATGTATGCAAGTATACTGTTCCATCACTGATCATATACTGTCTGGCATATTAACATTTCTCTCATCAAGAGCCAATGAATTATGTTCAGTTAAAGTATTCAATATTGTCACTTAAAATATGTATTACAAAATTCCACATATAAATAGTTAATCTTCAGAAATTTAGTTATGATCAGTTGCCAATAATATTCACAAAACAGACAAAAGATTGATATTAATGCCACATGTTGTTTTACCTGAATATGATCCTTCTTTCCTGTGCGATGGAAGATTAGTATCTTTAGTACGTGTTGGTCTCTGCTCTCGCAGTCCTATCTGTGTTTCTCTTGCATTCTGGTACATGGAACTGATCTGATGAAGAAGTCGCAATAGGGGCATATTCACCTGGAAATGTGAAGTTTATTGCCTATAAGAGACATTCTCAATGTTCCTTGTTTGGTTATCTATCATATTTTAAAAGTTCCTTGTTTGGGAATCTGCCACATTCTAAATGCTCCTTGTTTGGAGATCTGCCACATAATTTGCAATCGGCACAGGACCCTTAGGTTCAATGCTAAAAAATTTGCAATAAAGACATGTCATATAAGCCAATTAAAACCCACCTGCTGTGCAATGTAGTTAACATTGAGGGAGAAGTGGACCATAGTTGATGTGTGTTGCTTCAGTGCACTGCGAGAAACAAACAATGTTGGCTGATGGCTCACCCACTCACGTGAATCATCTGCTACTTTACTCACATCAATTTCAAGCCCAACATGCTCGCAGAGGAAGGCTGGAACCTCAATCCCAATGTCCAGGAAGAATTTACCTACAAATTATGTAAAATAGTCAATAATTTGAACAAAACTTTTCCAAGTTTAGGTTGCACTATAACAAAGTATTTTAACTAACGTGAAGCTGTGACAACACAGCCAGACCTTCAATTAGTTCATTAAGCGAGAAGGACAAGTTGGGAAAGTCATATAATAGGTTGGGAAATGTATCTTCAGAATAGAATTGACCAACTCTTTACAATATTAAACCATTTCTTTACTGTCCAGTGTCGAATCATCCTGCAAAGCTCCACAAACATTTAATTGCATAGTATTTAGATAGTTCTTTCAATAGCAAAACTACATGACTGAGTAGAAGCATAAATTACCATTAAGTATATGGGGTAAAATAAGGCAACTAGTCAATATGAAAATCTCTTATATGAGCAGATTCTTTTAGTTACTCCCTAAAGTAAGGTTATATGTATAGTGTAATAAAGTCCTTGGACAGGATTATGCAGCCAAGCAGAATGAAGCACAGGCACTTGTGCCAAAGGAAGTTTCAAACAGAGACAGATAGTACAGTACTTACATAATATATATCTAGTATATATAACAGCTCTACAAAATAAAATTACCATACATGAGGAACCACAGTGTGTACAAAACCCAGGTCAGCATGGGTTTCAAAAGCAGAACTCTTCTGACTCTTGCAGCTGCTGGACCTTTATGATATGGTCTTAGCTGCACAAGGCATAATCTGGAGCCTCTGTCGTGGAAAGCTGTCCCCTTAGCTGTGATATTACTCTACTGAAACAGTCACTTTCCTGTTCTAATGAATGAATCCAATTATTTGTCTATGCCATATCACTGTTAAATTATATGATAACCTATTAGACAATCACATTTGCAGAATTCTTCCATTTAATAAGTAACTAATGTTTCTCTAGTACCGACATATTAGATACGGAGTTCTGGTAAGAAGTATAACGTAACTGGATTATGAGCAGTAGCATATGAAGCTATGCACAAGATATATAAATTGCATGACAGCAAGAGGGAATGACGCTTCTCAATATTTTCTTAATTTCATGTAACAAGTAAAGAGGGATATGGACCACCCACGGTGCCTGTGATTTCTTTCAATTTGTTATAATCAAAGCAAATGAAAGTATTAATCCATAAAAATTTAATTATGATCAAGTAGTATACTAAAATAACCTAATGTCTAGTTTCTAACTATTTATAGTATTTTTTACCTTGAGCATTAACTTACCTGGTATTCTCCAGATGTATGTACAGTTAGACTAACATGCTAACACAAATACTGTACTACATTTAGTTATAACTATCATTGAATGGTATTCATCTCTCTTCTTCCTATATTGAATGGCTCTGGCAAATAAAATTTCTGCTTATTTCATGGAGCATAACTGTTCTAGTGAACCTGAAGGAACTACAATTTTTTTTTGCAATTCGTCAAAGTTACAAAATTGGGTGTCGAGTATTGTAGATCAGAACACTATTTTTCAAGTTGGTTCCTTTGATGCCCTTGAGCAAGTCTGCTACATTTTCTAAAGAAAAAAATAAAAATTAAAAAAAAATAAAGAATTTGAAAAAAAGTCAAAGATTTGATCAGTGATTGTCAGGTAGGAGGCTCCATTATGACATTTTTTCTATTTTTCATATTTGTTCAATTTGGTTTGAATTTTTCATTTTTTTTATTAATAATGGAGCTGCCTACCTGACATCACTGAACAAACTTTGACATTTTTTTCCTTTTTTTTTAAATTCTTTCAATTTGTTTTCTAATTTTATCTAAACAAACAAAAATCAATGCTTTGCAACATTACAGCAGTCACCCCTTTACATTCCAGCATCATTAGCATCTTTAAAAAAAAAAAAAAAAAAAAAAAAAACGTTACAGTACTTGCAATATCGGAGGTGTCCGAGAATTTGCGAGAACCAGCAGGAACGCTAAGAAGCACTATGTGCTTTTCTCGTTAATTAAACAAAAGCCCATCAATCGAGACAAATTTTTGGGGAGTGGCACACTCGTTATTTGAAATGCTCGTAGATTGAGGCGCTCGTCACTCGAGGCTCCACTATATTATATAACAACTTTTATGCAAGCGTTCCTCAAGACATGAAAATTATTTCAAGGGTTTCACAATGGTAAAAAGGTTGACAAAGTGCTAATCTAGGGTAGCATTTTTTCCAGCCACTGTGCTGAGGCACACCAAGATAACTATGAGTTCCACAGGAGATACTCATAAATAGGCTAATTCTAATCATTTGCAAATAAATTTTTGAGTCAATGTTGTTTAATTTTGTTCTCATTTAACCAGTATCAAGAACAAAAACAAATAATTTTTCAGTTGACAATCAAACCCTGTGAATGTTTATCTAAAATATGATACAGAATTATTTTAAGGGTACAAAGGTTGAAAAACGCTGCTCAAAGATAACTCCAGTCGGGAAAAGGTACTGTATGTGACTGGCCAGTGAAGCGAGGCGAGCAACACATGGATACCAGTCACAAAGTGCGAGTTACTGCCTCTGCCAAACCTGTTGCTGTAATTCGTGCTGCCACATGCTGCAGTTACAACTCTGATTTATCTTTTATAGTTCACATGGTGATAATTGTCATTACTTGTTTTTGATTATTGCTTGCAGGTGGTGTTGAGAGTATTATGCCCTCTTGAATAATAGCAAGAATAGCTTGTAGCTACAAATGGGTTGGTTTTTTAATTTGCTTAATTTTCATATAGAAATATGCAGGAAGTTGTAAGCAATAGTTTAGATAATTTAGGTTTCCAAGGGGAAAATTAAAGCTTATTGTTAGTTCCAACAGAAGACCCTAAGCATAAAGAGTTACACACTGAATTCAGAAACTCGAGGGCTGACATTTGAATTTGAGAATTGGATGTAGTAAGCAGTTACTTACCAAAGCATGCAAAGAGCTGGGCACTATCACTAGTTATAGGTTAACTTCATGAACAGAATAAGGCAAGCAGCCATTTACCACAACATGCAGACACCTGGTTACTGCCACCCACAGGTGACAGGTCAGTCCATCCCTCCCAGACTCTTACTCTCCCATCAGTCAGCCAATAACACAGTATTAATATTATGATGACAGGCTAATCTTCCTAGTTTATTACGGCCTCAACTACTGTGTTATGTCTTAACCTAACCTTAGGTGAGGAAGCCTGGTCGAGGACCAGGCTGAGGGGACGTCGAGCCCCGAAATCATCGCAAGGTAACCTTAACCCGATAACATCCATTATGCTGCCTTGACCTTAACCTAGCTTCAGAACAACTAAATTGTCTCTACCCCTACTTGAAACATCCACAAAGCTACCATATACTGACCCTAGGCCGAGATAGTCCAGTGATTATACAGTACTAACAATACCCCATGTTCGGTCAGTTGCTCGTGACAATGTTTGCACCACCTACTATGGTATCAATGTCTCCCACTTAGTAACCAAAATATAAGAACAGCGCCTGTGGCTGTTTTTTTGTAAAACTTTACTTTTCTACTTCACAAAACTGGCTTATTAGTTTCTAAGACATGCTGGCATAATCTCATAAGCACTGAAAAATATACACGATTTCTATTTTAATATTAACCAACAGACTGGAGGTGGCTTGGTCTATAGTTTGCAGTTTCACTTTACAATGACCGTTTTCATGCACATCTTTAATGAATCTAATCTTTAGTCTAATATAGATCAATTTCTTATTATAGATAAATTTACATACCAGAAACTTCCAGGTGCTTCACAACACACACACTCACCTCTCTTATCCCCCGTACCTAGTCACTTTTCCTCTCTACACCATTTGATCACCACCATTTGCCAATACATTAATTAGTATTTACTATCATCCATGTTTTGTAATATATTAACATTTCTTCCAAAGAATTTCCCCCCCCCCCATGTTCATTTGACTAGCTTCCCTTCCCTCATATACTGAATAGCTGAGACACCTGGTAATCTTTTGCGTAAATAAAATTTTGGAGATTTCTTCTGCATTAACTGGCATTGCTTGCTCTGCAGGGCAGCAGAGTAAAATTTGTGCAGTCAGAGAGCATGAAGCAACCATTAACCAGGCTGGTTGTGGTGCAAGTGGGTGCTATAAGATGAGGTAAATCGGAGGGGAGCTGCTAGGAGATGCAGGTAGGTCGGGACCATCACCCATACTTCACTCCAACCCTTCACCTACCCGGAGTATCACAGTTGTCCCCAGAAGTGCCGACTGTGTTACCTGGGTGCACGCCAGTCTTTCTCTTCTTGCGGTTCTGTTTGGAAGCCTCCGATTCTATGATGTCAACACGCAGGGTCTCCACACTCCCTGTGATGCTCAAATTGGATCCCAGCTGCTCAAGAGCACCTCCTGTCACCTAGCAATCAAATTTAAAAATTTATTATGTTAGAGTACAAAAGTTAAGGTTCTGTAATATATGTGTATCAAATAAAAGTGTTCAATTCATTTGTAATAAAAGCATCAGAATGTCACCTACAAGTAGATCAACAAACTTTCATCACAATCCAAAAGGACACTTGAATATTACACATTACATCCATAATAATAATAATAATAATAATAATATGTACAATAAGGTTTATACACCATTTTCATGAGATGATAAAGAATATTATGTATAAGCATTATCTGTAAAGTACACTACGTTAAGCAATTTGTTTACTTTGGATATTAAACAATGCCAGAACATATTTCACTCAAAGCATCAACAAATAGAGCATATCCAAACCTGCTGAGTAATGACTCCAATTGCTGAGAGGAGAGGCTCAAAGATCACATGAGCCTCCAGAAAGTGAGCACTTTGTGGAGGTTCCAAAAAGTTGTTGGCATCTCTGGCAGGAGGATAGTCTCTTCGGTCGATACCACCCTCACTCAAATGGCTCAAACCGCCTTCGCGCTGTTATCAAAATTTCAATCACACGAGTACAATAAAATGTCATTCTTCAAAAAATCATTAATTTCTAAAAAGCACAGAATGAACTGAAATATTATTCACTTCTTTAATACTTTATACATTAACAACTAGTTATTTTATACACAATACAATATTAAATGAAAAATTCACACACTACACACATCAGGATGGGAGTGTTACGAACACTATACATAATAGGTTGAACTTTTTTTTATGTAAACTTAACCAATTTGTATAAATTATTTCACATTTTATTCTGTGTTAATATATTTAGATTCCTACATATATATTCCTTATTAAACCTTTCATTTATTTATATACGTTAATCATGTTTTTCCCTGCTTGTCATCTTTAAAGAACATTTAAAGTAAGCTTTCCTAAACTCTCTTCAAAAAGATGGTTTTGAATTTCTGTGCAAATTCAAGTGAATTTATATTTATTATATAATGCAAATTGTGGTATAACAATAGATATCACATCACAAATGTAGCATGGAGTCCTGCCATGTTACCTTGAACCATGACCATTGTCCACATGTTCATGGTAATGTCTGTTGATTGACAGTCTATCAGTCAAATTGCTGGTGTTTGCAGTTTAAAATTCAACACAGACTACCTCACACTTCTGATACAGTACAAGCCACAGCACTACATAGAGCAACCCAGTGCCATGCAGTCTTTACCTGAGGAAAAGTCACCGTGGGCCTGGTGGTATCTGTGGTGCGGGCATACTCCTGCTGACGTACCATCCAGTTGTACAAGTTCTCATGGTCTTTTTCACAGTTGACAGTAGGAGGTCGTCCAGGAGTTGCCAGGCCAGATCCTCCTCCACCTTCTAAACTGGAGGACGACACGTGGTCTGAGCCCGAGCTCCTGCTACCAGCACTACGGTTGTCACCAGTTGGTCCAGCCCGTGACTGCTGTCCTCCACGCAGAAATGACAAGTGTCCACCAATTTTTGGAAATGGAAACCTATAAAACACAAGAAATAGCTCTTTATAGTACAGAATGTGTTTAAATACTGTCATATTTAAAACTATCAAGTTTAAACGATAGGCTGTCATTGAAGGTCTAACAAGCATTTCATCTAGCTCTTACAAGCAAATAGTCCACACACTTTTTAAATTAAATGTATTACTATGGTATTTCTTATTTATTCCATACGAGCATATGGACACACTACCTACTTGGCAATGCACTGCTTGAAATTCATTTCATTTTTAAGCATTATTTTATTACTGGTAAGTATAATTTTGAATTTACCCTAATGACCATTTAGTTGGCTTGTAGCCTACCTTGCTGGAGACTCAAAATTGGTGTTGAAGATGGGCAAGATCACTGAAGCCCTAGAGGAGCGCGGGGGGTATGATGGAAGAGAGCGCCGAGGAGGTAGTTGGGTCGACTCGGAGCTCATCACACCATCAGTTGCATCCTCTCCACCATTTGTACCGCTGCCATCTGATTCTTACAAACACAGCCCAATTAAGAAGCAAATCATTGGCAATTTCATAACAAATACCCCAAAATGTACTGTGAGAAATAAGTGGAGAAGAAAATTATTGTTACTATTGTCACACTGTTAATTTCTCTCTCCAGCATATCAAAAGCACCCAGGACCCAGAATCTAATACCAGAAATTTATACTTTACTATCACATTCTTTCCATATATGAAATGCATTCATCAAAAAATTCTTTGCCCTGTCCCCCTCAAAAAAATATATCTCATTATTATTGTTGATGTTATTAATAGCCAACTCATCTACTGTAAATACTCTCTCAACACATTTCACTGTAATTCTGCTTACGGCATTTACCTTCTAATAATTACGTATGAATGCAACCAAACAAAATATCTTGCTGGGACATAACCTTCAGTGTTCACACTCACTGTCTCATTCATCTATTCTGCATCTTTATTGCAACCTCATTACACACTTAAACATCAGCATGATCAATATTAACTTACACTATCAGCTATTAACGAAATAAATTTTGGCCATATTTTCTAACAAATATTTCAAGCACTGCTTCTGCTCCGACAACAGTACACACATGACGCTTTATGTAAACAAACAGCAGCTGGACACAATAGGCTAATGAAACTGCAAGTTAAATGAAATAAAGAAGCATACCATGACCTGGTCGAGAGTTGAGGGAGCCTCCCTCAGCCTCTAGTAGTGTTGTTTTCTCATCAGTCACCTCACTGGTCATCATGTTGGGGTCCAATCTGGGGGTCATGCGGCCTTCAGGAGCGGCATTTGATCTATCGTGGAATGTTGCAATGAAATTATCAACAACAGAAATTTGAAAAAGACACAGATGTAATTATTCATGAACAATTATGCACAGACAAATATATATCAAGCAAATATAATACAATTTTCCTTATCTATTATTCCACTCCTTTAAAACGCAAGTGCCATTTTGCAAACTTCAGTCACCTTTTGTAGCTTACAATTAGTCTTTTGCCAGCCTAACAAAATATTCTATATTTATGATTACATATTTTTACAAAATTTTACATTAAAATCTAGAAGACAGACATTAGTAACATCATTAGCCTTGCCCTATTTTCAACAATAATAAGATAAAGATGGAGAGGCACTCGGCCATTAAGGCTGGAAAATGCATTAAAAATGATAAAGATTAATAAAGATAACTTATACAAATACCTGTAGGTGCAAGTAGGTCGTGTCTGCTTGTTCCTGAATGTCTGTTCCATCAACAGTGGCATGTACAGAGCATTTTTCCATTGACGGCTCAACACCACAACTCCCTATAGGCAGATAAAATAATAGAGACTTCAAATAATGAAGCTAGCTGTGTTGATCTATTACATAGTTGGTGACTAACCAGCAAGGCAGCAGTAGCTGCATCAATGTAAAATTAATTTACTCAAGAACAATATCAGGACAAAAACAAATTAACACAAACTCAGAAATGGCCAAGTAATAGGCACAAAACACTTAGTAGTCTCCTTATGATACAACATAACACAATAGCAGCAGCCAGAACTAACAGTTTTCATGAAACATCTACTTATCTTTATTACATAATTATGAAAGTTAAATTTCGAGAAAGATACAGTACCTGTCTGAGCGTAGCAAGTTTGGGAAGATGCGGCGGGAGAAGGTTGCTTTCGATGATGCGTGGCGACGACTGCAACACATAGCGGCGCAACACAGTGCACAGTTGGCACGAAGGGTCTTCCTGAAGAGTTTGGCTCAAAGGCATCAACTTCTCATACTTGTTCTGAAAAATTTGTCCAGGTATTAAACAATGGATTCAACAAAAGCAATAGGACTAGACTTAATGGTTGTTGAAGGAGGCTGCAGAGGCACTTTGTCAACTTTTAGATAACTTTGCAAGTTGTATCGCCTGGGAAATTAGAAAATGGGAAATGTAGTCCTGATATTAAAAAAAGGAGAAAGATGGGATGCCTTAAATTTACTGACCAGTATAGTATGGGGCAGTGCTATATACATGGTACTGTACCTGTGTATTTACAGTATACATTTATGTGACAAATAGAGTACGTGTCTGCAACAATAATAATTAATAGCAAATCATATACTATACTCCCATAAGAATAAATAGTAATAATAATATATAATGCATCTATCATAACATAGAAAATAAACATTACCAATCAGAGTATAATTATGAGACCAAACAATGCTTATGCTAAATACAGAGCCAATTACACTGTCATGTCAAGGAATTCCATCCACCAAAATAACTGGACCTATGTAACAGCGGTGTTTTAGTACCTTAACAGGAACGTGAAGGCACTGCACATCCAATGCCTCGGCCATAAGAGACGCCATGACACCCAATCTGCGGCTCTCAGAAGCGTGCAAGAACTGGATGACGGCCACGGTCAGTCGATCACTAGGGTTCATCCAAGCATTAATGGAAGGAGAGGCTGTGCTAAGAAGGTTCCAGTCCAATCTGAGAGACAAAAACAATAGCTATTATTTGTAATGTTTTGTTTATCTATATCAACACTGTTCAGTAAGTATGCCATAAAAGACAGAACATCAATTATTTATAAAAATACAATAGTTTTAAATCCTTTGCTTTCAATCCTTAGAAACAGTTTTCACTATGCAGTGGGTTGTCTCAGTAATTACAAAATCAGAGTGATAATTGTAGTATTTGGACTGTTTCTAGCATGTGTATGAAAAAACCTTGTCTTTCTGGCCAATGACCCAGGCTCTCAATTACTGTTCAAGTTCAAATGATGCTTTAACAGTGGGTTGTTTGTCTTGAGGTTCCCAATAATCACAGTTCCTTGATACCTTGCTTGGTCCAGAGTACAGTGTACCTTAGGTACACTGTACTCGGTCAGTTAAGTTGTATGTTTACCCAAGCTAGACATGCAGGATAGAGTTATTCACAAGTAAATTTCTCTTTTGTGCATTTCATCTGAGATGGAAAAGGGATCTTGGCCCTTAAATCTCTCCTTCATCCTCAGTGGATGGGCCAAGAGTCTGGTGACCTGTTACTAGTAACAACAAGTACTGTAGTTTGCTATGGTACATCAGTATGGGAATGGGTAGATCACTACTTTGTGCAGAGGGGTTGGAAAGCCAAACAGTAGTTTGACCCCAACAAACAATTACCCTTTCTACAACTAGCATTCTCCTTTTTTGGTTCACCCATAGGTGTGAAGTCTTCATTGTGTGGACTTAGACTGTGTTCAAACTGTTGTCTCGGCAGGACACTAAAGTTGTGGATGCCATGCTTCATATATGATGTTGACAAACATACTTCTCATACCTGTGATAATTAATCCTCCTTTATATACCTGCTATAATCAAAAACCATTTCTCATAACTAATTGTCGGAAAATCCGACACCATTTAATATCATACAGACAGATAATAAGTGCTGCTGTATTACCAACAAGTTACCCATAGAAAACGTAACTTGTAGTGGAATTACCGTCTATAGAAAACGGGATATCATCACCACATACTATTATAATTCACCAGCTATTCTGCTGGGAATTATTCTTAAATACATAAGTCTTTGGACTTTACCATCATAAAAACATCTTATATAAATTAACTTAATTATCAATATTAAAGTAGAGTAAATGTGACCCTTCTATCACGTTCTGAAATCTGGACAATGTAAGCCAGGCGTCAGAGTGGAGGAAGGAGGGCAGCCATTGTTGTGTCACCTCCGAGACGTGTGGAGCGAGTACGGCTCCTATCATTCTGGACAATGTCGGCCAGTAACGTCAATAGAATGGAGTGTTAAACAGCCATTGTTTATATTGAGACCAGAGGCTCACACGGGAGCAAATACGGCTCCTGTTAATTTTACTTGGACGTAGTGTTATGGATACCAAAGGTGTACCATCTGTCAACACGCTGTCAACAAATCAAGTTAAGTGTTCTTTCCGAAACCCATTATCTATCATTAGTGGCCATTAATGTCATTATATAGGGTGACCCGGTTAGAATGCGAAATCGCCTCATACTAAAGGTAATTAAGCCAGGTCCTCATGTTCCATGTACTGTTTTCTCTGATATACTTGTCATATATAGGTATCTGGCTTCACAGCTAGCGCACTTTTGACAGGTCAAGACGAGGATACAAGATTATGTGCACCAGTTACTGGGTGATAGAAGCTACCTCAAAGAGGATAATTTGGTGTCTACACTCTAGTTATACCTGGTGGACTAACCTGCTGTACTATAAGATAAGGAACCTCTTCAATGTATGTAGTTACTGTAGTTTGATTGGCTGCATACATATAAATATAAACCCCCCTAATGTGTAGAGGATCGATTTGTGAGATTATGAGATTATTGCAGAAATACAGTCCACTTATCATTATACAAATTGCTATCGAAGTATATAAATTAACGTAAATATAAATTCATATAAATTAAATAAATATAAATCTCACAGGTCGGTTCCCACATTATTTGGTCATCTTTGAACCGGATGACGGATTATTTGATCCTATGAACCCACATTTGGTCATCTTAGTACCGGATGAACCAGTTATCCAGTGGATTCATTAAATATACTAGTGCAGTGTTATTTAAACAAAGGCCAGCCAGTCAAAGACGGAAGCGTAGCCTCGAGGGAGCTCAGGAGCCTCCCTCAGCCCAGTTCAGCTTCGTCAGCGGTTTCATGCACACCCACAGATATTTGGTGGTGTGTTATTTCGTGAAATGACAGCGCTAATATAGAATCCAGCCAAATTAGTGACTGTGTCTTCGCGAGATTGTTCACGGATTTCGTGGTGTTACATTTCGCGAGAGATTATCCACGAATTTTGTGGACTTTATTTCGCGAGGTCACTAATAATATTTAATACTTCTAGATAATATTAGAAGTTTCATAGAGGCTAATTAAGAGGCTATTATCAATAATTGTGTATATTATTTCTCCAAAATAGAGAATTATTTAATATATATTGCACTAGTGATCACAGTATAATATTTACTAATTGCCAACCCACAACAGGGTAGGATATGACTAGTTGAACTATTATTGTTCATCCTAGTCCCATTATTACCATAGTCAGTTGTACTATATTGATCAACAGTTGTACTATATTGAACAACCTAACACCATTAATGAATGGTCCAGACCCTATTTTGGGTGTAATTTTTATCAACTCGAGTTGAGTTGTATATATAATAATTTACTTATGATCATTACACCTTTGAGTGATTAATTAGTGTCTCTACCATCCTAGGGTGATATAGAAGAGCTAACCTAAAGGTACTTCCAGTGACACTGGTTTATCACTCAAATCATTAGTGTGTATGATTGTATATATATATATAATGTGTATTAATTTTAAGTGCTAACCTCTAGTAGAGGTAGGATTATTGCCTAGTGAGTTCAGAATTTACCCTAGGCTACCATTAGTGTTTGTTCAGTATTATGAGCAGCCCAAGTACTAGTCCCACAAGGCTTCACCAACTAGCCAGTATGGATAATGCAGGGAGAATGAAAAGAACCCTTGCAGGTCTTAAAGGCCACTTAACAAGACAGATCAAGAAATGTGAAGATTTGTCACAACAATCTCAAGTTGATTATGCTGACCTGGAAAGCTATTATCAAGCAGCTGCAGGTAAATTTGAGCAAATCAAATGTCAAATAGCAACATATGTGGCTGAACTTGCCAACACCAATTTATCAGAAACAGAAATAGACGACATTATGGTTGATCTTGCGAATTATGAAGATCACACTCAGGCCACGTTACAGCCTTATGTCAAATTAATTGCCCAGAACAAGGCAACAGCAACAACAACAACAGTTGCATCTAATACGAGTCAAGCAGAAGCTCGACTCCCTCCAATTAATTTACCCACTTTCTCAGGAAAGGATGAGGAAGATTGGGACGAATTTTGGAACAAATTCGTTGACCTTGTAGACTCAAAACAATCTTTACCAAAGAGTAGTAAATTCTCTTATTTGCAAGGCCAATTATCAGGTGAGGCTAAAACAGTAGTATCCCATCTGAGATTAACTAATGACGGCTATGATCTGGCAGTAAAACTCCTCAAGGATAATTATGCTGATCCAGAAGTAAGAACATCACATTTAGTTCATGAGCTGTTGCATTTACCCCCACCGGAGGCTTCAGCTGATTCACTCCAAGTCTTCAAGCTGGAGGTAGAATCATTGATCAATGCCCTCAGCCTGACAGCAGATACAAACGGGGCTGAGTGGGTCTTGAAAATAATTGTCCAGGAGAAAATACCTAGGGACATATTGAGACAAATGAGTGCTCATTACAATAAAAGCATCTTATCTATGAATGAAATATCTGAAGGCTTAAAGTCAGTAGTTCATCAATTACGAACACATGACAAATTAAAACCACCAAGTAAACCCTCAGAAACCAATAATAGTAAACCACAGAGTACCAAAGGTACTCCAAATCAATCTAGACAATATAATTCAACACCAAAGTGGAACAGTGGCAGTGTGGGCGTATATGCAGTGGGACCCTCCAAGCCTATAGTTACTGTGTCACCCAAGAACGTGACACCAAAGGGTACTGGAAGCTATGGAACATGTTTGTTCTGCAAAGAGAAACATTCAATGTACCACTGCTCTAATTATCCTGATAGTGACGCCCGTGTTGAGCGACTCAAAGATTTGCAACATTGCACGAGGTGCCTCAGGAAACATAACATCAAGGACTGTGGTACCCAATTACACCCTTGTAATAGGTGTAACAAAGGTCAGCACCATGCAGCATTGTGCAGAGACACCAAAACAACGTCTCCAAACCCCAAGGTGGAAGATAGCATTCCCACCACAGTACAGTACTGCAAGGTGCAACAAACAAACAGTGTCCAATCGGCAAAGTCTAAAGGTAATACGACTTTGCCTACTGCCCAAATTACCATCCTGAATAAGAGGGCCAAGGTCCATACCCGAGGGTTGTTTGACCAAGGATCCCAGAGAACATACATCACTAAAAAGTTGGCAGATGAATTACAATTAAGGCCTGTAGCCCAGATGTCATTCAACATCTCAGGGTTTGTAACAGATGCAGGACCTCAAGTCTACCAGGTGGTACAACCATCAGTACGTTTAGGCAGGTACGTCTGTCGAGTACAAGCCATTGTGGTGGACAAAATACCAGTAGACCTACAAGTTCAAGGTCTGAGAGCAACAGCCAAATTCCTGAGAAATAGAGGAATAAAATTGGCAGATAATATTAAGTCTGATCACCTCACCGACTTCGGTCTCCTTGTAGGGACAGACTATTGTCATCGATTCATCGGTAGCCCTACTAAATATCAGGGCATAACCATGTTAAACTCTGCAGGAGGTAAATTACTCTCAGGCCCAGTATCAAGCCTGAGGAGACCTATGCCTGCAGATAAACAATACCAGTAGAAACCTAAATTTGTCAGCTGATTATATTTCTCCAGTAGCATTATACTAAGGAGATTACAGCTGACTATAGTAACAGAGGTTGATGTTAGTATCATCATTTAAAGCTGGAGATGAGTTCATGAGGCCTCAGTGGCAAATCAGTGAACAGTAGCTTAAGCAGCTACAAGTCACTGCGACCAATGTCACTGAACCCACTGCAGTCTCAGAACCATACTTTACTTTAATGATGAGCTATTCAGTCTTCTGAATCAATTAACTAAATTAAACCCTAATAAATCTGATGACTGATTTGATACATTTATTATTTAATCAAGATGTATTCCATGGGCCTCAGTGTTTATATATCAGTGACCAGTTACCTGAAGAAACTTCAAGTTATATCTAAAGTCACTGATCTCACTGCAGTCCCTGAATCATACTTGACTGTAGTACTTGATCACATTCAGTCTTCTGGGTTAAATAATATGTAATTAGGCTTGAATATTAGCCTTTCAAGAGTTGACAGGGAAATGAAATCGCATTAGACTTCTAACCCCTGCAACTCTAGTACGGGACATCCGTCCTGTACGAACAGACACACAAATGTGTGATTACTAACTACTAACATCAAATTAATCTAATAATTCGAAGGAGGAGTATCGGTGTTCGTCTGTTCTAATTAGGACTTCGACCCGTGAGCAGCCCCTGGGGAATTATGTCGGAAAATCCGACACCATTTAATATCATACAGACAGATAATAAGTGCTGCTGTATTACCAACAAGTTACCCATAGAAAACGTAACTTGTAGTGGAATTACCGTCTATAGAAAACGGGATATCATCACCACATACTATTATAATTCACCAGCTATTCTGCTGGGAATTATTCTTAAATACATAAGTCTTTGGACTTTACCATCATAAAAACATCTTATATAAATTAACTTAATTATCAATATTAAAGTAGAGTAAATGTGACCCTTCTATCACGTTCTGAAATCTGGACAATGTAAGCCAGGCGTCAGAGTGGAGGAAGGAGGGCAGCCATTGTTGTGTCACCTCCGAGACGTGTGGAGCGAGTACGGCTCCTATCATTCTGGACAATGTCGGCCAGTAACGTCAATAGAATGGAGTGTTAAACAGCCATTGTTTATATTGAGACCAGAGGCTCACACGGGAGCAAATACGGCTCCTGTTAATTTTACTTGGACGTAGTGTTATGGATACCAAAGGTGTACCATCTGTCAACACGCTGTCAACAAATCAAGTTAAGTGTTCTTTCCGAAACCCATTATCTATCATTAGTGGCCATTAATGTCATTATATAGGGTGACCCGGTTAGAATGCGAAATCGCCTCATACTAAAGGTAATTAAGCCAGGTCCTCATGTTCCATGTACTGTTTTCTCTGATATACTTGTCATATATAGGTATCTGGCTTCACAGCTAGCGCACTTTTGACAGGTCAAGACGAGGATACAAGATTATGTGCACCAGTTACTGGGTGATAGAAGCTACCTCAAAGAGGATAATTTGGTGTCTACACTCTAGTTATACCTGGTGGACTAACCTGCTGTACTATAAGATAAGGAACCTCTTCAATGTATGTAGTTACTGTAGTTTGATTGGCTGCATACATATAAATATAAACCCCCCTAATGTGTAGAGGATCGATTTGTGAGATTATGAGATTATTGCAGAAATACAGTCCACTTATCATTATACAAATTGCTATCGAAGTATATAAATTAACGTAAATATAAATTCATATAAATTAAATAAATATAAATCTCACAGGTCGGTTCCCACACTAATTTAATCATTCTTTTCATACCTGGTGTAACCAAACTCCTATCACAGTTTGATATAATCAAACAATTAATATGCTTAGTGTAATTTCATACTCGGTGTTATCAAACACGCATCTCATACCTGGTATAATCAATTTTTTTGGTGATGGGTGTATGGGGAGGAGCAGCAAAGTTAAACCAAACAGTCCTCAGCTCAACCATAAATGATGTTATGTCTCTCTTGTCGCTCTTCATCTGTAACAACAACACTTTAGAATTCATGTCCTAAGAATAAAATACCATATCAGCATCAAATAGGTCAAAGTTGACTGTAATGAAACACCTATTTCTGGTAGGTCCTTAGTAGCTTCCCTGTGCTAAAAACCAAGCAACACTAGGCTTCAGAACCATCCTGGCAGGCCTCAGAGACCCATGCTTGGGGTATAAGGTATCATGGCTCTCAAGCCACCTCGCTCAAGTTGCCAGTACAGAACCCCCTAAACCCCATCGGGAAGACATAGGAAGCCAGAGCAGGAATGGAGCCAAAAAAAATGCACACCAACTCTCAAGGAGCAGGGCCCCCAACCCAGATGATATGAGTACCACCCCATTTGATAGGGGCAGACAAAATAGGCTACCAGAGCCAGCAAAACAGATGCCCAGAACTAATGTCCCAAGATGATAAGGCATAAGACAAGAACAGAGCAAACAGTCTGAGAATCCAAGCCATCAGACCAAGAGGGCAGAACTCACAGCTCAAGGTGACCAACATGGAGAATGAGGCACCCAACATGTCAATGTTTGCAGATGATGCAAAGTTAGTGAGAGTAGGAACTGAAGAGGATTGTAGAGTGCTACAAGAAGACATTGACAAACTTCAGGAGTGGGTAGATAAATGGCTGTTGAAATTCAATCCAAGCAAGTGTAAAGTAACGAAAATGGGTAAGGGATATAAGAGATCTGTAACTACACCATAAGTAGAAGGCAATTACAAGAAACAATAAGAGAAAAAGACCTGGGAGTAGACATAATCCCAACATTAACACTTGTGTGAATTTCACACATTAACTTGTGTGAAATGGATAACATCAACATATGGGAAGTTTAGCAAACATAAGATCATCATTTAAGAATCTAAACAAGAAGGCATGAAAGTTCACACACACATTTCCTATGTGAGACCATTACTTGAGCATGCAGCACCAGCATTGAATCCACACCGTGTGAAGAACAAAATTAAGAGTTCAGAAGCTTGCAAGCAGATTAGTACCCAACTGAGAGAGCTCAGGTATAAGGACAGGTTGAGGAAATTAGCCCTCACACACTGAGAGGAGAGAAGAAACACAAGGAATATGATAACTATCTATAAGGTTCTGAGGGAATAGACAAAGTGGACAAAGGAAGCCTATTTAAATTAAAAGGAGGAAGGACAAAGGGATATCACTGGAAGCTGGACACAACCAAGTCATAGAGATGCAAGAATAAATGTGTAGGAGATGAAGCATCAAGAGCTTAATCTCACTTCCCCAGTCACTGATAGGTAAGCACCAGAGGTCTTGGGCACCAAGCCAAAAGGCAAAGAATACCACCAAAATGAAGAAACCACAGCCCAACTTCACTAAAGGGCACAGGGCATGCAGTTCAAAATACACAGGGCCAAAACGGCTAAGAGCAGACAGCCATATACATATGGCTTTATACATATATTATATATAAATATATTATTACACACAGTACAGCACAAAGTGCCATCTCTGACAGAGATGGCACTCTCTATGTGGTGTAGAGATGGCACTTGTTTTGTATATTTTTAATGGGGAGCAGAGCTGACACACAGCCCACATAACCAACAACTCCACTCCTGGGGACCACAATACTCAGTCTGCCTTCTTTCCCTTATTTTATATCTTTTTCACCTCTTGACGAGCACCAAATTCCAGTCCTAGTTTCCAGTAGCTCAGCGTGAGCGAGTCTTTGCACAATCCTAAGATCAGTGGTGCTAGCAATTAAGCACCAGGTTAACATGAAGGGGGAGCCTTCCCTGAAATAATTATACCCACCATAGCAAAAACAGAACACCTATACCAAGTTAGGCCAATGGTATTTTTAAATGTTAAAAATCAGGTCAAAATTTTTGACTCGGGTCAAAAATTTATTACCATACTTCATGCCCTGCCCTTCCTTTTTCTTTCGATTTGGTCTCTAACCTTAGCCAGTCTTGCCACCCAGCTTCTACTCTAACCAACGTCCTTTTCCCTCCCTTGCCTAGCCATGACCAGCCCCCGTCACTTGCACCTACATTGCACTTCCCATTGTCCTGCCTTTGCTTAGTTTTATCCTCCCTTGCCCTTGTCCAGCCATACCTTGCTCCTATCTTACCTTCTTCCTGCCCACCAGTGTCCTCCCTTGCTTTTGCCTTCCCCCTGTACAGCCTTGCTTTTGCCTTTCCCCTGTACAGCCTTGTTCTGCTCTCTTTCTGCTCTTTCTCAGCTTGCCTAACTTGTCATAATGTAACCTTGCCCTGCCCGTTTATTAATACAAGAATCCAACATGAAGGATTCTACCATGAAAAATGGCATATATTTTTTAAATAAAAAACAAACAATTAGCACCACAAAATGAGCACAAATTATTTAAATTCATCCATCTCACTAAATCAGACATACTCTAGCACTCATTGATAAAGATAAAGCTGGCAAAATAAAAAAAAAAATTGTGTCCTAGTACATTATTCCATTTAATTCCTGAATTTTGACAAAAAGGCATCTTAAGTTTTGTAACAAACTTTCTGTAAATTGTCAATTTACCTGAATTACAGGCAGATCCTTAACACTGTCATTGCCTGATGAGGTAGAATGAGCTATGCCTGAATGACTAGATATGTTGGACATTTGAGACACCGATGCAGAACAAAGACGATCAGACAATTCCCGACGTAGCTCTGGGCCAGTCCTCTGGGGTTCTGTTGTGGAAGTGCCAGGAGCTGAACTGCTACTTGGGCCGGCCCCACTGTCAGCAGATGCTGCTGGGCCATGGTTTCTGCATGGAGCATTACCATCATACCTTCCACATCCCTCTGCTTGCTGTCCAAAACCTTTTCTTTTCACAGCCCTGTTAAAAGAAAATATAGTGTATACTTGCCAAGTACTGTACTTTTTATTATGCAGAAACATGGTATAATGGGCTAATGAAATATTAGAATATATGATTATCTAGTGTGTTCGTTTACTTATAAATGGCGAAACTGGTTTGAAAGCTTTAAACAAAAATACTGTAAATAAATGTATATATCCATGATTCCTGAAAACAGAAGACCAAAATATTTATGGTATCTCTGAATACTTGGCATCTATTAGTTTATCTCTTAACAAGGTTTCAGTCACCATAACATATTTTTAGACAGATCACAGATGTTCCCTCTGGGGGGTATTAATCAAAACTAATGACTTTTAGCTACAATGGGCAGCAAGACCCAAACAATACCCTACTCAAGGAGGTGGCCACATGTAAAGTTTCTTCCTGACATTTCATTTATCTTCAACTATTAAGGTATTTTAAAGGAAGATTTAAATAACTTACAGACAAATTCTAGATGCTGGTTTAGCTACCGCAAGTGAAATATTCATCACTTTTATGCACTAAAACACAGAAGTATGTGAGGAGAATGAGAAGTGCTTTAGTAACCATATTCAAGTAAGAAATTAAAGAAAGAAATTGGGTGTCAAGTGAAACACGTCTCTCCGAGTTGGTCCCTTGGGTGCCTCTTGAATTGTAGCCATTATAGTTCATAAAGAACTCATATTCCCAAGCTAGGCTTATGTGACCTTAGCCTGACAATTATCTTTGCATACAGTCGTGCCGTGCAAGTGGCGAGACAAACTCAAGCTACCATATTGCTATTGTAATATAATGATAAAGATCACAAAAATACTACTATGTTAGTAGCTGCAGAAAAATGGAATACTGACCTTAAAGCAACATTTTCAAGACCAGCTTCAAACATAATAAAGCCCATGCGGTCATCCTCCATGACTGGAGTTCCACTAGCAGCACAACTATCAAAGTCTTCTCCTCGTGCACACCGACGGAAGCTAAATAGTACCTGGACAAAAAGTAAAGAGGTCATAACAGCATTTCACAAAACAAATATACTGATGTTATGACAGCCTGATCTATGGCAAGTATCTATTGAATGCACATACAGTACTATGGTATTTAAAAATATATCAGATTTTCCAGAATGGCCCATAATTTTAGACAAAGTTTGTTGCCTCAAGAGGTGTTGATGCACTTGGAGCATTTATATTTCTCCTTAATATAATTGCTACATTCCATTGCATAGCCAACACAACTAGGTGAGTACATTCAATTCATCTTGAATTCTGACCACTGCAAACTGTTTTAATCTTCATTTCACATCCATAATGTGTTCTTTAATAACAATCAACAATTCAGAATGATCTGCAGCAGAGGAATTGGTCATCCAGTCAAGACCACAAAGTTGACTGTCAATTCTATTATGTTCATTTATTCTTCAAGAAAAACTGTTGACACTAATTCTAAATACAGAAAAATTTAGCTTTAAATACACAATTTTGACAAATCATCTATTGCACATGACTAACAAAATATAAACTCCTCTAGTGGAACTGTAGAGACTTGGAAGGTTGATCCATCAGAGCTACCTTTTTTGCAAGAAAATTGTTAACAAGTACATAACTTCAACAGTGGAAAGATCAATGTAGGCCTCACACACTGGTCATGGGGTTTTGACAAAACAATGGCTGCTTTCCGATTATATTTGATGCACTGTATCAATTTCAAGTTTGTTTTGTATATTATTAATGGGGAGCAGAACTGCAAATGAGTAAATAAGAAGATGCAAGTATATGCACCTTGCTAGCCCATTGATAAGTTTCATATGCATTATTAAATTTTTTCCTATGCTAAATACAAATTAATCACAGCTGAAAATGTGCAGCTGAGGGCACGAGGCATTTAACTTGCAATTTAACAAAAATATATATTCAGTATATATATCTCTCTCTTGCTTTTTATCTATTAATTCCTAAGTCAATGTATGTAAATAAACTAATACCCAAAACCTGTGGCTGGCATAACACAAGCAAGGCTGACCCACCTTAGACCTGTGGTTTGGTATGGCTGTAACACTTGCATCTTTGAGCAGTGCACTCTCATTCTTCAGGCGCCGTAGCTGGACGTGCACCTTGTTCACATCAACCGATACCATATTTTCTTCTTGCTGTCGCTCAGAGGTTTCAATGTACACAGGCTCAGCCAACAAGTCCACAGTCTGTCGTGCTTTCGTCTTGCTCTGGAATAAACAATATAATACCTCAAAAACTCGGACACAAATGAATAGAATCAAAGGCAAGAATTTCATACTAGTATTAACACACACACATTAACTCGTTGATTAGCACTGGAGATGCATTTCTGTTAAACTGTCTGCAATTCAAAATTGTATAAATTGAATTTAAATACGTACTGCATAAATAGAAATGCTTTCCACAGATCTGACAAAGTGAGGATATTTTCTAATCATGTTACCTGTTATCTATGAGGGTGATGCCTGACCCTCATGACTCTCCCTCGCACACTTCTCACACCAACTACTGTTTTGCTTTTGTGTGTTTGAGTGGTCAATTACCAGTGACTATCAAGTACTGTATTCATAAATGTTTTAATGATGCATAATTAAAATAATGGTTCCTGCCTTTAATGGCTTCCCCCCCCTCCCCCGCCTCCAATATATGTTTATAATTACCATACAATATATGCTACCTGAAGGAAGTTTATCCCATTTAGCCCAATGTCAGTGCCAGAAAATATTATAACTACAAATTATTCATGGCTAAATGTTAATTATAGTACAAGTTCCCACATATGTAGAATAAACTTTTTTTTTTGTTTATTTTTATTTTCTAAAAATCACTTCCAACTTTTCAACTGTAATCCTCCGAGAACCAAGCCGTAGACTTGCCTTCTTCTGCATGACAGGATCGTGTGGGTTCCTCATGTACATTTGTACAGACTTCTTTGACTGGTGGCCAGAGTAAAACTGAAGGCTGACACTGTCGAGGCTCACAGAGATGAGAGACACGCACGTAAGGTCTCGGATGTTATCCAGAGCAGAGAATGAGATCACTTCTTCTACTACTGAAGCTTGAAGTAAAGTGACATTTATCTGAAAGAATCATTACAAAGCAAGTAAGTATCAAAGAGATCATCAGAGACAAGGGAAGGTACAATTCTATATTGTACAAACACAATATGTTAGCTACAGCTTTATCAGTACACACGGCTGCATGTCTCACCCTGGGTACTGTGACCTGACCCTGCATCTGCTGGAAACAGCTCTCCTGATAGGTCGTGCTAAGGACTGCCGATTGTTCCGGTGTTCCAGCAACTTTTTTATCCCTGAGGCGTGACCAGTACATGTAACGCTTCTTCTTCAGAGTGTTCTGGCCAGCAACAGTTGACAAAGACCTCATGTGGGCTTGGTTGACGATGGACAGTGGGTGAAGAGACTCAAGAACTGGAGTCAGTGCCTGCAAACACAATGCAGAATTAGAAACTTTAGATACTACTCTTGTACTTTTCAAGATCAGCATGAAAAAAAAAAATCACCGTTACTCTATTTCCTACTTCATGAGTTTGAGAGACATTTACATGTAAATGCCAGAAAGTAGTTAAAGAAAGAGTTTTTACAAAAGTACGAACATGTGTACATTACAGGAAACCATTACCACCACTAACATCTACAACAGTATCTTAGCAAATTGAATATTTTATTCACAACTTTCATCATCCAGTTATTGAACTTTGCCACACCGTTGTTCACCCCTCCTTATCTTGCCAGAACATTCATTCCTCTTACTGCAGCATGCTCCACCTGCCACACATGCTGCAATGTTCATCTCTGTTGCTCTCTCATTTCTACATAGTCATGCCAGACCATAATTTAAACACCCATTTATTTATGAAGGCCCTATAGATGAATTCCTTCCACTCTCAGACACTCTCACCAGGGATTCCATTGACTCCTATTTTTAACTCTATTTGAAAAATCTTAAATTATTTCATTATCATAGGAGACTGAAGTTAAAAAAACAGATCCTAGTACTTCTCTCCAATTTCAAAAACAGAACCTTTTTATCACTCCAATAATAATTTTAATTTTATTCACATTCGGCGACCTTATCTTAAGAAGGTCTACAAAATGTTTATTTATCTTAAATATATTATCATTCTTTGCCAGAAGAACTGGGTTATCTGCACACTCAATTTACTATCATACATTAAATAAACACTTTTTTCCAATATTCTCAACACGACCAATAATCTCACAGCCTCATCTCCTCACAACCACCATGGGACCTCCATACAGCCTTTATGTCCTCCTGCAAGTATATTAAACCTACAGCATTAAATTAAACACCTCTTGATGCAGACTGAAAGCCTTGCCTTTTCTAAAATAATAGTACCTATAGCTACTACCAATGGAATGCACCCATAATCATACAGCACCTGACAATCTCACCTAATCCTAAAATATAACAATTCATTTTTCTTAATATTGAACTTTACCCAACACCATACCTCAAGAAAGAGCTGTGCTGACTCCAGTGCCATTGGAGATAGCATGATATCAACATCTTTTTTCAGTTTGATGACAACAGTGGTGCGGGTGGTGTTGGAATCACACACTCCACCAACAACATCCTGCAAAGAATGCATACAAATAAAACACAAAAAGGGGTAAAATGGTGCAAATGAGAAGACAGATGGAACAAGTTTTTTATCTGATTTGACAAGAAAAGAACATATGAATCTTGTATGTGCCTTTTTGAGCAAGGCCCACACAGTTGCTCACATAGCCAAAATTCCAACAGTAACTACCACCTGGAAGGAAAGACCCTAAACAAGAAGGACAGCATACATGAACAACAATCAACGCAAGATGACTGTAGGGAAGAAGTGAGGCCGCCAAGAAGCTCAGGAAAAACCTCCAGCGGCTGTGCACCTACACCAAAGGCAAAACCAAAGTAGAGACCACCAAAATGCTCCAACATGGCATTAGAAAAAACAAACAAAAAAGGAACCATCCACTAAATGCAAAACAGGAACCAAGAAGAAACGCATGCAAGGCCCAGAATGTCGGTCACACACCAGATGAGGAAGGTACCCAGACAAGACTGCTAGAAGGTGACCATAATAAACACAACTCCCCTGAAGGCAGTACAACAAGGTGAGCAACACAGAAGACAGAAAATTTCCAGGGAGAACTCACAGTAGTGACCGAGGTGGAGAATTATCTGAAAGAGCTAGATACATCAAAGGCAATGGGACTGATGAAGACGTTACTAAGGATACTGAAGGAAGAAGCTAGCATCATTAGCAAACCTTTGCACTGCCAAGATGCTCAACAGCTGGGAAACTGCCAAAATTGTACTAATGTTAAAAAAAAAATCAGACAATAAACCCTAGTCTATATTATAAATTTATTTATGCATGCATGTGCAGGTGATGAGTTTCACAATAATGTGTGGCTGAAGAATGTTGACCAGACCCCACACTAGAAGGTGAAGGGACGATGAAGTTTCGGTCCATCCTGGACCATATGGTCCAGGACGGACCGAAATGTCATCGTCCCTTCACCTTCTAGTGTGTAGTCTGGTCAACATAGACATGCATACCTTGAGGTGCTGGAAAGGATACTAGTTAAAGGAGTATTATTTTAAAACCATGGACTAAATCATAGGCTAATAACATGAGCTCAGTTATCAATACTGTAGTCAATAACTCAAGTCATAAATATAAGTAGAGACATGTGGAGAATGGTAGCAAATGGAATTCTCCAAAGATCAGTACCAGAATCCATAGTGTTCTTGGCAAAAATATATTACCTGCAACACCTAGAGTAATTGAATAATGAGGATGAAAGCAGGAGAAAGGAGGTTAGTGACATTAAACCATATACAGTACACCTTGCATACCTGAGGATACATATGTAAGAATAGTCATCCAAAACATCAATTTGTTCTTAATACTATTCATCATTTAGACAAGACCAGTACTGGAGTACAGTACAACCTTGATTGAGTGAATTATAAGGGACCAAGCCCAATTCATTGCAGCGAGGGATTTGTTGCAACCACAGACTCCTCCAAGATGCATTTCCCATGCCATATGGGTTAAATTTACTTGGCAAAATTTTCATCTTAACCAATAATAGACAACTACCAAATGAAGATGCCTGCAAGTAAATTTAATGATATCTAGCTCATTTCTCATGTTCCCAGTCTCAAAACTCATTTTTAAAAGGTAGAAGAACCTTACCCGAGTGAACAAAAATCTTGCCAACTTGAAATGAAAACAAACCATAGAATTTGGTTTTAGATATTTTCAATAGCTTTCCCAAGATTCCAAATGTTTCTCAAAATGTTGAGTCCATCTACAAAAGTCAACCAAAATGCAAATGGAGCTATTAACAGTTACCATTCATACCCTAATATTTCCCATGCTCTATGGGTTCATTTTAAGGGTTGCAAATGAAACGTGCTAGATGAGAAAGTATTGAAAGCAAACCCTATATATTTATTTATTAAATTTTATATTTATAAATATATTTAAATATATATATATATAAATAAATATATTTATTCTATTTATTAAAACATAAATACGAAAGTTATGAGGTTAAGGAAGCATCATAATGAATGATCAATAGTAACGAGGCAGGACCGTTAAGTTGAAGTTTGTTTCTGGTAAACGCATTAAATTAGAATGCTCATTTATGCTTAATATAATCAAATATTTATGTTGACTCATTTGCTATGAAACTGTCAACAGCTGCACCCTGGCATACCTGTGAGTCTTCATGACTTTGCTCCTCCTGAGTGTCTCCCCAGGTAAATATGGGTGTGTCCCAGGTGTAGGGGTGTGATGGGGTGCGACCAGATGTTGGGGGAGGTGACCGTGGTGGGCCATACCTCCCACCTTCCACCATTCGTATGGCTGTGAACCCTTCGCTTATCTTCTCAAACACTGGAGTGTGGAACTCTGTGGATTGGTTAGTGTTGGACTGGAAACTGGGATTGGGGGCATCCCAGTTGAGGCACCGCAGCTGGAAAAAACAGCCACACGAGTCCTATATGTTGCAATGTATTTGAATGTATGAAAAACTATATATTACTGAAACATTTGAGAAGACTACAATTGCTTCATGCTTTTTATCTAAAAGAAAAGAATAACAATGATATCATAGGTCAGCTGAGAAGTCTTATCACTAAATTATTAAGACTGATAAAGGTATCACAACTCGACACTTTAATTACATTCAAAATATTATGGAAAACGAAATGGAAATCTGTAACTCATCAGGCTTGTGCAATAACAACTGAACCAATGTTGATAATTTGAGTCAATATTGAAACAATTTTAAATAGTTTTAATGATGCCATCATAGATGGTTTTGCCTTATTCATAGCAAGATTGAGTGCACTGAATCTTTCCAGATCATTTCAGATATGGATACGTTACATTTTCCAGAAGCTAATATAAACAAAAGTACACTGGAACCCTAATATAAAAACTTACTTGGGATCAAATTCATTCCAAGCTGTCAAAAGTTTCTGTAGTTAATCAATTTTTTGGGGGGTGTGGTTTATTTACAACAATCGACAGAACACATCTTTGTTAATTTTTACACTAACAAATAATATATAGTATACACAATGAACTTCAAGTATACAACTAAAACTTAATATAACATGTATCTCTGAGCAATCACATTCTGCTGCTCTCTGAAATTCAATTAGACAGGAACAAGCAGTCAGGCAGGATGATAGACTGTACCTGACCGTATAGGTTCTTCTCTAACTCACACTGGTGAGTACATTCACACACACAATGCCTGATAACAGCTCATACATAAAAACCAAAGCCCAACAGAGCTCTACCTTAGCATCTCAGATGACCATCAGGTGACTTGACTGGAGTCAAGCAGAACACACCTAGTCCCCCATAGCCAAAGAGCCACACATACAGTACTTCATTTGTTTCAAGTCAGTTGGTAGGAGGAAATCAGATCACCAGATTAGTCTGACCTATTTGCCTTCCTCAGAACGTTGCTTTCTAGCGTATAAAATTTAGCTTGTGTGAAGCTTTGCACGGAGTATGTAAAGTTTGTTTGGTGAATTTAATAACACAGAAGCAGTACCACATTCTATATGACCTAGGCTCAACCTGTTAGAGTGTTTCTATTGCCCTATCCACAGCTTCATCTACTGCAATCCATTTTAAGACAAATTTTGTACATTTTCCTTGCAACAAAATTTATACAATTTGGAAATACTGTTCAGTAATGCTTTGATAGTAATATGTAATACCTGAGTCATATGATTGATGTATGAGGACATGAGCAGCGGTGAATCCGTGATAGGCTTGTTGAGCTGCATATGTAAGTCCACCAGGGCTATGTCCTCCTGGGACGACACTGCTGAAATAAACGAGGTGCTGGAGACACTGCCCACCTCAGAGCTGCTGTCTCCACTGCAGTCAAGAGATGCCTGTAAATGTGGTTATATTAAGTTTACCTTAGGACAACATGATTAAATCAACCAAAATCCTGACTAAAGAGTAATGAGACATAAATTTATATACAAAAATAATAAAGTGCCGAGAACAGTACAGTACTGTATAATCAAATGAATATTTCCGAGCAGGTTACTTCTCCTCAAGTAAGTTTTGTAAGTTTCAGGTTCAAGCTCCTTTAGGCAGAGCAAGTTCCTACTCTCCCAGTGTAAGCGAATACATTTAGCTTGGGCCAGTTTGGCACCACATGGGTCCTTTTACCTCTGAAAGCCATCTGGGGTGAAGGAGGGAGAAGTCAAGTGTCTCGCAGGCTGACACCTGCGAGACACTTGATACGCTAAAAACACTAAGTTGAGCATGAGACTTGAGAAACTGAAGCTCTCCCATAGCCTTGGAGGAGGAGCAGGCAGAGAAGTCTTCAGTGGAAACTGATGGAAATATTGGAAAGCCCCCCCCCCCCCCCAACTAACCAACACCACAAAAAAGAAAATGGTAGGGAAGAGAGAAGATAATAACAATGAGATATATCAAGCAGTCACCTGAAAATGCCTCAAAACAGTTCACTGAAAAGCAAGGCAAGCTGAGAAAACGTCCATCACCAAAGTTTTAAGCAGAGTAGATTAAACAGCAGATGACGAGGCCGGAACAAGAGATTCCAACTGCAACTATCACATCCAAAGATGTGAATAAGCCTTAAAGTCTGCTGCAACCAAATTTGCCAGTAAAGGATGAACATTGATATGAAACTGCCATGAGCCCACAATACCACTTAATCTGAGGCTATACAGGGAGTTGTTGAGGAAATGAGAATACCCAGAAAGAAAACACTAAAAACTGGAGCAAACCTTTTTCCACTAAGTAAGAAGAGCAAACAAAATTACCACCACAGCTAGGAAGAGGGGAAGCACCGTATAACTCAGGGATTGGGGGGTTAACTTAAATGTGCAGTCCACTTGTCCCGTCCACCCCAACACTAACGGGAAAAGCAACAGGATTTTCCTAGCCCGTCCTCTAGACAGGCAGGAATGAGGAAACTTGTGTAAACAGGGAACATCCAAATCCAGTGTTGGGATGACGATTTGAACATGCTGGAAACATATAGAAGCAATAACTGAAAGAGAGGATAAAGGCCCCCTCCAACTTGAAGCCCTAATTCACTTCCAAGTCCAAGATGGATCAAATGAAACTCAAGAAGATTCTAGAAATACAAATAACAGATACAACATCCCAGTAGTAGACTCATTAGCTTAATAAAAGGTTGGACATCTGAAATTTAACTGACCATGGCTTGTATTGTATTGCAAAGTCAGCTACTTAGAGGGTGGCTAATGGGACTTATACTGTACCTGGATTCTGTCCGCTTTCTTCCAAGATCTTGCAGGATGATCACTCTCCCATGCTCTTGAAGACTCTGAGGCAAGTGAGTGTATGAGTGATGCCTGGCTATGGTCTAGACCTGGACTTTGTCCACTACTGCTGCTACTGCTGCTACTGACATTACTCTTGGAGCTGTTGTGTCTGCTTCTACTTCGAGAGCTGGGTCTGCATTTGCGGCCCTCTTCAACACTGGTGAAATATCAAATATTAGTTGATTAATATAATGGGGTTTATCTCAGGAAACATTTGAGGAGCCTTAGTTCAGACAAATAATTTAAAGTCAGCACTTACATAAAAAGTGAAAGTGTGAGTCTTTATAGGTGGAACATTTCTGTTGTTGTTCTCTCTGGGTTGCATGCTTGTAAACAACATGTGGTAAGCATTCACCTTAATTCTAATACAAATAAATTAATGCACTTTTGATAAACTTCCCAGCTTACTCACCTATAATGACCACTTGAATTTATGGTAAGCATTCCTGTGTCATGCTGGGGAGTGGGTGGTGTAGAGGTCTGACTTGAGTGACTGTCAGAGTGAGAGTGTGGCTGGAGCTGGTCTTCAGGCACCGTTGGAAGACTGAGCTGAGATGACACACGTGACAACGTTCCTTCCCCATTACCAATCACAGTCATCTGGTATAGAGATAAGCAAGGATGGTTTTATTTAATACTAAGAGCATTTGGACAAGGAAAAGGCACCTTCTAAAGTTAAGGTTCTATACATCTCTTCAGCTGACAAAAGACACTGCTATTTCAAGGTCTTAGTGTAGATATCTGCTACAAATACAGTTCGATTCATCTAATCACAGCTCATTTTTTAGCGACACGGTCCTTGGAACATGCAAAAAACATTTAACCCACAAACACCATAACATTAGTCTCAAGCAATCAACTGTAAAATTGTTTGAAGTCTTACAATCTACCTACCAACATCAGGTATGCATGCCAACTCTCATATACTACTGTACATATAGTGAACTTCAAAGGCAAAATGTGACATTTCAGACTTCAAAATAACCAAATTTTGTCATAGGGCCAGTTCTCCATAATCTGAATTAAATTAGTATCCATCAAAGCAATCACAAAGAATTCCAAGTCAATTCCATATATATAGTGGGACCTCATCCAAGTAGATGGCGGTGAAACACAACCATTAGTGGGCCAGAGAGAAATGGATAATGGAAAAATTCTTGGATGACTGGAATATTTTGAGAAAGAAGCCGGGAAGCCAGTCCCAGAAAAGCACCAAAAGAGGTAGAGACAGCTGCCAGCAGAAAGGGGTGAGCAGCTCACTCACAAATAATCAGTTGCATGAAATGCTGCTCATGTTGAGACCTCACACACAAGATTATAGTACAAACCAAGCAATACTTGCACACAAAGGTAAAACAAGCCCTATACCTAACAAAAGTGGTAATGGAAGCAAGTGACTTAACACAGCAGAATCAGACATTAAAGTGGTTGAAGTCAACATACTAACTCAATGACCTGAACCAAACAAACACGGGAGCTAGATGACCTACCCCAAGTCAAACCCAAGGATTAATATCAGTCATTAAAGCAGCATACTTTACTGTACTGTAAAGTAGCAACAACGATACTGTAAAGTAGTCCATATTTAAGAAGAGCCACTTTACACATTTTAACTGGTCTCTTTCCAGTAAATTTTTGAAGAATTCAATAACTGGTTACTGGATGATCGAACACAAGAAATACAAAACAGCAGTAATATCTACCAAAGATGGATCAAAAAATGGTGCAAAAGGCAGTGAAGGAAGATTTGCATTAAGCACATCAGTAAATATGAATCTTGATAGATATAACTCTGGTACAGGCATTTAATGTTATTTTCTTGAAAACACAAAACTAAACAAAATTTAAAATGACAAATAGACATACGCACATCAATATTTTATGCGACTGTACAATACATGTACTGTACAAGAGGTCAGACTCACCTTACTTACCTGGTCCTCATCAGCAGAGAAGAAGGCCTCAGATTGGGTCTCACTACCAACAGAAACAGTTCTTTGTACACTGGCCAATAGACTATGTTGGCTAGAGAGAGATTGTCGCGAGTTGGACTCTCGCATTCCACTTACAGAAAGCCTATGTCCACTGGCAGCATGGAGTGGCAGCTCTGTTTGCAAGGACAAACTAGATGGCATTTTACTCTGCCGACCAGAATTCACATTATCAACAGAACGTCGTAAATCAGACAGACTACCAGGAGTTGAGAGACCGTCTGCGCCTCCTGGGACGCCAAGCACTACATCTTTTTTTGTGGCACGAAGGGTGCTGGAATCTCCAGGACCTGCAGATCCCCTTGGCTCCACCTCAGTCACATGAGGGTTGGAATCGTGACTAGTAATTGACACTTCTCTTTGATAATTGTGACGAGGATTCAGTCGTTCGGTGCCATGTGCATCAGAGCTGTGGTGCAGTGAACTGCTCCCTCGTGATGCGTGCGCATCTGCTGGAGTGGCTGGAGATGCACTTTTGATGTATCCTGAACTCAGAGCATATTGATCCTTGCTTGTTCCAGAGCTGGAGTCATAATGGGAGTGAGCAAGATCAGAATAAGCCCCAACTTGAAATACCAACTGATTTTCTTGTAAAATGCTTTGGCCATAACCTGGACCTTCCATTGAATCATTTACTCTGAAGAAAAAGAAAAAACTCATTACACTTTCAATAACTTTTCCTGACATGCATCGGCATATCTTAAATGCACAATTATAATCGAAATCTTGTTTCTATAAGGGCATAATTTTTACTTCTTTGGTAAAATTTCTGTATTGTTACCTAACATTAAGCACTATAGAACAAATAAACTTTACATGATCTTCTATACAACATTCAAATAAATCTGCACTTCCTCTAATTTAATTTTTAATACATACAGTACAACCATGCTTTAAAAAAATAAAAAGTAATACTGAAAGTTTTTCTTTCCTTGAATAAGGTTAAAATAAATTTATCAATTTGATTCCTTTCTTGTCTCCAAGATTCATGTTAATTAAGACACTTATAATTAAAAAAAATATAAAGCACATACAATGAAATGGCCCTTTCTGATCTGCAACCTTGCCAGGAACTGCAATTTTAGTTCCTTCAGCAGATAACCGTAGTACTAACTGTAATGTCTGGCTATCTGTTCTTCCAGTGAAAAATACAAAACTAAAATGTAACTTAGATGGGGGTAAACAAAGGAAGTTGCCATATTCATGCCAATCTAAGAAGCATAAGAACTGAACGTGTTGAAAAACTGGATTTCATCACACAGGTAACTTCTTTGCTATATTAGTTCAAGGTAACAACTGCAGCTTAATTTCCCAATTATTATTTTGCACCAATATTACAGGGTCCTTCAGGATATAACCAATAGAACCAAGCTCTCATTATCAAGGTTGCTATCTAGGTGAATACAGGTTACTTTTCCATGAAAATATGAATTAAAAGAGCAGAGGAATGGAAGATAAACTTCACATAATAGCTACTATGTTGTACAGATAATGATTATATTGTGATAAGTAAACCTACCAAGTAGTAAAGATAATGATTCTATAGAGGCGAGTTTGACACGCACACACACACACACATACAGTATGGTATCGAGGCGGGACCAAAGAGCCAGAGCTCAACCCCCGCAAGTACAAATAGGTGAGTACATCTGACTAACTCTTATGGACAAAGGCAGGAGAAGACCTTTCAACAAGCTAAACACTGTCTGTTATGAACATTTATCCCTGAATGTTGTTTCTGTCATCAAATGCAGGTCATATAATCTGATAATATGCATATTCTAGGAAAGCCTGAAAATAAGTTAATAATATTGTAGTGAATTAATGCTGCATTTTAGAGTAAAGTTGACCTATTCATCGAGATTAGAGTAAAGGAAGAATTACTTTGAAGCATGTTCTTATTGATTATAATATGTACAAAATTGAATAAAAGTACTGAAGCTATACCCTAGCTAAACTCATTTAATAATGTACTTATCTCAGCATTTGTCTTTATTATACAAGATGCTAACAGTTTATCAGTGTCAGAGATATTATTAAAAACAGTTTCAACATTACCTAAACTGAGCAACATTTACACCCGTATAGAAATCCTGCTTGCCAGGCTTGAAAAAAGTCAAGCCATTCCTGTTGTTGTTGAAGAAGGAACACCCGCCTACACAGCCACACTTGCCAAACACCTGTGCCGACACCTTTGTCACGTCTTGAGGCCACAGGAACCACAGCCTCTTTGTGCTCTCGTCGTGCAGTTTCAAAAATCTAGAAGCAACAAAAAACCAATTGGATGCAATTTGAAATATTCACATCATAGTGTACAAATCCCCAGAAAAGTTCACACATATTCAGAAGTTATGTAACCACAATGTAATTGCTTCATATTTTTTGTTACTAAACTAAAAAATATATGGTATACGAAAACTGGCTAACACAATGACTTCAGTAAAGAGCAACTCTGATTGAACAAATAGATATTATATAAGAGTTATGAACACTCATGAATCCAGTGTCCCCCTCAAAGTCAAAGTATTTTCAGGTACAATAAACATACCAGAATGCGCAGGAAGGCAGAACACATGTAAAAAATACCCCTGTACAGTATGGCATCAACTAATGGGGCAAGACATTAGAACCTGGTATACTTACTTGTGTTGTATGACTTGCATGTCATGGTGGAGGACATCCATGCTGGTTGCAGCATCCACATACACGGGACCAAGTGTAATGGCCGCCGCCTCCAACCATACATCGTCAGAATACACGTCTGTCAAACCTAGGCCGCCAGCACCACTTGTAGATGTGCCACACATGGACGCAGCCTCACCTCGGCCGCCCCCCTCCTTGAGTCCATCTTGGGCACATATGTAATTTCGAGCACTGATGTTTTGAATATGGGCAGTGATACCAGACCGTGTGTGCTGGCCATGCAGGTTGCATGTTGCCACTCTAATGGGATAGATCTGAAAAAAAAGTCCAATATTTATTTACCATCTGCATTTTTAAATTTTTGTTGACAAAAATATGTACCACGAAATCTTTTACAACTTCCTTGTAAGCATCGGCTAGCAGATGTATACAAAAAAAAATCAGAGCCAAGCTAAAAGAAGATAACAAAAATGTCATTCAAATTCAGGTTTACTCAATAAATTTATTGAACAAACATCTACTTTTATTTTTAACCAAATATATACACTGGTCTATACCTAACTGGCACTTACACACGTACCTCAATGCCAAGAATGGTGCCACTCTCCACAAGATTGAGGGAGAGGCCATCAACTGAGGCTCGCACCATCTTATACTTTATGACATCAGTGGTAGGACAGAAGTGTTCAGCGGTGGTATGAATGCACTGTGGCTGTGGGGTGCCGTGGTAACAGAACATGTGGGGCCGTGGATGGCGCAGACTGTTCTCCATGTCCTCAACAGTGAGTATAAATGCTTCTAATGCTGTCATTATGTTCTGCAGCTGTGGAGAGATAAGGGGGGGGGGGGGGAATATTCAAAAGCCATAGAGTCCAAGAGACAATAAATATGGAGCTGCAATATAACTAACAGCATTATAGTAATAAGACCACATGGTGACATGGTAGAAACGCTTCAAGTATTTGAATAGCACATGTAGTTAATTATGACCAAGAAAATTATAGCACGAAAAACTACAATTCTGCATATCACATTTGCCAATTATGAGACAAGTTTTATCACAAATGTTATAAAAAACCAGCGTTGAATGTAATGAAACGCCATTTTCTGGGTGAGCCCCGGAGGCTCCCTGGAGCTTATCGGGCTAATGTATGTTATGTTAGACCGGGACATTAGCTAAGGAGTTCAGACCTACCAGGGACCAGCGCCAGAACCTGGCCCCTTCAGAGAGGTTTCAGGGAGCAATGGCCCTGGAAAACCCCATATGGTTGGGGGTTTTCCTTATCTGCCATCGACCGGGGTTAGGCACCCAGAAAGGTAAGCGTAACAAAACAAACCCCACATGGTAAGAAACTACAACAAAAACCGAACAGAGAGGTAGAAAACTCCCTACAATCCCAAGGAAACAAGCAAACAAGCAAACATCACACTTTACTGCCGCGCCGATCGTCCGCGCAGCCCTCCCCACCCCGGGAGGGGGAGGGGGGAGCCCCGGACCTACCGCGCCGGCTGCCAAGCTCCAGTTCGGAAGCTAAGCTTCAACCAACGCGAAAAAACCGCTGACCGGTGGGAGGGAGGGTTTCCAGGGAGCCTCCGGGGCTCACCCAGAAAATGGCGTTTCATTACATTCAATGCTGGTTTTCTGTGGGGAGCCCCTACGGCTCCCTGGAGCTTCATACCCAAAGAGAAGGAAAAGAAAAGGGCTAACCCAGGAGGCGGCTGCCACAAACTCTGCAACGCAAAGCCAAGACAACCGGTCGCAAACCTGCGACCCAAGGCAACAAGAACGCCCAAGAACAGACGCACATATGGATGGGCGGCCAAAAACCTGTGCGACCCACAATTCCCTGCGCCCGAAATGAGCCCGAGACGTCACCAACACAGCAGCAATTGCTGCAAACGTCTGAACAGCACGGGCGCAAAGACAGACCGCAGGAAGAAGGAAAACACTGCGGACGACCCGGGAGACCCGAGCCCTGAAAACAGGGAACGAAGGAACCGGATCAACCACAGCGCATCCCCAGGCACGGTACGCCGGCAACAGCAAAAAGCACAACTGGACAACACAGGACGCACCCCCCGGCCAAACCAAACAAGTACCAATACCCCAAGAACCCCTCCGGAAAGCAGCCGTCTCGACCGTCGCCAGGACAGAGAAAGGCTGCACACCAATAAAGCTACCACCAGTACCAAAGAGGAGGAAACTGGAACCGAAGGGGCTACCACAAACTGAGGGGAAGAGAAGAAGGCACCCTGAACAAGGACCAGGATGGCTCAGGCGACTCATGAGCAGGCCGGAGGGGAAACAAAACGCGAGAAAACGTAATAAACGTCATACAGTCTCCAAGACGAAGCTCGCAGGTGGGACACCGTCAACAAAGCCACCTGAACACCATAGAGATGGCGATACCTGCGTCAAAATACCAGACGCGAAGAGCCAAAGAGAAGGCCGAACCAGTCACGGACAGGACCGATTCGGCCTGCTGAAAGAGGCGAAGCCTCAGGAAAAACGCCCCGGGTACGGACACCTATCAAGCAGCGTCTGAAAAGAAGGCCGGGCCGGCCACCGTGGAACCATAAGGACTGTTCTCGTGGGAATGGGCTGCAACCGAGCCAGAACCCGAAGCAACAGCTGGACCGGGAGAAGAGGTACAGGTACCCCCCACCTCGACCAGGCCTGCCGAAAGCCTCCACCGTGAAGTCCTCGCAGGTGGGAAGGGCGCCACAAAACGGGCGACGCCTAGACCACGCCGACCCGAAGACGTCCATGGCCAGGAGTCCATAAGCCCAACAGAGCCAACAAAACGAATCGGCGACGACTGGCCAACCCACGAAGAGGAATGAACCGAGACAGCTGTCCACCAGGACGCAGGACACACCCCGGACACGAACCACACGGTTAACCAAACCCCCTGTGGTTCCGGCAAGAACCACCAGAGAACAGTCCAAACAGAGCTGAATGGTAGAGTACCTAGTGACCCAAACCCTCCGAAGCGCAAACCAGACAGCCATGAACACCTGAACCGGGCTGTGAGCCCGACGGACAGACAGACTCCATCAACCTCGGCCGACCTGGTGAGCACTGGTCACAAAGCCCCAGCCGAGAGACGACCCGTCCGTGAACACATCGAGCGAAGGCTCGGGGAGCTGCCAAGGCACGGAACCCCGAAAACCCCAAAGAGGAAGCTGGTGACGCAGCACCAACACCAGATCCCCAGAGGAACCCAAGGAATGCAAGAGGCGGAAGTGGAGTCTCCGTAGGAACCAACCGACGCCGGAGCCAAACCCGACTCCGCGGGCAGACAAGCACGCCGAAGTGCAAACTCCCGCACAACCGCCCAAGCAACCGCTGAGCAACCCGGGACCCCCTCCTGAACAGCCAAAGGCGGGACCACAGCCACAGTAACACTTCTGGAGGGAAGACAATGAGGGGCCCAAGAGCCTGAAACAAGGCCCAGGTCCGAACCCGGGACGGAAACAGAAGGTAAAACCTCCAGATCACCAGGAAACCAAACCCAGCGATCTGGAAAGTACCATCCCCTGGCGAGCAGACAAGCGGACTGACTGGGAGCCCACTCCAGCCAGTCGTCGAGGTAGGCCAGACACCGAATCTCAAGACGCAGACAGGGCACTAAGATCCGGTAAAGATGCAAAGAGTATACAAAGTGCCCTTCACAAAATAGGGAATGCAATAAAAACAGCAAACCTGAAGCCCCACCACCAAAGCATGGTATGACAATCATATGAAGACATATTATGACATATGACAATCATTATATGACAATATGACAATTATAATCAAAGCATTATATGACAAAGAGTGCTGGGAAGATGGGACACCACGAGAGTAGCTCTCATCCTGTAACTACACTTAGGTAAGTACACATAGGTAATTACCAACCGTGCTAGCCCCAGAAAAACTGGAGAGGAACGTGCCAAGAAGTGACCTGGAGGTCCAGGTCCACCATCCATGCACCCGGCCCTAACAGAATCCGAACAGGAGACAACAGTCCTCCGAGCAGGGCAGAGGATCCAGGGCGCAGACGGAAGTAGTCCAGAAGAACTGCAGACTGGAAAAGCTCATGACTGCAAAGAGCAGACGGGAAAAGCTCATGACTGCAAAGAGCAGACGGGAAGCCCAGAAGGATGGGGCGGATCGACCACGCCCCACGCACCCACGAAGAGGAAATGACGAAGCGCAGGGAAGAAGCCCACCCCGCCAGCTCTGAACCCCCCCAAGGGGGAGAAGCCGTCCTCCGACGCCAGCAGAGGCCGGAAGACAACCCAAAGCGCCCACCAACAGCGGGACCAAGCGAGAGGCAACAGAGCAAGCTGCTCCCCCAGCGCCCAGTCAACAGAGAAGGGAACAGAACCCCTTCAGAAAGAAAAAGTACACTACCGAAGTCATGAGGAGAGACAACGGGAATGAAACCACACTTCGCTGGAAGATGAAGTGAGGGGAGACCTGATCACCACATTCAAGACACCCAAGGGAATCGACAGGGTTGATAAGGACAGGCTATGGAACACAAGGGGCACACGCACTAGGGGACACAGGTGGAAACTGAGTACCCAAAAGAGCCACAGATAGATTTTTTTTTTTTTTTTTTTTTTTTTTTTAGTGTCAGAATGGGAACGGGAAAGCACTAGGAAGTAATGTGGCGACTCCTCACACAAGTAACGAGGCTGACCCCCATACAATGTCACATGTAGACATGACAGAGCCCAAGAGGCACAGGATCCGATACACCTGTTGATGGACGGTTGAGAGGCAGGACCAAGGAGCCAGAGCTCAACCCCCACAAGCACAACTAGGTGAGGACATATATTGTAAAAGCACAAGCCGCCGACTAGTGGCAAAGAGCACTACGCCGGCCAGGCAAAGAAGGCACAAAACTGCATCAAAAGGCCCACCTCGACAGCAAAACCACAAAGTCCCAGCACAACCACAACATGTGCCAAGACCCAAAAAGCTCAGTCTGCAAGCCAGGAAGACCCCGGAACCCCAAAAGGCAGAACCGGGTCACACAAGGAAACAAAGTCCCCTGAACCCACAAAAGGGGGCCCAAGAGGAAGAAACCTCCAGAACGAAACCAAGGAACCCAAAGGAACCCAGAATCGAACCAGGGGGAGCCCAAACCACCACATTTGCCGGTGGAGAACACCACTAAAAGGCAAAGCACAGACCCCAGCAGAACGCCCTGGGAAAACGGTCCCAACAGACCGAAAACCGAGGGGCAAGGTGTGGGAGCAAGCATACCAGCCAGGGGCACTGAGCCTAAACCCAGAGGCTCAGACCCAAAATCAACACCCAAACGTTCCCAGAGGAACAGGCAACGGCAAGAAAACACCAGAAAAACAAAGAAACGACAACAGAACAAAAACCCTGCAAATTTTTTGAAAACTCAGAGACGCTCGCTCGCACACCCAGACGCATGTAAACAAACCGCAACGCCGCCCTGGTGGCCATGCCGTGAAACCGGCAGACGAAAATGGCCGCCAGCAGGGGCTGTGACTGACGCTTAATACACAAAAACACGCCAGCAAATGTGGGAAGCTAGCAGACTGGAAGGGCGAAAAACGACGCCCAACAGCAGAAAAACCCCTGAAGGGGCAAAACTGCCCCAGAACTGCTAGCAGGCAACCCCCACAGCCCCGGGAACCAACAACAGAGGCCCCGGGGCAGAGCCGTCCTCCAAGCCCTCCGCCCTTAAAGAAAAGCAAGAGCCCATGGGAAAGGCAACAAGAAAGGGCCGCTGGTAAGACCCAGAAGCCTTGGCAGGAGGCACAGGCTCAAACCTCCGTCCCCAACCCGAACGGGGCATCCCCCGAAAACCGCCCGAGTCTCTGCCGCAACTGAACCCCGCCCCGACCCCGAAACCCGCAGACGGTCCGGAGCCGGGAACATGGAGAGAAGGGGCGAGCAGCACCTAACCAAACGGGGCGGCCACGGGGCATTCGAGTGGGAAACCAACCTAGCATGTTGCAGCAACCTAACCTAGCTTGCAACACGGATGCCGCCTGTACTCTGAACAGTAATAACATCAGGAGAGTACTGGAGAACAAGCAGAGAATCACTCGCAAGACTCCGGGTCAAGGTGTCAGTGACCCAACAGGCAGCATGACGGAGGTAAAAATGGCGACTGTCACCCGGAGACAAGGGAACAGCAACCAACGATCCCGTTCAAGACGGGTTGGAACCCGGAAGACACATTCAATGGTCCCCCGAGCCCAGACAGGGGTTTCCAGGGCCCGTAGGGTAACAACTACGGGAAGCCCGGGCAAGGTGTTGCTAACCGGTTAAGAAACCCAAACATAACAAGAGGGTAGATTATAGCACTGAAAACCCCTGAGACGTGTACAAGCACGGGGGCCTAGCAGAGGGCCGCCAAACACTACCAGTGGAACTATAACCACCTTAGGCAGACCCCCACCAAGCAAGAAAATGAAAAACAAAAGAAAAACCCCGCAAAAGTACACCGTCTCCAGAGGCAACAGAAACCGGCCGCCGCTTAGGTGGCAGGCTGCGCAACACCTTGACGCCCTAACCAGCACAATACCAAACCCTACCCAGGGCCAAACAAGGGCCCCAAGCCCCAGCTGGCCCCAAGGGCGAGGCAAATGCCGAGCAGCAAGAACCTCTACGGGAATGGTTCCCGAACGCCCCAGGGAAGATAATCCTGTTACGCAAGGGCAGTACTCACAGGGCGCTTAGGGAAGTCAGCCACTAAGCACATGCAGCCCCGGCACTGATGAAGTACTCCTGGCCACCGCACACCACAACACACGGCAGTGAACGCCACACAAGGCAAACACCGCCTAGGAAACTGAGGCCAGAGAAGCGTCAATCCCGGTTGACATTAGCGAACGAACTGGAGCTTGGCAGCCGGCGCGGTAGGTCCGGGGCTCCCCCCTCCCCCTCCCGGGGTGGGGAGGGCTGCGCGGACGATCGGCGCGGCAGTAAAGTGTGATGTTTGCTTGTTTGCTTGTTTCCTTGGGATTGTAGGGAGTTTTCTACCTCTCTGTTCGGTTTTTGTTGTAGTTTCTTACCATGTGGGGTTTGTTTTGTTACGCCTACCTTTCTGGGTGCCTAACCCCGGTCGATGGCAGATAAGGAAAACCCCCAACCATATGGGGTTTTCCAGGGCCATTGCTCCCTGAAACCTCTCTGAAGGGGCCAGGTTCTGGCGCTGGTCCCTGGTAGGTCTGAACTCCTTAGCTAATGTCCCGGTCTAACATAACATACATTAGCCCGATAAGCTCCAGGGAGCCGTAGGGGCTCCCCACAGAAAATAATGCTAAAAAGTTAATATACCAGCTACTCCATCTTCAAAGCAGTGACCCATTATCAAAATACAGCAACTTAGGGCACAATTTTTACTATTGTGCTCGTGTTATTTTGTTGGGGACAGACAGCCTGTGTATGTATATATGTTAGGCTTATTCTGAGTCCTCCCCATGGTTGAACTACTAACCATCTATGGTTGAACTACCATTCATTCCCTAGTAATATTAAACTTAAAACATTGGATTCCACTCGCATACTTGTCGTATGTGGCAATTAACACTTTCGCTCGGGGATGACGCAGCATTGCGTCATCCGTTTACTGGCGGTAATGCCGGGATGACGCAGCATTGCGTCATCCACTTTAAAAATTCGCCAAAAATCAGGTTTGTATCCGATTTTTTGGGGACTGGTTTTAAAATGTGCGCCGATGTCTTCCCATTTCCTTTGTTGAGCCTCGTGGCCCTCAGGCGGCTTGGCACACGCCGTGGGCCCATTGTCTTTGCTCCACTGTTGTGACCAATGTCGTCTCCCCTCGCATCTCAAACGTGTGAACATTTCGGCTATTTTCCGTGGCTATATTTCTTACTGCGGCTTTAGAAACTATCTACGCTTACTCCACGATGGATAGTAATCATGAACAAGGCCCTTCCAGGAAGAAAATTGCGAAAGAAAGGCTTGAAAAGGGTGGGAATTGGGAGTGTAGTAGGAAGGCCTCTGAGCGCTCACTCACGGCTAACGCGTGGCCCGTCTTCAACTCGTCGGCGGTTGGAGCGTGACCAGGTGTTTTTTTTTATATGCTAATGTTCCTCTAGAGAATTTTATTACGAACCCATTGAGACCAAAATGAAAGACCTAGGACAAAAATTGAGGTGACCAGAGTGAAAATAGTGAAAACATTTTATCCCGTTTGCGCGCTCCCGGGTAACTCGTTCGCACTTTCTCTGTTTGCTGCGGGTAATTAGCCGGGCTTTTGGAGTTTATATGCATTTAGTGCTGTAGAGAATTTTATTGCGAACACAATGATACCAAATTTATTCTCGTAGAAGGAGAATTGAGGTGACAAAGTTGAAGAGAGTATACACTTTTCGGAATTAACGCGCGCTTCCGTGACACGCTGGGGCCCATATCGCCCTGTCGAGGGGTGGCGCGCGGGGTGAGCGAAAGTGTTAAGTCATTTACTTTGAAAAATCTGATTTTTGATGAAACAATGAAACGAAATGCAAAACATTTTTCTGCACAAATTATTTGGTCGCTCTTTGTCTTAAAGAAGCTCCTGAACCGTGAAGAGGACAGTGCCCCCTCAAGGCAGGTTGACCCTCGGCACTGGAGGAGAACTTCACTACTAACCTGAGGGGTCGAGAGTTTACCACTGAGTGTACCAACTGTCAACTCAACAAGCCACGCATACTCAAGAGTCTCCTCATCAAGGGAACGCTCTTCGGAACTGAACATGGCATGTCCTCGCATCTGGGGGAAAATTAATATGCATAAATTTGATAAAAATATAGATTAAAATTATATTACAACATTTTTAGTAAGAAACATGATGGCCTATATCATATTCATTCAGTAAAACCATGAAGTTCATTAAATAAAAAAATCAATACTGTTATTATGTCTATATTATAGACATTACTATTACTTATTAATCCTTTCATTATGTCCTTCACATTATAAAGCATCACAAATAACCAAAAACTATTAAACATCAGCAGTCATCCACAGCTGTATCCTACCACTTCACGAGACCAGGTATACAGAGGTCCACATGAATACATGAATATTCTTATATCTGCACAAAAATCGGCAAATACCACATTCTCTACTTGCAAACTGCGACCCTTCCCAGTGCTACATAATCGTAATGGCTTGGCACTTTCCCCACTGATAATTTCCTCCCATTCCCTTCCTTGCAAATTGCTTCATGACAACCCTGTGCCATACCATATCTCATGTGTTGATCACACACACTCCCCATTTCCTCACGCCTTATCTTTCAATCTTCTTTCCTCGTCTTTCTCCTCCTATCGTCAAATTCACTTGCATACACACACTCTGCTTATGAGCCTTATTTCATAATTACCTGTAACCCAGACAACATAAGGAAGCCAGTGTGAAGGTGTTGATGAGCAGGAGGTCTGCTGTGGTTGGTGTCCAAGGTTGTAAGTATGAGGGGCGACACCACAACCTGCAGCTGCGTCTCTAAATACCTCTTGTCCATTTCAAACACTAGACGATCCAGTGCCACTGTTGGGCATGGGGGATCGTTCTCAGTACAGTCCTAAAAAAAAAATACAAAACAAATATTAGGAATATAAATACTAGTCATTTATTAGAACCATCTTTTAACTGTCATCTATTGAGAGAAGAATAATATTCTAAATTAACCCTTTTAGCTCTAATCTAAACACACTGATAGGGGTAACAATCACCACCACCCAGACACACAGATCCTCTGATTCAATACATTTTGAAATGTAAGTTATCTGTGTTAATCTATTCCCATACTACCCTCAGACTTTTAGCAGTAAGGTAGGAAAACAAATCAGGGATCTTTTTAAACATTACTGCTGGGTTATACTGGTGCTATAGAGGCACTAGAGGAAAAGTTAACTGAAGATCAACCAATGCATGGAGTGTCTTTCTTTGCCACCAGAAACACTTAGTATGTGAACATAAGGACCAGGCTGCAGAAATCATGCCCCTGTTCAACATTTCCAGACGTGGATGCAGAGTAGCAGGGGCAGACGGCTGTGTAATCCCCAAGGTCACCCCTTTTTTCACTGAACTTCTCCATGCAAATTGGGATCGATTAGGCTTCAAGCAAGGGCTACTGGTTCACCATATCCTGTTGACATGTAGTATATTTCCATTAAATAGCAGTCAGGGATAGCGACTAGCGATCTATTCTGTACAATAATTTATCTTACAAGTGCTTTTCTTGAGAGGGAAGTTGATAGTTTTTATTTTCTCATTTGACTAAAAGAGAGCTAGCCACTAAGGGGTGAAGAGAATTTTCCATTGTCTTCCTTTCCTCAGCTGTATGGCAGGACCATTAGCAGAAATTCCTGGCATGTTGAGGCAGCAGACCAACACAGCCTGGCATATATGTTCCGGTTGAACCCAATAAGTACTTGGGAAGCAATCAAAGGACCACTTAGAAAGTAGCATTTCGATACTCTGAACCTCAGATTTTCTCAACAAAATTCCCAACAAATTGTTGAATGAATTCTGATGATGCTGTAAGACTTATAAAAATGTATTCCACATTTTGAATTAAAATGGTACAGTATATAGAACACAAGTCCTACACAGGTTTAATTATGGAGCAAAATGTATACCCAATATTAATATTTGAAAATGAAGCCCCGTAATGAAAAAAACCAGCGTTGAATGTAATGAAACGCCATTTTCTGGGTGAGACCCGGAGGCTCCCCGGAGCTTTACCGGCTGATATGCTAATGTCAGACTTTGGCATCAGTCATGTGTATGGAGTTCTAGGGCCTACCGGGGACCACGAGCCAGAACCTGGCCCCCTCAGAGAGGCAAGGGGAGCAATGGCCTATAGAAACCCCCGTGTGGTTGGAAGCATTCTATGTCTGCCATCGACCGGGTCAAGCACCCAGAAAGGTAAGCATTCCAAAACAAACCCCTATTCTGGTGAAAATTGCTACCTAAGCCGAACTAGTGAATAGAACTCTTCAACAGAAAACACGGAAACTAGTATGACGTCATACGTCACCGCGCCGCTGTCTGCGCAGCTCCCCCCTCCCCGGGAGGGGGAAGGGGGAGCCCCAGACCTCCCACGCCGGCTATCCACCCATCAGTTCTGAGGCTGGATGTCAAAACACGCGAAAAACGCCGACCGGAGGGAGGGAGGGTTGCCGGGGAGCCTCCGGGTCTCACCCAGAAAATGGCGTTTCATTACATTCAACGCTGGTTTTCTGGGGGGAGCCCCGTCGGCTCCCCGGAGCTAACTACCCACAGAGGAAGGTCAAAGGGACAAAACCGGGAGGCGGACACCACGCACCCCCCAAGGAGGCGAGACAACCGGCAGCAAACGCCAACCCAAGGCGCCACAGCCCCGAAAATCCCGGGAACAACACGAGAACCACGAGCAGCAAGGCCCCTGCACGAACACCAAAAATCCATGCCCGAAAGACTGCAAGGCCACGTCGCCCAGACGGCAGCGAGAGCAGCGAAGCCACGAACGCCACAGGCATGAGGGAAGAACACAGGCAGCTTAGCCGCAAGAACACGGCTGACCACCCGGGACACCATCACCCGCGAACCGGGAAGAACAGAACCGGATCAACGCAAAACGCGCTCCGGACCCAAACGCCGTGGCACGCAAACAACAGCAGAGGGCCGCCACTGAACACAAAAACGACACACCCCCGGCCCGACCAACGAAGCACCAACAAACCCTGGACCCCTCCAGAATGCAGCAGCCCCACCCCGCGCCAGAAAAGATGGAGACTGCTGCCATCAAACAACCAAAACGCTAAAACCGAAGGAGCAAGAAAACACAGCGAACCGACCCCCAGAGGCAAAGGCCCAAAGGAAAGAGCCGACGAAAAAAAAAAACACCGGAACCGAAGGGGCACTACCAACCGAGGAGAAGACAGAGCACGCTGACCAGAGACCAGGATGGTGCAAGCGGCGCACGAACAGGCCGGAGGTGAAATGACGCACAAGACAGCTGACTAACGGTGCAGAAGCAACACCAAGACCGAAAGCAAGCTGAAGCGGCTCCGCCTGCGCCGCACGAAAAGAGGCGACAGTATGTGGCAAGACGACGGCCCCCAACCCCCACTAGAAAACCAAGCCGAGAGTAAACCAAGCCAACAAGAAGGACCCACCGAAGAAGGGACAGGAAAAGGAAGGACCGCCAAAATACCCCATACTGCCGCCAAGAAAGCACGCAGGTGGGACACCTACCACGAAGCCACCCGACCACCAACCGGAGGCGAGACCACGAGGCAGAACATAAGCAGCCCCGACAAGGCCCCCCCGAGCCCAGGAAAAAGGCGGAGCCGCGAGAAGATCTCGGGCGCGACCACCGAAACCCAGGCGGCACAAGGAGATGGAACGTCTGCCGAACAGAAAAACTCCGAAGCATGCAAGCCCGCCAGGAGTTCAGAAACGACGGGTCCGACGCGAGACATCGCAAGAACCCCCCCAAAAAAAGTAAAACAACAACAACCGGCAGGGCAAGCTAGGAAAACCAAAGAAGGCGGAAGGGTCGCCGCCAGAACAGGACCCGAACCAAGGGGCACGAACAACTGCAACAGACCGAGACAAAGAAGCACATCACAGGACACAGGCTGACCAACGCCTAAGAACACACGCAGAACATTCCTGCTGCAGAAGAGGCAGGAAGAAAGAGCAGAAGCACAAAAAAAAAAAAAAAAAAAAAAAAAGGAGAACAACCAGGGGTGGACAATCAGGCAGGGACAAAAACCCCACGCAATCCCCAGGCACAAAACGGCAGCAAAGCGCCACTCCACAACCGGACACAGGAACAAGGACACGCCACCGTGAAACACGGTACCAATGCTCACGTGCAGCAGCAGCAGCAACAGGCACCACTGCAACATGCAACATGTAAATAGCAACTCCCCTCTGCAAAGGCAGAGAACGGAGCAGGCAGACCCCAGACAGGGCCAACGGAGACACGACAAAACCCTGCAGGCCCAGAAACCTGCACCAGGCGACCGACGGCGGAGAAACCCCGCTCGATACCTGCTGGATGAGGTACTGGGAGCTCTTCTACACCTCAAGCCCGGCCCAAGGTCAGGCCAGACCGGCCAGAGGATGGCCCACCAGGCAGCTGCTAGGAGCAGTCCACCGGCCCACATACCCCCACAACCAGGACGGGCCGGAACTGCCATACGAAAACAGGCCAGTGCGCCCTGGAAGTCCACGGACGAACCAGCAAGAAGGCTTATGCTCGCAAGTAGGTCGTGTAACAAGCACAGACCACTGATGGTAATACAGTGTTCCCCAAAAGTGCCAATAGCACCACTGCACTCCACTGGTACTATCCCGCAAGTTCTACCAGATAGGCGGGACCCAAGAGCCAGAGCTCAAATCCTGCAAGCACAGCCAGGAGCCTCACCAGGTGAGTACAGAACCAACCCTACAACCCCCACACCTCACAACAGTAAAAAAGGAGGGTCCCCTGAACGACTCCAGCATGGGTTGGACATGCACATGAGGGGGACAGGAAGGGGTGATAAAGGGACAGTCACTGGTGTGCGAACGGTCTCAGTCGTACAAAATTATACCTAAATAAAGACAGGTATATGAACACCGCCGCATCCAGCGCCCGGCCAAAAGACGCCAGACCGCAGAAACTCACCTGGCGAATGGTGGCTCGAACTTGACACGACTCAACCGTGCCCAGAAGAACTCGGGAGCACCGCTAGGTGAAGACGCCAGAGCCGGACCCGCAGGAGAACAGGGAGAGGCGAAGGAGGCGGTCCACACCCATGACACAGAAAACCGCGGTGTCCTCCCCACAACTGGGAACCAGGACACCCCTGGCGCAAAGGGGCACATACCGCAGCCAGGGAGAAGAACGAGAGGCGAAGCACTGTAGCAAAAAAGGGCGCAAAACCCCAGCACTGAACCATCGCCCAGACCAAAACAAACTCCACGGCGCATGCGCATAACACGCTGGCCGAACCGCACACCCTCCCTGCGGGAAGGCGCCAGCCAGGACTATTGCACGAGAAAAAGAGCCAAAAGAGGAAGCAGGAACAATAAAACCGGCCAAAGAAGCAAAGAGCCCAAAAAAAAAAGGGAACCCAAACGGGCGACAAGTAGCCCAAACGGGCGACAAGTAGCCCAAACGGCCGACAAGTAGCCCAACCGGGCGACAAGTAGCCCAACCGGGCGACAAGTAGCCCAACAGGGCGACAAGTAGCCCAACAGGGCGACAAGTAGCCCAACAGGGCGACAAGTAGCCCAACAGGGCGACAAGTACTAGGAGCCGACAGACGTTCCAATAATGCGGGAAGTAGCGAAAAACCTTCCCGTACCCTCGAGAACACAGAAGCCAACACTAGTCCCGAAGGCACACGAAGGCGCAGGCGCACCCGAGATCAAAAGTCACGCAGGACCCCATCGAACGGGGAAACATGACAAAAACACCGTCTCAAAAAGCGGGGGAGGAAACATCCACCCACAGGACGGAACCAACCGACTCAAAGGCCAAGGAACCGAGCCCGGGGAGGGGCCGACGTCCAACAGCACGTACGGCGAGTGGGGAGGAAAGACCCCACTCCGCGTAACCACAAGCCCCGCCGAGAGGGGGATAAAACCCCCCACGGGGTCTAACGGGGCCAAGGCCCCCCCAAGTCAGCCCCTCCCCAGCCCCGGGAACCTACACGACAGGCCCCGGGGCCGAGCCGTTCCCCCAAAGCCCCGGCCGTACCAGAAAACCGGGGCAGCCGTGAAAACACTAAGGAAGGGAGCCCACTGGCAGACTCATACAACACGGCTGGAGGAACAGGCCCAAATGCCCCCGTCACTACCCCGGAAGGGGAATTCCCCGAGACTGCCCGAGTCTCAACACCACCAAACACCCCGCCCTGAACCTACAGACGGTAAGGAACCGGATACAGGCAGGAAGGGTGAACCAGGGGAAAGACAAGGGGGCGTGGATGGAACCGAAGCAACCAACACCCCCAAGTCCCAAAACGAAATACAACGGGGCAGCCCCGGGGCTCCCGGGGAGGAAACCACGAGAACGTTGCCACCACCAAGGCTCAAGTGCAACGCCCCTGCTGCCCGCACCCGCTTTGTTAGCACAACTGGGTAACCGAGCCACAACGAGCAACCAAACTCGCAGGACACCGGGTCGAAGGTGTCACCGACCCCACAGGCAGCAGACGGAGGCAAAACAGAGAGTCACCCAGAGACAAAAGGTGAGAGCAACCCTCAAACTCGCTGGAAGCGAGGGGGGGGCTCTGGGGTCACATCCATCGGACCCGCGCGCCCCCAGGGGTTTCCCAGGGTCCCGAGCGTTTACTTTAAGAGGACTCGCGCTCAGGTAATCCCAGGCAGGGTACTGCTAACCGGCACCCAAGCTACCAAACAACTTTCTAAGAGCTGAACCCCCGGGACGTGTACACTCACGGGGACCTAGCAGGGGGTACCACCAGAAATACTCAGAACACAAGGGACACAAGGGGCAAGAACGAAGGCAGACCCCCCCACCAGGTATATAAACAAAAGAAAAAGAAAACCCCGCAAGAGGACAGCGTACCCAAGCGGAACAGAGCCGGCCGCTATGATTGGTAAAGACAAGCTGCACAGTACCCCGCGCCCCACCAGTGCAAACACTGCCCCTTACTCCAAGGCGAACAAGGGAGACAGAACACCCGAGCACACAAAGAGCGGCCGAAAACCAAGCGGTAAACGGCCAAGCAGGGGCAGGACCCAAGGAACTTGTGGAAGGTGGCCCCAAGCCCCAAGGGCAGTACTTACAGGGCACCTAGGGAAGGGAACCCTAGGCGCATGCAGCCCGAGTACTGAAGAATCACACCCGGCTCACGCACCACCTAGAAAACAGACACCACACTCTAGGTACAGTGCTGAAACAACCACTGGAGCCGGAGCACATAACCATTGCCTATAGCATCAGCCGAAGAACTGATGGGTGGATAGCCGGCGTGGGAGGTCTGGGGCTCCCCCTTCCCCCTCCCGGGGAGGGGGGAGCTGCGCAGACAGCGGCGCGGTGACGTATGACGTCATACTAGTTTCCGTGTTTTCTGTTGAAGAGTTCTATTCACTAGTTCGGCTTAGGTAGCAATTTTCACCAGAATAGGGGTTTGTTTTGGAATGCTTACCTTTCTGGGTGCTTGACCCGGTCGATGGCAGACATAGAATGCTTCCAACCACACGGGGGTTTCTATAGGCCATTGCTCCCCTTGCCTCTCTGAGGGGGCCAGGTTCTGGCTCGTGGTCCCCGGTAGGCCCTAGAACTCCATACACATGACTGATGCCAAAGTCTGACATTAGCATATCAGCCGGTAAAGCTCCGGGGAGCCGACGGGGCTCCCCCCAGAAAACTAACTTGAACACAAGCTATAAATCTACAGGATTACACTCTTTACAACACACATGTTTAGTTACACTTACCTTGACAAGATGCCCCAGAACATTTCTTATATCTATGTAAACTGTGACCCTAAACTGGCGGTATTTGCGACAATCAAACTCTGGCTTCTTTTCCTCGGCCAGACTGTTGGATTTGGATTCCTCCTGTTGACTCAACTCAGCGGGGTTATCTTCATCTATGTGTGTCTGGTTCATATCTGTGAACTTCTGATCTTCACCAAATATATTTTCCTAGATGAAAAAGATGTTATTGAGATATAGTATAACAGCATTCAATCTATTTACAAGCCCATCAACTTCATTTTTTAGTAAGTAAGAACAAGACACAATGTCCTACAACAAAACTTCCTTACAATTATTGCAGATTAAGAAAATGATGTGATGCATTCTAGACAAGACTAACAGGTTGCATTTGATTGATGATATATAACTATAAGTATAATAAGTACCATTTATCTTACTGTCAACTTATAAGCAACTTGAAATGCCACAGTTTCAAATATACACAGATGATTTGGAACAAACACTCCTTCACAGGAACCTTTCAGAAATTCACCATGACTTGCAGAGTACTGTACTCCCATTCAAATTAAATCCCTTTCAAATAAAATCACAAATAATGAAGTACATCAAGAAGCATTACCTTGAGGTGTATGAATTGACGAAGAACAGATCCATATAATTTAATCTCCGATGATTGAGTAATGTGCAGATCAACGCTAAAGCAGTCTGGAGTCATTGATGTTGGATCAAACTGATCAGGAGTAATATTCTGGAGAAGAGGACTTAATTAGTTGCATGGTATATATTTAGAGTATAAACAAATGTGTTCAATTCTTACAATTACCATACTAGTGAAGAACATAAAATGCTGGTGACAATACAAAAAACACCAAGATTAAATCAGGCTTTATTAGTTGATAATAAACTTATCTTTAGAATTAACAGAGCCATCATGATCTTAGAGGAGAGCACCAATGGACACCAGAAGAGAGCAAATTGTTAACTACAGTGTTCATCTCGGCTTCAAAAATTTAATACTCAAGTATGCAGAAGATAAATTTCAATGAATAATATTCATGGCACCATTTTTACACTTACTGTAGGGTCAATATTAAGCAAGATTAAAGCTAAAAGAAATAAAAAATACTTAATACATTATAGGAACATGAATCAAATTAAACTTAATAAATGTAATGCCAACAATACAGTACCCTTAACTACAAGTAAATTTTAGGTTTATAGCGAATCGTTTCATTTGAATGGGCCATTTTCCGCACTATGATTGAGGCAAGACAAAACTTCCATAAATCTCACTTTTATAATCTCCATGGGCGATTTCTTGCGGTGAGGAGCCCTGATGGGAGACAGAAGCAGCTCCTCCTTTTCTGGGGTGGACACATTGGCCTGAGGCGAGGGTCCCAGGGGTGGAACTGGATGGTAGGTGTAGCCAATGTTCAGCTTTAGTTCCGGCACCTGCCAGCAGTCAACCCACCCAGCGCTGAAATATAAAGTTCTTCCATAAAACAAATTTATATATATTTTTCACATTTAGACTCAATATACTTACTGAAGACTTAATTATGTATACACACAATGATTACAGTACTGTATTAAACAAAAAATAAAGGGAAATGCTAATAGGAAATAATGTGGGAACTACAGAGATTAATTGCTGTAGTTTTCCAAGGCAATGGATCCAAGGACAAAAATTGAAGAATAAGAAAATACAGGATAGGAACAGTGTGGATTTAGGAAGGGAAGGGGCTGCATATATTTAATTTTTACTGAGAATAAATTTAGTTAGAATATTTGTTGCGAAGTAGAAAAATTTGTAAGTAGCATTTAGAAAGGTGTATGATATGATTGATCATGAAGCACTGTGGAAGATTTTAAAGATCTATGAGGTGAGAGGGAATTTATTAATAGTGAAATCATTATACAGTATATGAATAGGAGAAGGGAGAGATTCTGGTGTTTTAGAAACTGGAATTGAATGTTGTGGATCTTGTAGATAATTATGGAAAGATATGGCAGTCATTTTAACATTAGGATAAAAGTGGGGAACATGTACTAGAAAAGGAACCAAGTTTAAACACTTGATGGCAATGCTATATTAAAATTAGAGGTATGGAAGGCAAAATAAATAGTGAAAGGGAGAAGAGTTGAAGAAAAAGTTAAATAGTATAATGAAAGGAATAAATAAATAGTATGTGGGTTAAGAAAGGTCCAAGTGATAGTTTATTACCCCCAGTCATGGCATGTCCAAGTGAAAATTGGGTATGCAAAATAGCAGTGTTGAAAATATGTAGTAGAGAAAGAAAAAAACAGCAGCAGCTGGTGTTAGTATATGGGATGGGTACATCAATGAGGAAGTAGTGTATGTAAAATATATGATACAAGTGCAAGGGGCGAGGGAATAGAGGAGTAGATAATATGCAACACACTTTGATGTTATAAACATGTTAGCATGATGCATGAAAATCATTTAATAATGAAAGTACAAGGGTGAAATGAGAGGATCATATCATACATCGAGACAACTAGCAAAGTTTGGAGGGCCGAGCAGAACAATGTATGAAAGAAAGGAACTGGTTAAAAATCATCAATTAGTGAAAGGTTTGTGTGATAGAGCCTTCTGAAGACTCTCCTGCTGAGACAATCTTGCAATAGTGACCTCCTGGAAGGAGCAAGTCATTATCTATTGCTAATACTGCTCTCCACTACCATCAACACCCACAGCTCTAACTTCTGCTGTCACTCAAGTACACAAGAAGGAAAGATTAAAAACAGAATACAATAACTTTTCCAGTTTCATAAATACTTTCCATAAAAGTTTTATACTTCATAATACCACACCTGAGTTTGCAGAATTTCCTCCACTTATCATTGGAAAATGTTTGTTTGGGTCTGTCTTCCTTGTCTACCAGTTTAGCATTTCGGTCCAGAGCCGTGATGATATTCCGTGAAGTATTGGACGGTGGCAGGAACAAGCTCAGGTCCACCGTCTCGGCCTGCAAGCAAACATGCACAAGACATTACAGCTGAATCCAAGTGACTATAACTTCATGTACATGAAAACACTCTGAAGCCCATATGATGGGATCGAACTACCTTCTCTGGACTCCCCAGGAATACATCACATTCTTTTGCTTTCACTGTGCATATCTATGGGGCTTCCTTCTTTCAGTATTATAATTAGAGGCCAATGCTTTAATTGCAAGGAAGATGGTCATCAAACAAAATAGTGCAAAGCTAAGGAGAGAGACTTACAGAAATTTGTGGTAATGCCAATTTCTCTGCTTTTTCATTGACATCTAATAAAAAATCTACTTCATTCATAAATTCATATTTCACTGTTAAATGGCTATTTCACTGCTATTCACACTATATATCACAAGAAAAAATTTCACTACAGGGTACTCAACTCCAGCTTCACTTAAAAATACTTCACTGGCCAAACCACACTTCACTATAAGATATCCGATTCTCTGTCAATTACCTGCTTTAATGTCAATAACAAGTTTAACTGTTAAGTAGACTTTTTTGTAATTATATTATCACAACAGTATGCAATATGCTGTACATACTCAACACATGACCACAGTGTACACCATGACTAGACATGTTGGCAGTAGCATCTACACTTTATATAAACTTCTATCTCTAGAATACTTCCTGGCTGGTAATCCATACCCATGAAGAGCAAACTATTATTATACTATAGTGTATAATGTTATTCATCATCTCTCGCTAAAGAGTATACTGTAATAGAAAGTGTCGTCTCCTCTAAACATTCCAATATTGTACAACTTGCACATTTCCATTCCTCATTCATGCATTCCTACAATTTTTCTCAAATCTACTTTCTATACACCTTTCTCTTGCATTTCACTCTTACTTAGGCATGCTACTTAAATCATTAAACTTTCATACTTTTCTACTCCTCACACAGATTTAGGACTTATCACCAGTTTTTTGTACCTTCCCACCATTCATTTGCTCTTCCCTTAAGTCAAGCTCTCACACATTTCATCAAGTAGAATACAGTGACTACTCACAATATTTAAATACACAAGAAGGTGAATTCAAGGTCAAATGGTAATGATCCACACACACCCAATCCCATGAGAAGCCATGCTCCAACCATGATAAGATATGGTTGGAGCATTACTCGTCACACAATACAATGAATTCCACACAAAAGCCAGACACCAGCCTAAACCGAAGGAAAATACATACATGCATATAATACAATTAGTGTAACATACCATTATTGCAAACTTGAGGAGGACCGTCTCGGGCAGAAAGTCAACAAACGGTAGACAGAATTTGAGCTCAAACAACTTCCCACAGAAGGCCACATGAGCTGATGAAGGAAAAAACAGTTACTATTGAATGTATGAATGGTATCGGCATTTCAATTTCATATGGAGGTTAAAGGTTCACATGTAAAAGAGGTTCATACACAAAAAGGGTGACAATTATTAACGTTGTGCTATCATATCGATGTGCAATATCAATAAACTATAAAATAAATCCAAAGCATGACAACTTTACACCTAAGCATGGCAATTATACACCTAATTTATTAATAAATACTGTGGCAACTTTATTAAAAATAACAGTTGCTCCAGACTGAATTCCTGGGACTGTCCATTATGAAGACCACAACTGGGAAAAACCCATCCCTTAGCTTTACTTTGGGTTTGCTTTGAATTATCAGCAGCCATTCCTCACCCCTTTCTCCTCCCTATTTTTTTTATTTTTTTAACTTTAACTAAGGTTCATAAGGACTGTCAATTGACGTACCTAGTGAAACTGCAAGCAAGAACTCTAATCCTACCTCAGTTCAGTTGAAACCTACTCCTAGAAACCCATTTATTTCATGAACCTATTATATGCATCAATAGGATAAACTTCCCTTCTAGCCAGACTTCAAAGCCTAACCCCTGTAGTCGAGGCTCGTGCAATTATTGTGTTCCTATTCATACCTCCAGAGCAAAATTCTTCAACATTTAGTTTCCACTTCATAGCTGTGCTGTAGAATTTCTAGACCACTTTTGTCTTACCTAACATATTAGATCTCCCTTCACCAGATATCTACAAGCACACACTTTTTCCTACACTTTACCATGCTTTACTCGTATTCCGATTAATGTGTACAGTGCCACATATACTCCACACAAAAGTTAGAAAAATACACAAGATGCAGGACTAGGACAGACAACAAAGAAACAAGTCACCATGTACCATTAGCCTGATGTTGTGAGGAGCAGTCTACCCAGTTGTAGCCATTGGCAAGAGTGACAAGCTCAAACTGTTGCAGCTTCAGGACAAAATTCCACGAGTATGGCACAAAGTGGAGCAAGTCCGGTGGCACACGGGAAGACCAGTCCTCAATTAAATCTGAAACAATAATACATAGTCAATAAAGTATGGTTATGGTACAGTGTGATATTTGCCACTTTAACTTTTTTATACCTATGTTTCAATATCCTGTAACAATTACATTATTGTTTCGTATTACAGGACTGAAAAGCATAATTCATACGCATTATAACATGTCTTGCATAATTTTAAATGTACAGTGTACAGTATTTCCACTCGAGCAGCACCCATTTCTCCAGTCAGATACACTGGAATTAACAATTTCCAGGCATAAACATTTTTACAATTTCAGTTCCACAGTATAAGCGGAGTGGAGTCAAACTGCTTGATTTTGACTCTACTCAAGCAGACCTTATGAACCTTTGGGTGGACCAGAATGGATCCAATCCAGCCAGGAACTCCAGGAAAACAGCAGAAAATTTAAGATATCTGGCAGATAAGGGATGCAAACAACTGATTGTGTCAGGAATGTGGTGTCAAAGTACAATATAACAAATGGAGCAGTGAGTGGAATAAAATGCCCCTCTCTGAGCAACATCTCTGCAGCTTCCCTTGTCTTAAAACACTGAAACTGACTAGAATATTGGCACACTGCTAGGCTTTGAGCCCCAGAAGGACAAGTAACCCTGCAGAATGTCTAACGTTCTTACTGAATATGGGTTAAGAACTCTATAGAGAGTAGATTTAAATCCACCCAAAATCTTAAATCCAAGACATCCTTGCAAACTATTCTTCACAATTCCAAAATTGGCAAGAATTCTTCTGAAACTACCAACACTAAGCAACAACTACCCTGGCTAATAGCAGGTAGCAGCACTACTAAATACCAATGACAGGAAATTGGCTAAGCCCAGCCAGCCCAAAACCATGAAAAAGACATTAATTTAAAGGGCAGGAACAGGTGCTGCTCAGAAAGGGACGTTTCATTCCACTCAATACTCTATAATATATTTGTAGTTTGTTTTGAGAGTTGTTTCCCAAGCCCACCTGGAGGTCATGTTCTTCTAGTGGTAACTATCTATAAGGCTGCTATTTATGAGCAATGCTCCGACGGTATAGTCCATCTTTCACTTTCCCAGTTGACCTTCTACAATTCACTTAACATTATAAATAACATCCTAAACTTGTTTGAATGCTACTTGAAGACACGAGACATATTGCAGCCTTCAGTAACATGATCTGAACCACTTAAGTCTGTAACATTGGAGTGCCCCAGGGATCAATACTATGACCTATTTTTTTTTACTGAACAAAACTCTATAAATATAGAGTTTTGTTGATGGTTATAACATTAATTTTTGCTGATGCCATGTGTTTTTTTATATCACAGGGAAAGATTGTGACAGCCATTGCAACACATTAAATAAAGAATTAGACACTCATAAATGCTTAATATTAACAAGACTTACTATACTTATGTCCTCTAATTATTCAACACAAAGCTGCTATTAGAACAGTATCCAACTTTGACCCCAGACAGCACTCGGTACCCTTACTCAAATCTCTGAATATGTTAGATATTAAGTCACTGCACATCCTCTCGTGTGTACTTTATATATTTATAACTCTGAATTGTAATGTCAATCCTGACCTTTAAAGCTTCTTAGAAGGTTGTAGCAGAACCCATGGGCACCACACCAGAAACAAATACCTATTTGATATTCCAAGAGTGCAACTTAATCAAACTAGAAATGCTCTACAAATCAAGGGACCCAGAATATGGAATGACCTTCCCAATCATGTCAAAGACTGTCCCTCTCTCAACCAGTTTAAGAGAAAAACTAAGTACTATATAATTAACTCCATATAACCTACCTTACCCCCTAAATGCCAACCCATGTCTTGCTATTTTAAACAATGCTGTTTGTTGACCAACTTGTACAATTGCTGATTTCTGCCATTCCCCCCCCCCTCTTTTTTTATTATTCCTATTTTTTAAACACAATTTATACTTTAATCTCAATTACTATTAAGTTTTAGTCCAAGTGTCTTTTTTTTTCTCCCACACCTTGCCCAAAACGCTATGCATATTAGTGGCTTTAGGTATTGTTTGTACTAGCTCTATCTATAAATCCAACAACTGTTTGTTTTGAGATTTTGAGATATATACAAGAGTTGTTACATTCTTGTACAGCCACTAGTCTCATAGCGTTTCGGGCAGGTCCCTGGAATACGATCCCCTGCCGCGAAGAATCGTTTTTTCATCCAAGTACACATTTTACTGTTGCGTTAAACAGAGGCTACAGTTAAGGATTTGCGCCCAGTAAATCCTCTCCGGCCAGGATACGAACCCATGACATAGCACTCGCGGAACGCCAGGCGAGTGTCTTGTAACTCATCATCTATGTATGTACTTTTTTCTGAATAAAAATTTGAATTTGAATATATGATACTATGAAGACACAAGAATGTTTCTGGGAGCAACTGAACAATTACAGGGAATGTTCACACTTGAAAAGAAGACTACAGAACACCACCAAACAAAATTACACATTGAAATAAGAATAACTAATTTTTACCTTGAAAAAATTCTTTATGTGCATAGAGGAAGTGGTAAGTAGCTTTGCTACTGCTAAACTGCATGTCCCAAGTCTGGTGATGGTTCCATGCACAAGGGTAGCGGATGGTCACCCCGTAGTCCAGCGTCTCTGCCTCCAGCAGACTACGGTACTGAGGAAAGATGTGCAAAATGTAATATAAAAATTTATGAGTTCTATATGGAAAGATATTTGTAAAAAAAATAAGACTGAGTATAGATGAAAATCTCCTAAGCAGGTTACACAGTTGCTATCTCAGGCAATGTATAGCTCTTACAAAATATCCAAAACAACAACCAGGCAAGGTTGATAATCACTCCCAAGTGCAGAGGGAAAAGAACATTTCTCTAGCTAGTCCAGAATCCTTAGAGATTTTATTCATCTACACTTAAAAGAAACTTCTCCAAACAATACTCAGCCTCAAAAAAGATTGACAAGTATCACTGCTAATTGACTACCTGGCCACTACACTAGGAGTCGGTACCTACACTGTCAAAATAGCAAGGAGCTTAATAAATCCAGAAGAAATACTATCCAAAGCCCAGAAGAAGAGGCACTGCTAGAGCTACCCAACAAGAAGCAAGGCTCAGAGAACAAATGAGTCAAGAATGACATCAGCAAATTACCAGAAATACAGGAAGAATGTAGAGTGCCAAAAAGTGCTGGAGCACCCGGCAGGCTATCTCGTACTGATGATGAGAAGTTGCAAAGAACTTGAGTGGGAACCAGGGGTGTTCTGGCCACATGTGGGCAAGAAAAAGCAGTCGATACACAAAATTAAAACTGACAAAACTAGCATCATCTAGACCAGAGGAAATTAATTCTCAAAATACTTATAGTCACAACAAAAATCATCCAACTCAAAGGCATTCCTGATCAGAGAGAGTAGCTTAAAAATCAGGAAGCTTGTGTTTCCCTAAAGACATGAACAACCTAGATTCCACTACAGTAATTCCACCTAGAGCATACCAGAGGTCTTGCATATCCATAAAAATAGGACCCATTCCCTACAATTCTGTCCCGATTGTGAAAAATGTATATAGTAGAACAATTCTTAATACAGGCACTACCAATCGTGGAAAATGGCAATAATAGATAGGTTAACCCATGATATGGTTATCATCATATGATTTTCTTTCAGTCAGCTGATAAACACTGAAGTTTTTATTACTGTCACAAATAAATTGCTAATGTAATATACTTTTATTCACTGATAGACTAATAAAATGAGTTATTCCTCCTCTCCAACAAAAGGAATATAACTTACTTTAAAAACAAAAGACATTTGATCATAATGTTCTGGGTGGAACATTTACACACCTGTAAACTGGTCGACGCATCCACATGGAAGAGCTGACCCCTGATCTTGGTTACATAGCCATCCTCATAAACGGTCCAAGGAAGTGTCATCTCAAAATACGACCCTCGCTGGACATTCATGTGGACAGCATTGGTTTCTTTTTCCTACAAAATGCATTGCTGGCTTTTATCTCAATTTAGTATATAAATAAGAGCACAATTAATAAAGGAACATTATACAAATAAGGAATACTGTACAGAAGTAAGACACCAAAGCAAGATATTAGTACCTGTATAGCAATTACAGAGATGGAAAATAAAGGGAACTAATATATATAAAAATAAATAAATGAAATTAATAAAATGCAATGTGAAAAAATATGGCAAAAAACAATATTATTCTTTTCAGCGTTTTAATAAATCTTACTAATGCCTTGGTCTACCTTAATCCATTTTTGCCCATGGTTTAACAAAATGTTTTAATGAAGGAACAAGAGTGAATGACAGGCAGGATTCTCAAAGCAACAGACAAGATGTTTAAGGCAGACTAGAGAGGACAGCTCTGATGGACAGTGGTAAACTGATCCACATACACACACATTTATATCCAACATACTTTTTGTGAAGTTGACTTGAAAATTGTATATTTCTTTGATTATTACTTCTTGCTAAAGGTTACATTAAATAGTGCATTAAATGCATAACCAAAAAGGAAACTCTCCTTACAAACATAATTACATATGCTCACCACACTATATTTTCTTCACAACGACAACTCATTCATATTTGTCATACATGGTAAAAACTACATGGTAAAACTCCTACACCTTTAGTGTTAATTCAGCATTTCAAAAGGAGTGACAATATATCATATCAAGACGAGGTTCAAACGAAAGATAACAAGATCAAGATAAAATCAAAATATATTCAAATTAATGTAAACAAAAATACACTGAAGTGTTTACAAATAAGCCAAATTAAATGGTACCCGGTAACAAGAAATTATTATGCATAATGAAAACTGCACAAGAGAAAAAAAATTGGCATATACCTTAGAAAAGAGAATGTCGATAGTGGCTTCAGTCAGTATGCTGAGACGCAAGTCAAACTGCTGAACCTTCCGCAACTCCCCATGTACTGGTGCATTTGGCATCTGTGGCAAAATGCAGAAAAAACTTTTTACATTTCTCCATTACCATGGCAATACAGTACCGTTTCTAAAAATAATAATATGGCCAAAAATGCTATTTTGCCTATAATATAGGGACCGGATACATTGATACAGTAGTACTGCAGCTCATAATGAACATGCACACCTTCACTCTAGACCAGCATTTCTTCACCTTTATTTCAAGGGTCCCGCAAGGGTATAATTTTCATGCCTCGAGTAACCCAAGCATAAACTATTATAGAATACAACTGTATATATATATTTATTAATCGCAAAATTCAACCATATCGGTAAACACAAAAAATAAACGTCGAGAATGTTTTCGCAGAACCCTGGTTGGGAAACATAGCTCTGAACCAAAGAGGAACTTTAGTAAGCCGTTTTCTGTGAATCAGTGCTAACTAAATTCTTCCTATATTTAAAGCCTTTTATTTCTCATTTAATCTGTTAACCCTAACATACTATCAGTTACACAGGGTTCTAGTGATAACATATCTCCTTGAATTAGATAAACATTCTGGAAATTCATCAACACTGCCTAAAAGCTTCATTAAAGTCCCTGAACCATCCACCAGATATATACGGCAGGGATCGCATTAAGGTATTCATAGCTGCTACTTCAGCAGCAACTTTTCATTTTGAATACTATGACTTTTTATAATTTATTGTCACACTAGCTCACACCACACCAGACTAGCACATCTCACCCTGGTTACAGGTCTCCTTAGCCTCTCATAACCTACTCTCCCTTTACCAAGTCCATTCACTTAGACAATCACTGCATACCACACTAAAACATCTAAAATAAATGAATTTACAATATTTCATATTCTTGTGATCACTGGTGAACCAGATCATCCATGCTACAGAATAAGGGAACAAATAAGACCGATATACAGGTAGAAACTGGTAGTTACAGAGATAGAGGAGTAGGTATCCAAGATAATAAAGAAATTCTCAAAAGTTTACTACTGTGCTTTAATTTGTCTTACCTTAGCCGTCTGATAATCTTGTGGGAAGAAGAAGCGAAACAACTGCTCTCGCTGACGGTCAGCCCATGGACCATAGCTGAGGTTGGTGCCCTTAGCACACTTTATATCAAGACCCCACACAGGGGCTGTAGCAGTAACTTCATCTCCATTTGGAAGTCGCATCGTCTGAAGGCATCATCAGCATTCACATTAAGATACGTTAGTTATGCCATTTTTCTCAAAGAATACTATGGAAACTTCCCTATAGGTACATAAAGCATGCCTGAAACAGGCAATTGGGAGAAAATCATTTTGGTATACTGTATAGCATTATGTTCTTAGGACAGCCTTCTCAAATTTAACAAAGGACATAACTAAATCATGAGAATTTCTTTGGAGCAGGATGGCAGTACTGCACTGTATGTCCTAACATATTCAATACTAGAACACACTGCCAGCAGGCAAGATAGCCGAGATCAATATTTTTGCACGATAATTTGTCTCTGAAAGATGCACTCACATACCATTTTATAGTGACCTGACTGTCTACTACTTGGTGTTCAATAAATCAGCATGGGTCTCAGAGACCTTGTACAATCTTAAGGCTGCATCAGTGCGTCAGTGTGCACGAGTGGGAAGTAACCAAGGAAACCCACTCAAAAACTATTATATTACCTTTAATAGAGAGTGTGGGTGCAAGCAATTTCGAGCACGAGTGCTCTTGTAGTCTCCTTCCTGACACACTGCCCTTACACAATTCAGACACACTTATGTTATCAGCTTCCTATGTCATATACAGTTCTGTATGTATATAGCACATATCATATTGCATTAGCTCACAACACAACATACTAGCTCACACCTCATCACACTAGTTCACACCATGTCACATTACTCTCTCATGGCAGGAGAATATTGTACATTTTAACTGTCCTTGCTTTACAAGGAATGTGAAGGCCATTTGCTACTGAGAATATGGAATACATAACTAGACAGCTCACCTGAGGGTGCTCTGGCACAGGACCTGGCTCGTCCACATAGTAATAGAAGTGCACGAGACTTGATGACATTACCACAAAACCTTCCCCCATGTAACGTGGTGGCTCGTCCAAAACACCAGTGTATTTTGGGCTTGGAGCAAGGATGACCTGATTGGAGAACTTTCTTACTACTGTGTTATCATTTCAAGAGAGGAAAATTGTGTAAGCAATGGAAATCAGTATTAGATGATACTGATTGAACCAATGATTTATTTTAAAACATCTACAGGTATATGATAAAATCTGAAATAAAGTTGTAAAAAAAAAAAATCTATGCAAACAAGTATAACTGAAGGTAATCATTTTCGCTACACTAAATATTGCGTCTAAATCTCAAATAAGTTTCTGCTCTTTGTTTAGATTGGTTGTATGCCTTCCCAAAATAGTTCTTATGGTGATAATCTCCACCATGGTATGTTGTAACTTGAACTAAAGGCCGGAGGATTACACAAAAGAATGGAAAAGTCGGTCATAAAATCAAGCTTTGAGTGAATATAAAAAGATTTTCAACATGACATCTGGATGCTTCCCGAGGCAAGATAACTGAAAGGCTCATAAATAATCAGGATAGTTAGGGCAGGATGGCATTCTGTATTGGAATATAATATATCTTTTCAACATAAAGGATCCCTCTAAATAACAAATCAAATTCACCCATCAGATTTTTTTCAAATTCAGATATATACAAACAAAAAAAATAGAGATACCAGAAGGAACCATGATGAAATATGGATAGTCTATCTATTAAAAGGCAGTTTCAATCAATTAGTTTTAAATATTTTTACTAGCCTTGCTTTTTTATTTGTCAACATTATTCAAAATTATTTATCTATACAGTATTTTAGAAAGGTTTCACCAAGCTTGTGCTTTGTCTCAACCACATCAGATTTAGGATGCTTAATGGCACTTTATTACATTAACAAAACATCTTAGCAACTTATGACATACCCTAAAGTTCTCTGCTTTTGATATGAACACCTGCATGAAGTAGTCAAGGGAGCAGGCTGCTGGCTTGGTTGTATAGTGGCACTCTGCTTTGTCAGTCGTCAGGAGGAGTGTTGATGCAACCAAACGGTTGCCAAACACAAACCTGGCCTGCACGAGTTAAACATTTATTATTTATACATCTCCCGGGAAAATTTGAATATTGTAAATATTATCAACATACGTTCAATTTAATGGTACAAATTAGGTTTCAAATATATTGAATTCAACACAAACTCTGCTACACTTGTGCCCAACATAAACTTGGGTACACCTTACAATCAATAGCCCATAATTCATGCGTCAACCTTACACCACCCACTCACAATTACAGAATAGTAGGCCAATAAGTATACCAGATTGCCAACAAATTTATTTCAATTTATTTTCAGAAAAACTGCACTTATAAATACAGTATGGGCAAAAACAACTTACCATATTAAGATCGATCTTAATGACAGGGATCAAATCCCTCCAATCCTGCCAAAAGCTCATGTCCTGACTCTGATTTTGAGTGTCCTCTGCTTCTCCTTCCTCCTCAGTCTTGCCTGTCTTATTTACATTCACAAGTTGACTCTCCAAACCAAATGTCTTCTCTAATCTACTGTACAACTGTGACCGATTATAGACGTGCAGCTCTGGTCCATTAAGTTCAAGCCACACTCGATGGTCACAATGTGACATATCTGAAATAAGTAAATTGAGTAAGGTATTGCCAGAATACTAGAGAGAAACTCATGATTATAACTAAACAGACAATGCAGTTGGTGAGAATCTCTAACATTAAAAACTTACCTTCCGAGAGTTCACGCTTCACATAGGGAAGCCAGTATCTAAACTTGAGGATTCCATCAACAATGCGGAGGCTGTAATCTTCCGTTACATACACAACATTGCGAAACATGATCTTGCCCGACAATACAGACAGCGAAAATGAACCTAGAAGCAGGAAAAACATTCATTAACACTTTTAAGACGAAATGTACAAAGATAGCAATATAGTACAGAATATTGTAATGAGCCAGCTTTACCAACAAAAAATATCTTAAAACCTGAAACCTTGTTACAACTTATGTGTTCATGGTGGGAGAACATTTATGGTGAGAAGTTTAAACACAGATAGGGTCTAGGGTCACTTGATAAATCATTAATTATTTGAAGTCTAGCATTTTATAATCATGATTAACAAAACATAATGGCTTGAAAAGTTACCTTACACTCATAAATTGGTACTGTATATTCTTTAAAATCTGTCAAGCATACCGATGTGAATTATAGATAGCTATTCACTCATATCCTTCACTGTCATGAACTCAAACGAATGAAGGAGCGAGTAAACAAGTGTACATGTGCACACACAGGTAATTACACAGTAATTCATCACCAGTTGAGAGGCGGGACCAAGAGTCATAGCTCAACCCCGCAAGCACAACTAGGCAAGTACTAGTACAACTAGGCGAGTACAGACAACAGTAACAACTTCCAAGAAGACTACCCAAGATTTACTGAATAAACTTGAAAGAGTCAGATCAACTCTCAATGGTATTTCATATAGAAATGAAGACAAGAATTTTTACCATGGGAAGGAAAATTGGAGTAAATAGCGAAGTGACCTCCTTTAATTAACTACATAAATTCCACATTCAATATCACAGTTGCCAAAGGATGGTATCATCACAGTGTAGGAAAGGTTGACTCAAGTCATATAGCATGACCTCAGCACATTCCTAGCGACTTATCTGGCAGCAAACCTCCTGTATCTCTCAATACACACACACACTCACCATCCATCCCTCACCTTCTCATTCTAGGCCAACTTGATTTCTTGCAAGCAAAGTTTCTTCGTTCTCCCTCAAGCATGACACTGATTCTCTTTGTGTCTTCCCTTCATTGTAATTTATTCACTCATACATCCCTCAAAATACATTAATTTTCTATCTTTACTTTTAACATCTGTATCACTATCATTCATCTTATTTTTATTATTTATTTACTCAAGATCTACATTGTTAATTTTCCATCTGCCTTTATCAATTACATTCCCTTACCAAGCTGTGATTATCTTGAGGTTATCTCGAGAAGATTTCGGGGCTTAGCATCCCCGCGGCCCAGTCCTCGACTAGGCCTCCTTTTTGTTAAACACCCCCAGGAAGCAGCCCGTAGCAGCTGTCTAACTCCCAGGTACCTACTTACTGCTAGGTGAACAGGGGCAGCAGGGTGAAATAAACTCTGCCCATTAGTTTCCGTCTCCACCGGGAATCGAACCCGGAACGTTTGGACTACAAATTCCAAGCGCTGTCACCTTGAGGTTACCTTGAGGTGCTTCCGGGGCTTAGCGTCCCCACGGCCCGGTCGTCGACCAGGCCTCCTGGTTGCTGGACTGATCAACCAGGCTGTTGGATGCGGCTGCTCGCAGCCTGACGTATGAGTCACAGCCTGGTTGATCAGGTATCCTGTCCACTCAGCTGTCAGGCTCCCTAACCTGTGGGCACAGACTGAACTTCACAAACAGTAATCCTAACAAGTGCTCATATGCTATACACACTGCCCTGTGCTCACCTATTGTCAGATCTCCACTTTTGACAAATCTACGGAGGATTGCAGTCAAAATGCTTCCCTGGACCCGTGAGTTGAAGAGAATGATGTAAACAGACCAGGATATGGCCACCAGCAGGGACAGTACCAAGTACCCCAGGTCAGGATTATTCTGAAGGAAGAAAGTTGCAATTGCCATTAAATATATTAAATATTCTATTATAATACAAGCTGGTTTAAGTGTGAGGAAGGTAAATAATGTGAAGAAAACTAAATAGTATGTAAAACCAAAGAATGTAAGAAGTGTGCAGAGTGTAATGTTTACTTCAGCTATACAGAGCTGGAAGCTTAGGATGACCATCACATTAGGAAATAATACTGTACACGAATAAACAAGAGCGAGATATGGAAGAGCATGATATCAATGTTAAGACTTAGCAGGTGATTTGTAAGCATTAAAAAGGTTTTAGATTCTTTTTTCAAAACAGCTGTTTAATATGGAACAGCAGCATGAGTGAATGTTTATTACAATGTGAAACAAAACAACTTAGATTTGTGAAAGACAAGACTGCAACACACATGATCCAGACTAATAAAAGTCAACTGAACAAATATTTTATTTATGTTTAGATTGTAGGCAAGCTATTGAAGTACATAGAAACTTTAAACAATTTTGTTAAAAGAATAGCTTGGTACAACAATTTATTCAGTAATGTTCAAGGCTCATATCCTAAGACAAATGAGTTTACTTTCATGGTTAGGCAAGTTAACTGCATGATGCCTGCCAAAGGTGAGCAGAGATAATCACTCTTTGTCGTCTAACATTATGAAAAATGTTAATATCTGGGAAGTCATAAATTTCCAAAAACTGTTTCCTTAAGATAACTGGAAGTGTATTATTACAATTTATTGGCAAGGTTGGAAGAAAAAATGGGGAGGTATCCTATTGTGTATGTCACACTTACGAGAGCGTATTTTGTAGAGGAAAACAAATGGCCAAGATACACGTTTCAATTAATGGAGAAATATTTATAATCAGATAACTACACCAAGCACAAATGGAGAATATCCCGAGAAAATACACGCATTTTCATATGTTGACAGTAGATACTAATGCCTCTTAAAAAAACACACATTTTTGAGTTTGTAATTTAGGATATGAATTAGAAAGCCACATTTATTAGACAATTTTATAATCAGTATCATGAAACTTAAATAATGAAAAAGATACATCAGCATGTAAAATTGTTTCAATAAAAATAAAAGCTATTATAAGCATCTTTAAATCTCTCACAAATGAGTTCTTGAAAACAACAATCTTAGTATGCAACTCACCAGATCCCCCAAGACAGTATTCAAGTTATAGCTGGAGCTATTGTCAATGAAAGGTGCACCCTCTATGGCTGTCTCCAGGAACACCTCCTCCAGCACCTCCCCGCTGGTCCTGCTCTCCACATCCATTGTACTGTACCTGCACACCACAATTCTAACATTAAAAACAGCACAGAATTGCATATAATTTTGTTCACAAATTTTTGTCTTAAATATATAACAAAAGAAATAATATACAACAAAGAATGAAATTAATGATGAATTCAAAGCATAATGTTTCATGCACCTTACTTTACAAACATCCAGTTACACGGCAAATACTTTTAGAAAGTAAAATTGGCTAAATACTTTTAAGACTATGAACACCTACTACAGTGGCCCCCAGACTATAAGGTAGCAGGCATCCTGTGAACTTTAGGTAGTTAAACAAAGTCATGGCTAAATGGCACAATGGCACCTTCTAAACTAAAGTCCAATTGGGCTAAAATGAAAAAAAAAATTATTGCAATGACCTCCAGGACAGCAAGAGCCAGATGCCCACCATACCCTAAGGAATGCCAGGATCTCAACAAGTATCAACAACTTCTAGTGCCAGAAGACACTTTCTCTTTGCCTGAAAATGTAACTGGAACACTTGAAAAAATTCAATCAACTTCCCTGTGACCGCAGGTAATAAATAGATCGGGCACCATACCAATCCGAGCTGTTGTAGAGCAATGCCTGAGAGCAGCATCAAGACCCAATGGTCATAATAGCATCACGTGTTGTGGTAGGCCCCAGGCAGAGTTAGTGATCCTGAGGTGTACTCGTTGCCAAGGTTGAGCCAGGCACTCCCAATCCCCACTGGCACCTAAGGACTATGGACTGGCAACAGAAGCAAATTGGCAACAATATAACACTCCCCCCTTATAACAACCATAAACCACAGCAAAATTAGAGTAAGATAGCAATGCAGCTGAAATTACCATCATACGACAGAGCCTTCTGCAAAGTCTACAACAATGATGATCCCGTTATACCAAGTCCAGACCCCGATAACTACCCACCTTAATGACCAATTGGTGTCGTTACATGGTTAATAATATCGTGGTGGAGGAGGCTAACATATCCACGTGAAGTAAGGTGAGGTAGAGTGCCACAGGTGTGGTGAGGGAGGAGCCTGCCCCACCACCATCATCACCTCCTCTCACAACAACAACACCACCACCACCACCACCAGCCTCACACTCGTACCTTCTCACCAAGTTATCATACCCGTCTCTCCTCATACTGGTCCACGCTCTTGTGCTCATCACCACACTAATACCAGCAAATGTTGTCTTTGTAATTAATTACAACACTATCTTCATGCATTTAGAGTAATCATATTTGAGGCCTAACTAAAATTAATGGAGAAATTTTGAAGAAATATAATTCATTCCCACTATTACTTGTTGCAGTATGTTCAAAGCAAAAATACTAAATACATTACCTCTTTAAAAACGAAAATTAATAAGCTAAGTACAGTACAAGGTAAGTAGAAAGTGTGAACACTAAGAAAGACATTTTTGACAGATTTTTTTGAGTTATCGTACATCAGCCTTGTCCGAAAGTCAAATAAATAAATGAATGTAATTTTGTTATTTATTATAATATTAATGAATTCATTACGTCGGGGGACAGGCAGCCAGTGTACATATACATGCTAGGCTTATGTTGAATTCCTTCCCCTTCCCCTAAGGTCGAACTACTGACCCTCCCCAGGATGTAACCACACAACTAGCTGACTAGTTAGTTAACTTTGTGTACCTATTTGAAATAATCCTCAAATTGTGCTACATTGAACCAGTTGATAATCCTCAAATTTTACCCTATTGTACCTACTAATTCTTTGTCATTATTGTGTATTGTCATTATTGTGTATTGTCATTATTGTGTATTATTTAATCTTTGTGTATTGTGTCGAATTTTTTTACAATGTACCTGTAAACATTTTTTGTCAATTTTGCTGGAAATTACCTACTTAATCTGTTAGATTAAGATCTACTTAGATCTGCCCGAAACGCTGTGTGTGCTAGTGGCTTTACAAGAATGTAAAATTGTCATTGCTATGTACTTTCTTAACCCCCAATATACCTTCTTGTATATACATAAAATAAATATATAAATAAATTTGCTGCTAGGCGAACAGAAGCATTAGGTGATAGGAAACACGTCCATCTATTTAAGTTCCGCCTGGGACAGTATTTTCGTATGCAACATTCTGTTCTGGAGCAACATCTATATAGGTGAACATAGGTATAAATCACCTATATTCCTGATTTACCTGAGGGACACCATCTCTCTAGTGGCCTCGACGAGGACAGAAAGCCGGCGCTTGTCGAAGGTCCCACCATTTGCCTTGATATGTACAGCTTCGGCGGGTAGGCGGTTCCATGGGTTTATAACCCTGTGGGTAAAAAAGCATTTCCTGTTTTCAATCCTATATTGTGGTTTGTTGAGCTTGAAACTGGTGTTACTTGTCTGTGCTACATCCGACCATTGAAAGAAGTGGTCTGGGTCAACATCCTCCAAAGTCTTCAGCATTTTAAAAGTTTTGATGAGATAAGTCTTGTCATGTCTGGTTTGTAGTGTTGTACGTTAGCTCTGTGGCCCTCAACCTTTCCTGGTTGACTCAGTTCAGGATTGGTTTTTGTTGCCCGGTGTTAACTTTCTGCAAAGCAGATATAATTCAGCAGATATGTTGAACTTTCTCCAAAGCAGATATAAAATGCCTGTCTGAAGATGAGGTCTCTATGTTTGGATACAATATTCCAAGGAAGGTGGCACACAGATTCATACAGTTGAATAACTTCCTTCTTTTCCTTGCTGTTAAAGATTCGTTTGACTGTTCCTAGGATTTGGCTGACTTTTTTTTACTGCAGTTTCCACTTGTTGTGCAACTTTCAGGTATGTACTCTTTGTTAAGTATCCCAGAAAGAACAACATGGCTAACATTTAATTATTCGTAACATCAGTCAGCTCCCTGCATGGCGGTAGACACGACTCTGTACAGGTCCCAGCCTCACCTATAATACTCTCCACAGATCAAATTCAAATTCAAAAGATCACTCGTATACTAATTACTTACTGGTCATATTGCCACCATTACACACATATAGCACCTACCTTTAACCCATTCAATCTATGCAAATAAAGAGATCTATAATATGGAACCCCTTCATCTATGTCTATAAAATAGAATGTCTATCTATCAAAATTAGTATGTCAGATGCCTGGCGCTAGCCTCACCCAAGTTTCCAGCATGAAACATATTGAGGGGATTGGTTTTGGTAGAGACATAGGCCGGTCAGGGCCCGTCCAAGTGCAACTCTAGCAAAAATATCGGCATCTACAGCGACCCCCACTACTTGTGATTTTCGTAAAGCCTGAAATGAAGTCGCGCATGTTTCCTGCAGATCTTGTATGCTTACTCCCACCTTTTACCCGCACATTGTGTCTCCGTCTCTCTTTCTTTCTTTCTCTCTTCCTCCTTCCGTCTCCCCTTCCTTCCGTCTCTCCCTTCTGTCGTCTCTTTCTTCTTCCGTCTCTCCCTTCTGTCGTCTCTTTCTTCTTCCGTCTCTCCTTCCTTCCGTCTGTCCCTTCCTCCGTCTCTCTCTCCCTCCGTCTCTAATCCTCTCACCCTGCGTCTCCCATCTCCTCGTCCTCTCATAAAAATCTTGACTGAAGAACATTGTGTAAAGTTTACCAATAAGGAAGATATTGGTGCACCAGCCAGGCCATTACATATATTGTTGTGTGGTGAGTGCCTTCCCCTTGGTCCAGTGTGGTGTTGAGTGCCTCCCCCTTGGTCCAGTGTGTGTGGTGAGTGCCTCCCCCTTGGTCCAGTGTGGTGTTGAGTGCCTCCCCCTTGGTCCAGTGTGTGTGGTGAGTGCCTCCCCCTTGGTCCAGTGTGGTGTTGAGTGCCTCCCCCTTGGTCCAGTGTGTGTGGTGAGTGCCTCCCTCTTGGTCCAGTGTGTGTGTCGAGTGCCTCCCCCTTGGTCCAGTGTGGTGTTGAGTGCCTCCCCCTTGGTCCAGTGTGTGGTGAGTTCCTTCCCCTTGGTCCAGTGTGTGGTGAGTGCCTCCCCCTTGGTCCAGTGTGTGGTGAGTGCCTCCCCCTTGGTCCAGTGTGTGGTGAGTGCCTCCCCCTTGGTCCAGTGTGTGGTGAGTGTGGTGATAATATGAGCACAACACATGATCTGTAACATGCCAGGTATTTATCCCCATAATCACTAACGACACCTGCAGTCACACTCACCAACCATTAACACATCAGTAACTACAATAAAGCGTGTTTGGAAGAAGTGGCAGCAACCAATTGCTGGTCGTCTGCTATTTAAAGACTTTAACGCTCCTCTACTGTCAATAAAGAAACAAGCATTTGAACCACATTTGTCTCCTTCCTGTAATCCTGCTAATACACCTTGGAGTTCAGCCTGCATTGAAGAGACATTGTCAGTTAAGCGGCGTCCAAAGCAGAATGTGTTATTAGCGATGTATTCCCGTTAGGAAATTGCGTTAGAAGTGGCCAATTTGCAGCTGTTGTTGTTTAAGAATCAGCTACTGGGAACTAAAAGTTCCAAGTAGCACGGGCTATGGTGAGCCCGTAGTGGACTTACCTGGCACAGGAGCGGGGCTGTAACTTGGGTGAATTTCCAGCGACTGATGGCGTTAATATAGAGACTTCACGGCGATGTTTCGCGCCGCTATATAGAGTTCGCGCCGTTATATAGACACTTTTAGTTCAGCCGACAGATGGCAGAATGTGACAAGGGGGCGACTCCCGCCAACTTTTCCATTAGATATACAAACTTCGCTCAAAGCATTATTCTCCTTTTACGATGACAGCCATTGTGGCGCTCCTCGGGTAATGGTCGCCAACCTCATAACTTTTGTTACAAACCAAAATATTTCTCCGGAAATGGCGACGAATTCGGAAGAAAAGGATTGCGTAAAGAATTCGACCGTCATTAGAATGGAACTTGACTCTATTTAGAAAGGAACTCAACTATTTTTATATAGTTTTATAAAATATATAACTATTTTCAAGCGTAGATTGGACATGTATATGAATGGAATTGGGTGGTTATAAAAAGGAGCTGCCTAGTATGGGCCAATAGGCCTTCTGCAGTTACCTTTGTTCTTATGTTCTTATATTGGAGTTCGATTGCTATATTTGTTTGTTTTGAAAGGGATCGGCTTCGACAGTCATTTGTTATGCGAAAGAATTAGATCATCTGTTATTTCAGATGGTAAAATAAGGGGTAGCATGGAAAAAAAACACGGAAAACAATTTCCCGGTGTTTGGATCTAAGAATAACTCGAATAAAAACACGATATTTCTTGCTGGATTCACCCGGTGGAAACATGTGCCATCACCTAATGATACTTTCACTCACTTTATTCAATATAGTTTCCTGTTATTACTTTTAAACTCTGTATGTAACTCACCACATTCTAAAGTTCAGATGTTGCTTACATAATCCAGTGAACACTAAAGCAGGCGACCACTCTAACATACCAGCCCTACTGGCCTCTGGTCAACCTCTTGTTTGTTCAGGGTATCAATGTCCTCGCGGCCCGGTCTCTGATCAGCCCTCCTGGTAAGTTTGGTCAACCAGGCTGTTAGACGCAGCCTGGGATTCTTGTTGTTATAGATTAAGCTACTCGGAACAAGTTCCAAGTAGCACGGGCTATGGTGAGCCCGTAACTTACCTGGCACAGGAGCGGGGCAAGAAGCACAGGCTATGGTTAGCCTCGTGGACGGGAGATGTCTCCCGTGCTGGGATTCTTGTAATGTTATTTGTGTATTTGTACTCACTGAATTTGTGCGCCCCTTGAGGGACTTGAAGTAGACGGGGGTAGAAATAGCCTAAGCTACTCTATCCCTTTGAGATGTATTTCTTTCTTATCTCAATAAACATACTTGAACTTGAATAGACGCAGCCAATGGAACATACACACTTACTGAGGAGAAGACTGAAGGCAAAAAGTCCCCAGAAATAACTTGAAGATGGGTGGAGGAGAGCAGCTACGTGGCCACGTAGCCTCATGCAATCATCATGCTTGAGTTTGCCCGAAACGCTGTGCATATTAGTAGCTTAAGGTATTGTATGTACTAGCTCTATCTATAAATCCAACATTATGTTTGTAACTCATCATCTATGTATGCACTTTTACCTGAATAAACATTTTGATTTGATA